GTGTAAAGACGTGCTGCGCGTGATTGATCAGACGTGATGGTGTCACCAACGCGGTCGAGGGAGCGCATCACACCTCAGAGTTTCGACTTCGAGCATTCTCTCGCCGGCGCAATATGAGAAGCATGGAAGTTGATTAGATCAGAATCGTATACGTTGGCAAACACCTAGGCGGACGCCTCCGCCTTCTCCGTCGTGGGAGGATCCGCTTTCGCCTCGGTCTCTGCTGGTGTCGCCTCCTCCTCATCCTCGCCCTCATCCTCCTCATCATAGAACGCCTTCAACGCCTTGGCCGCCTCCTTGTACTGAACCTTGACGTCTGTCAACGTAACAGTGAGTTTCTCGAGCGCCTCCTCTTCAGTCAACTTGCTGACGCCGTCCTCGCCGTGACACTTGCCGTAGTGCTGCATGTGCTCGCAGTGGTCCCTCACTTTGATCACGCCCACCGCCGCGCTGGAACCCTTCAAAAAGTGACCCAGCGTCGAGAGTTCGGTGAGGTTTTTGGTGGACAAGGCGGCATCCATCTCTTTAAACGTCGTGACCGCCTGATCGAAGTAGTTCCAGACGATGGATTTGGAGAACTCCCGATCGTCCTCGTCGTCCATCTCGAGGAGTTGGCTGAAGATGTCCATGTCGATGATGGTGGGTGAGAGGTCGCCGGCTGAACCGCTGGCCGCGTCCGCGCCCTGGATGGTGACAAGGGGAGGTGCAGGCAGGTGTGATTTGAGCGGAATGGCGTGCGGTGGTGCAGTAGGCGTGGACGGCACAGGTGGTGTGATGAGCGGTGCAGACATGATGCAGCAGATGAGTGCAGAGAGGATTTCGTGAAAAGTAGTTCGGTTGATGATGTTGCGTGAGAGGACGTGGTAGCGATGATGATCGATCGTCGTCGGAAGTTTGAAGGATGAGATGGACCGGAGACGCGCGAGGAAAGTGGAAGGCAAGAAGAAGGAAGTGGCAAGGTCAATACAACGACTCGTCGGAAGACTCAGGGCTGCTGGACAAAGGGAAGGTGGCAGTGAACCGCAATGAGGCTCCTTTCGAAATGAAGCTCGCAATGACAGAATCGCGCAGCCGCGCGAACCTTGTCGTCTGCCACTTCATCAGACAGCCGGGGCTGCCCGCCATTAGGGTACACATTGTGCCGAGAGCGCCTCAGACGGCCCGATGAACTGTAACGTTCTTTGCTGCGGATGACAGACCGTGGGAAAGGCTCGGCATTTCCCAAGTAACGCCACCGAAGCGTCGGTATGTGCCGTGAGCATCCACGGCTGATCCATCGAGGCCCTCTGAACCCTGCGTGGTTGTCAGGCTGCAGATGCAGCAGGTGCAGATGACCCACTCGGCTGCAGCGGATGGTGGGAAAGAGGGGAATCGAACTTACAGCTTCACTTGACATGATGTGTTTCTATGATGCGAGGGAGTCGGAGAAAGCGAGACTTGTGATGCGTGAGACCGTCGAGCCGATGCCTTTGAGGTACGAATCCGAGCTTCTTAGCTTTGCTCTTGCTGGCAGATTGGAAAGATCGATGCAGACGCTGTTGTGGTTCTGAATGATAACAGCTGGTGTGCTGAGATGGACCGCGAGATGGTCGTCCTGGGTCCCTCTGTGGCTTAAGCCCGGTCTTCGCTTCTTGAATATACGGTCGATCGGATACGTTCTTGCGACCTACAGTAGAGATTCGAGAGATCGAATTGTGTTGGCTGTGCAACGAGTCGACGAGGATGCTTGCTGCGTAGGCGGCGGTTCTAGATGGATGATGTTCGAGTTAAGTCGGTCGATGGCCGCGAGACGATGTTGAGAAAGAGAGAGAAGGAATATGTCGTCGGAAGCGATTAGAGCGTTCTCTGTTTGAGGGGATGAGCTGTGCGTGTGTGTCTGCTGGAAAGTGAGCTCTGATTTTACGCTTGGGATTTGCATCAGGCTCTCAATTGTTCACTCAGCCAGCTAGTCAGTTCGGTCGCTCATCCGCGTCACATCCGTCATGGAGCGTGTGACCTCACACAGGGAATCTCCCTTTCTGCTTTCTTTCGTCACTCCTCCTGCTGTCTTTCTACTTTGGATAATTATTTTTTCCGACGTGGTTTCGATTTCATGGAAGGCTCTCTCTCACCCTGCGGCCTTACGACGAGCTGCTGCCTGACCTTTCCGCAAGCAGCGTCCTCGCTATCGACTGTTCCGATTCCTTTCCTCAGGTTGGGTTGGGAACCGTATCGGTCACTCTCCCCTTCGCAAGCAAAGCAAGGCCACAGACCGCATGATTCGGGAGCCTTCGACCCGACGGAACGGCCTATGCAACGCATTCGAGCTCAGTGCAAACTTCGATTCGGCCAAAAGCGAGACCAACCGCGGCATATCTCGCTGCGTGACAAGACTCTAACCGTTCGTTCCTTGCAAAAATGACGTGGGGCATGCCACGAGGCAAATGCTAGCTTGCTCCTGCACTCAACGCTTCTCCTTCGTGTTTCCTCCCGAAACAAGATTTGGACCCTCCGTTTCGCTAGACCGAAAGCAGCCCGTTCCCGCTCTCTCTCTCCGACCGTGCTCGCTCTCTGCATCTCGAGCTCATCGAGTTTGCGGCTTGCTTCGGCTAATGACGTGCTCTCCGCATTCATGCCTTGTAATCTAGGCGAGATGAGGAGGGCCTCGGTGACAGAGTCGACGTGAGATTTGATGGAAAGGAAACAAGTCTGCGTGGCCCCCGCCTTTCGCAGTCGATGACACCCGGCATGGTGCATGAAAGGGACCTGTCTTGACGCCCGGGGTTCGGCTAGAGTGATAGCTACTGATGAGGCGCTGCCATAAGGGCTGAGAAAAGCTTGATTGCGTTCCTTTTGCTCGTTTGTTTCAGTCAATACTTGCTGGTCACGAGGCCCGTTCAGACGCTGCGCCATCTCTGGAGGTCTTCACCGGTCTTGTTCCCGTGGACAGCTGCAGCCCTCATTTGCCAGCAGCGAAATGCGCGCCTCGGCGTTGAGAGACGCAACCGTCAGTCTTTGACATCGCAATGCACGTCGAGCAAGCTCTTCCTCCCGCTGGTCTCTCTCTGACCCATGCCACATGGCTTCGTGCTCCCGCATGGAGTGCCCAAGCTTCACTACAGTCCCAGCGTTGCCCAGAAGCTCTTGCACATTCAAGTGGGCTGGTGTACCGTACTGAGACCTCGTGGCATTGGCGCATCCTACCGACCCATTCTCTGTCAGTTCAGCCCGGGCAGCTCGAGCCTCGTGGCACACCAAGGCCTCTATCGCGCATCAATGAAATTGGCTCCCGTTGTCGCCTGTAGATCGTGATTGGCAGGGTCTTTTGCAGGCCGAGGCGGTCGCTCGGTGTTTATCCCGATCCGCCGCACTTCCGGTCCGCCTCATCTTCATCGCACACATCTCTACCAAATCTGTTGACGGGTGGCGTATTTTAGGTCGAGCTCGCAATTGAGGATATTACATTGTTAGCAGAGGCGACGCAAGGTGCACAGGATCTCGCGGCTCCCCTGGCTGAGATTCCAATACCGGAAGCAAGAGGCATCATCGTCATTCACCTCATCGGGGTGCTAGGCGGCGATGATGCTTGAAAATGTGACCGATGCCGACTACGCTTAGGCCTCGAAGGTGACCGAAGCGCCGAGCTTGTGGGCGTTGGCAGAGTTCTGCGAGTCGCTGAGCTTGACAGTGTCAAGAGCAAGACCGAACGAGGCCTTGACACCGGGTCGGAGAGCCTGGGTGTAGCCGAGGCAGAGGATACCAGCGTTGTTGATCTTGGCCTTGACGAAAGCGGCGTTGTCGAGGTAGGTCTTGGTACCGACCTCGAGGTTGACGTTCGAGTTGGGGCTCTTCGAGTCGTAGGTGGCACGGGCACCGGCCTCGGTGTCAGCGTTGACGCGGTGGTAGTAGCTGGCCGAGTAGGTCGAGAGGTTGCCGAGACCGTGGAAGGTGACGGCGTAGTCGGGGGCGTGGAAGCCAGCGCCGAGGTTGTATCGGCTCAGCTTGCCCTCCTTGACGTCGTAGCTAGCCTCAGCACCGGCAAGGAAGCCGTCACGGCCGAGAACAGCGTCAGCGGTGAAGGTGGGGCCCTTGAAGAGGTCAAGGTGCTGACGGGTGTGCAGACCGGGCTGCTTGTAGGTGGAAGCAAAGAGAGCGTTCTTGGTCTGCTTCTCGGGGACAAGCGTGGAAACGAGCTCGAGCTTGAGACCCTTGGCGATGTGGTTCTCGAGCTCAATGTGGTTGCGGAGAACGTTGGCGGTGGACCAAGCCTGGGTGAAGGTGACGCCGTTCTTGCGGTCCTCCCACTTGGCCTCGAGGTCGCCGTTGATGGCCTGCGACTTGGAGTCGCGGATGCCGAGAACGCGGAAGGTGACTCCGTTGGGGGTCCTGGTCTTGACCTCGAGCGAGTTGCCGTGGATGGGGTAGTCCTTGGAAAGGAGGTCGTTGGCGGCCTTGCCTGTGAGTCATCGAGAAGCGTTGTAAATCAAAGTGAAGGAACGCGTGTAGCACATTGCATTTGGTGACAGAAAAGGGCAAGTCAGCGGGCGTTTCTGGCAAGTCAAGGTAAATTGCTTCGACGTCCACTTACCAAGGTCCTTCCACGAAGGGGGAACGGGCTGAGAGATGACGGGAGCCATGTTGCTGTTCGCGATGGCGCAGAGGAGAGCGGAAGCGCAATGAAAGGAGGAGGGCTAGATGTCAGTCTACAAATTCGCTTGACGTTGTCGGTCATCGGCAGTCAACGCTATAAGGAGCCATCGCTGCTTTGCGCAAGATGCTCGAGTGTCCGTGTGCACAGTTTTCGAGGGCGGTAGAGCGCCGTGTCGAGGTGGATTGTCGATGCGAGCGAGATTGGCGTTGCAAATACACTTACACTATGAAAGGATCGATCGACGGAAAAGACGTGATACGACGAGGATGATAGGAGATGGTGGAGTAGAAGAGGAAACAAAAAGGGTGGAGGATGGCAGCTGTCTCTGGCTCAGCGTCGGTGTGTTGCTCTGGTTGGTTGATCGCTCGGCTGGCCGTTTGGTTGACCGTGCGACGGATTTTGACTGGCTTCAGTGCCTCTCTTCTTGTTGTTGGGCCTTTTCCTCTCTTTTTCGGCCGCTAACGGGTCAGGCTGGCTGAGCCGTGAAGCAATCGGAATTGCAGGAGAGAGACGCGGCCAGCACGCTCCTTTTCACAGAGCATCGCGTCAGTCACCACAGGCGATGCGGTCATGTTGCGCTCACAAGGCGAGCTCCTTCAGCTGCGATCTTGCTTGTGACCAGGGAAGCCTTTCTTCTTGGACTCCGAGGAATACGGCGGAACGTCTTCTCCTACTCGCGTTCATGAGAAGCTGATTCACTCAAAGTCCTCAGAGTCCTTTCCTTCAAGAGACCTTACCGCGACCGGATGGAGCGGCCCTCCGGATCACTCTCGCTTGCGGTGAGCTCTATCCTGTCTGTGTCCGTACCGCTCCACGCGTACATTCGGGTGGATTTGATGTCGATCGCCAAGTGTCACGAGCAACTCCGCCACGACTCCGGTGTTGGCGAGTGCCGACCGGTCGCATCTTTCAGAAGAGCTTGCCGCTGATTGTGGACCGAGTTGAGTTAACCAGCAGACCCTGGCATCCCTGAAGATCAAGATGAAGAGGAGATCCTCACGACGTTGAACCACGGCGCCCTCTTACCGCGCAGCAAAAGCGACGCATTTCAGATCGTGGAAGCCTGCCTCTTGTTGGTTGCCTCGGATGCAGCACGTGCGTCACCCGGCATCTTTTTGGATGACCCTGGCTGTTACATCGCGCCATACCTGTCGAGCTCTGACCGCACAACGGCGCACAGAAGTGCCAGGCGTAAGGGTCTAGTGCGAATCTAAGGAAATCTGTCTAACTCAACTTCGTCGCGCTGAATACAAGTGTTGTATTCAAATTACGATGTTGTTCCACACGTCCGTGCGCGTGCCTTTTGGCCCTGTTGCTGCTGCTGTTTCGATGCGGGCACAATCGAAGGACGCTCTACCTCTTCGCTTTGGCCTGCAACCCAGTAGTGTTCGGGTTGTTTGTATGAAGTGCGCTGCCAAGGAGGTGCTGAGAAGCAGCATGGTCAGAGCAAGAGCCAGGTCACAAGCGCGGAAAGGTGTCAGGTGGCCGGCAAGCAGCAGGCTCGGTTTCAGCTTCAGCCTTGTCTCCAACCGAGCTGCCTAGCCTCTTTCCCTCGGCCTGAGGGCTGAGGGGAAACCACCTGTCAAAGTGAACGGCGAGTGTGTGACTGTGTACCGCACAATCACAAAGTGGCATGCACGGCTGCCTCTCCTCTCTAAAGTCACGCGGCCCACAACGACAGCCACAAACTTAAGCTCGCTCTGCTACTGCCGAAGTGCTGTGCTAGCTGTCAGTCTCAAATTGCAACGTGTGTCAGTTTGCTGCTCGGGCTCCTTCTGGATGCGCTTGGTGAACCCTGAGAAAGGCCAAAAAGCCAAATTTGGACGGCTTCGTCTCGCTGCTTGATCGTCTCCTCCTTCCATCGCACCTCGCCATCACTATCGTTTCATCAATTAGCCACGTCACCGTCATCATCCTCTTCGACATCGCCTAGCACCGTCGTCAACCTCACCACAGGCTCTGCCGCTCACTCATATATCTCTCCGAGCACTCCAGCTGGCAAGTCGTGCGTTTCTTGAATAACGCCGTCTTTCACATCTCAGACCCCATCGGACTCAGCCTCGCGAACGAGCGAGTCACCGCCTTTTCCTCACCCATTCCTGCTCGCCCACAAAATGATCCCCGCCCAGCGAAACAAGGTCGACATCTCGTCACTGAACGAAGAGGAGCAAAAGCTCTTCCGCCTCTACGGCAAGCTCCCCAAGAAGGATCTGCTCCAGAACAAGCTCAAGGAGCGCAAGTACTTTGACTCGGGCGACTATGCTCTCTCCAAGGCCGGCAAGGCGCCGCAGCAGTCGGTCGGTACCGCCATCCCCAACCCAGAGATGATCCCTCACGCTTCCACCGTCACCTCGCCTGGTGTCAACGCCGTTTCGCCCACCGGTTCGTTGCCTGGCCAACAAGGTACACCTCAGTCCGGCCCGGTCAACGTGCCTGGGGCTGCTAGCCTTACGTCGCGCCCGCAGGTCAGCGCTTTCCCCATCAGCGGAGCTGGCTCCAGCCCTGGTAAGGAGAGCAGCTCGCTCGGACGTGAGGAGCACGTCGTCAACGCCGACGACGCCATGCAGGACTAATTAATGCCTTGCGGCTACCGTTGTCCTCCTAGACTGTACATCCGGCGTTTGCGAGATGACCTCTCCCGAACAGCATTGCTGCATGCACCGTCCTCGCCGCCTCGCTTCTCTCCCTATGACCATCTTGCGACCACAACATCCCTTGGAAGCCGCGTAGATCTCATTCCTACAGCTGAACCTAGCACACAGCTCTCGATTGCACGATCGTCCCCAGGAACTTCAGTCGATTCTTTAACGGCATACGTTCCAAACGCCATTCGCCGTCTCGCCTTCTCCATGGAAGATCCGTCGCTCCTCTCATGTGGGCCTCCGCACACCATGCTGAGGAGAAGCTGTCCATAAGCAGCTCGTGGATCTGCACTCACTCAACATCGAAGCCTTGCCGCGAGCGCACGCTTGTTACGCTCGTTACCGCCAACAGCTTTGTTCAGCCTCTGTGGTACAATCTCAATGTATAATATCACAAGCTCTGAAGAACGCAAGCAGGCGGCACGAGCACGAGCACTCTTCATCCAGCGAGACTAGCCTCGTGCGCTTCCACCATGATCCAGACTTCGTCACCATCAACAGCCTTCCAAGATGGTTTCCAATCCACAATGATGGCTCGACTGGCTCCTGGTTAGCTCGCTCCGCAGAGGCAACCGAGCCTCTCGAATGACGCCGTTTCGTCGGGTGCCATCTGGTCGTCTTCAGTGGAATTGTACCGTCTTACCGCGTCTTGTTTCTCGCTCTTCCTTAGGTTTCCTGTCGTCTCTGGTCTCTCTGGTCTCTTTGCAATGCACACATTCTACGCATGAACGGACGTCGGACCGGCTCGAGGTTGTCGACTCAGCATGGTGGACTAGCTTGAATGTGAAGCAAGTGTACGAGCATTTTCGCGACCTCTTTTTTCGTCAATCCTTTTCTCGTCGTGCATTTTTGCGACAGATGTCAAATCACGTCGAGACCTGGAGTGAAGCTCAAGGTGTTGTCACGCCGAGGAGACGACTGCGATGCAGCCGGGTGTTGCAGCTGCCCACCGAGATCTCCGTGCGAGGTTGCCTTAACTTACGAGCGAGCTCTGGTGGTCAGCGCGCTGCGCCTCGGTGGGAACCTCGTTTCGGCCTCCGCTTTGGCTTCCCCGCACTATCACCCCGCACCGTCCACCCCTTTCGGCTTTGGCATCCGAAGACGCAATCGTCTTTCCATACACGGCATCGAAGCGAGATACGTTCCCAGATGAAACTGCACGTCCGGGACCATGACCCAGAAGGCTTTGGTACACGTCAACGCTTGTGTGGTGACCTTTCCTGGTGGGAGAGCAAGCAATTTCCTCCCGAGCTTTGGCCACCTCATCGGGCCCTGAAAGCTTTCGAACCTTGACAGCATGGTGCTTCGTCCTAGGATGTGGACCTCGAACACTGCTCACGGAAACCCAAGCACCAGTATGGAGGCTTTCTCGCGGTAAGGAATCGGTGACGGTGACGCTGACGGGGCCCTCAGGTTTCTACAGCTTATCGGCAGAGCAAGAGCGTGACGCGCTCATCCTCCTCCACCCACGAAAATAAAATATCGCCTCTTTCACACCCTTTTTTAGACAGGTCACCACAGGTTACCGCCCGACTCTGAGACTGCGCTGTCCGCGCAAGGGTCTCCCTTACCCCGGCGGCAGGACCTTGGCGTCGCTTCCTCTCCTCGCCTGTTCCAGAAGATCATATATAGCTGCGCCGAACTAGAGGTGACGTGGTCACTGCCCACCTGGACTCGACCTACAATCCCCCACACCACCACCTGCTCGAACGACCTCCTTCTCAGGTCAACGACAGTGCCCTCTCAAGATGCAGTACAAGCTATCGAGCTCTTCGCTGCTCGACGAGTCGCTCCTCGGGCAGCTCGTTGGCTTTGTCCACGCGCACCGGCCTACGACCCTCCTGGGCTATGTCGTGCTCGCCATCGGCACGCCCATCGCGCTGCTCTCACTCTTCATCGTCTACGCGCTCTCCCGGATGCTCTACCGTACGACCATCTACCACTACTACATTTCTCCGCTTCGCCATCTGCCCGGGCCCAAGCCCAAACCGATCATCGGCAACATGGACGAGTTCGTCGGCAAACCCGGAGCGCGAGCGGAGATCGACTGGGCGCGCGAGCACATGAAGGACGGCGTCTACCGCTCGACCTTCCTGATGGGTCGTGAGGCGGTGCACTTCCACCGCCCTAAGGCGCTGCGTAAGATCCTCGTCGAAGACCCCTACAGCTATCCGAAGCCGCCGCAGGCGTGGAAGCTGCTCGGTCTCATCGCCGGATACGGCCTCCTCACCGTCGAAGGTGACACCCACCGCAAGATGCGCAAGACCATGAACCCCGCCTTTTCGCTCACCAACCTCATCGAGCAGTTCCCCGTCTACTATGCAAAGATCTATCCCATGGTGGAGATCATGAAGCAGAAGATCGACGAGTCCGGCGAGACGAGTGCCATCATCGACTGTGATTCGTGGGCCAACAAGGCTTTGCTCGACATCATCGCCCTGACCGCGTTCGGTTACGACGCAGATTCGGTCAACAACCCGCAGAACGAGCTGGCCTCGGCGTACCATGCCGTGACGAGCATGCAGAACGGACGCAACCAGGCGAGGCTCAACATTGTGCTCAACCTGCCCTTTGGCGATACACTGTTGGACTTTGCCTCGGACGTGTATGGGTGGGATTGGTTCCTGAAGCGCTGCAAACCGGGCACTGTGGGGCAGACGATCTTCCAGCTGCTCAACGGCATGCATCGCGTCAAGAACGTCTCCAAGGAGATCCTGTACAAGCAGCTCAACTCGGGCGAACGCGCTTCGTCCGTGGGCACCTTCAAGGCGATCATCGATATTATTGAGGAGACGCATCTGTCGGAGAACGATGGCAAACCGAAAAGCCTCAAGCAGGCGGAACGGGATATGATCACTCAAGTGCTGACGTTCCTCGGTGCAGGTCACGAGACCACCGCCTCAGGTGTCTCGTGGACGCTCTGGAACCTCGCCTCTCACCCCGAGATCCAGGACAAGCTGCGCAAAGAATGCAAGGAGTTGATGGACCAAGACGAGCGACCGCCCTATTCGGCCATCAAAGGGCTCGCCTACCTGGATGCGGTGATCAACGAGTCGATGCGTGTCACCCCACCCGTTCCGCGCACCATCCGCATCGCCAACAAGGCATCCACCATTGACGGACTCTACGTCCCCAAAGGCACACTGCTGCCCATCTCCAACCGCGCCATCAACATGGACCCCGAAGTCTGGGGTGAGGACGCAGAGGAATTCAAACCCGAACGCTGGTTCAACCTCCCGGAAAAGTACGACAAGACGTTCTCCATGATCACCTTCATCGCTGGCGCCCACGCGTGCATCGGCAGGACCATGAGTTATCTGGAGATGAAGGCCGTCATCTGCATCTTGGTGTCTAATTTCAAGTTCGAGCCCGTGTCGAAGGATCAGGAGCCCATTATGGATACTCTGATCACCATGAAGCCGCAGGGCGGCCTCAATCTTAGGGTGTCCAGGGTCTAGTTCCGCTCTGTTTATACCGGTGCTTCGTCTTAATCTCAGAATGTCATACAAGTCTCTGCTAGTTCGGTCGTCCAGTCTGCGCTCACCTGTCATGTATAACACGTTGAGCCGTCTTCGAAAGTGACAAGGAAAAAAAATGCTCCGTACTGGGCTCGAACCAGTGACCTTCCGTTGTTAATATGAAACTCAGATGTATCTGAGGCACCGTGTATTAGACGGATGCGATAATCCAACTACGCTAACGAAGCTGTATGAAAGTGTGAGCAGTATATGTATATATATACTGTTTTTTTCGGCTTGACTTCCCTTCCTTTTGTGATCGACAGGCTTCAGGTTTGCACTTCATCCTTCCGAATCGACAAGTGCGGTAATCTCCTACAGCACAGCAGTCTTCCACTTCGTTTCTTCGGTCTAGTGCTTCCACCTCTACGAGAGCATGCTGCTCAGTGATACGACGGTGGCTTGTGACAGAGCCTTGTCGGCGGGCACCATTTGCTGCAAACGACCGTGCTTCAGTCGGACGGGAAATTGGGGGCAAGAATTCGTGCTGAGAGGATCTTCTTGCCGATCTTTTTGTGCTGGAAAAAGAAGAAACGTCCAAAAAGCCTTTCTGCACGGTGCGCATGGGCGAGCAGCAGCAGCAGGCCTCATGACTTGAGTCTCGCACACAGAGCGTCATTCGACATCACTATCTTCCTTACCAACACTTCACCAAATCACTCACACTCACACAACACAGAAAGCAACAATGTCGAGTGCTACACAGAAGACGGCGGCTGCGGCACCCGAGGCGGCCAAGGAGGAGAGCTTCAACGACAGCATCTTGCCCAAGTACAAGGTGGCAGGTGAGATCTCGGCCAAGGCGATCAAGGCGGTCATTGCGGCCGCTGCCGAGGGCAAGACGGTGCTCGAGCTTTGCAACGTCGGCGACAAGGTGCTGGAGGACGAGACGGCGGCGGTGTACAAGGGCAAGAGCATCGCCAAGGGCATTGCTTTCCCCACGACCGTGTCGATCAACCAGGTGGTGTGCAACTACTCGCCCCTGCCAACGGACGAGGAGCAGATCACGCTCAAGAAGGGCGATGTGGTCAAGGTGCAGCTCGGAGCGTTCATCGATGGACTGCCGGCTATCACGGCGGAGACGTTCGTCGTTGGAGCGGACGCCTCGAGCCCCGTCACCGGTCGTGCGGCCGATGCGATCAAGGCGGCTCTGGTTGCCGCCGACGTCGCCATCCGCGTCATGAAGCCCGGCGTGCTCAACACCGAGGTCTCCAAGGAGATCGAGGCTGCCATCAAGCAGTTTGGCTGCAAGGCCGTCGAGGGCATGCAGACCAACCAGTTTGCTCGCAACGAGATCGACGCCAAGAAGAAGATCGTCCTCAACGCCGAACCCGGTTCGCGCCCCGATACGATCAAGCTCGAGGAGGACGAGATCTACGGCGTCGACATCTCGGTCACCACTTCCGCCGAAGGCAAGACCCGCAGCGATGACAGCAAGACCACCATCTACCGCAAGACCACCAACACGTACCTGCTCAAGCTCCAGACGTCGCGCAAGGTGCTCGGCGAGATCCAGAAGAAGGCCGCCTCGTTCCCCTTCAACCTCAAGAGCCTCGAGGATGTCAGGAGGGCAAGGATCGGCGTCCAGGAGTGCGCAAAGCACGGTCTGCTGACGCCTTTCCACGTCCTCGAGGACTCGGATAAGAAGGCCATCACCGCCCAGATCTTCTTCACCGTCGCCGTCAACTCCAAGGGCGCCATCAGGATCACCCCCGCCCCCACCTGGGCGAACGAGGACAACGTCAAGCCCGACAAGAAGGTCGAGGACGAGAAGATCAAGGCTCTGCTCTCCACCGCTGTCCGCCAGACAAAGAAGAAGAACAAGCCCGCCGCCGCTGCCGCTTCCGCTTAAGCGTACACCAACGTATCAGAACGTCTCGTCCACATGTCGTCAGTGGCAACGCGCAATACTCAAGATCCGTGCCTCTAGCTGTGGGCCGATTTTGACGTCTCATACCGGGTCAATCAGACCCACAAAACACATGTCTTTCACAGCAATGCGCAACGAAAAGAGAGAACAACAGCACAACTCATCACGAGACTGTGCGCAAGAGACTGCGATGAGGGATGACATCAAGCTTTGCATTGTGCGATCGAATGAACGTCTGTGTGAAGGTCCACGTGCGTGCCGCTATTGCCGCCTCTTCTGCTTCAAAGGGCAAGGTCATCGTACGCATCAGGGTCCTCGGGCTCCATCATCGTGCCCTCGTTCTCCACCATGGCCGCATATGCCACAATCTGCTTCTGAGCGTCCTCTTCGCTCTTGACCTCGTCCTGGCCGAACGGCATGACGCTCAAATCGAGCGCGGCCTGCATTGGGTCCGACAAGGCTCGCATCGTCGCCGGCTTGTCCGCTCCCGCACTCTGCTTCTTGCTCGGGTTGAACTTGGCGCAGCGCGCTTCGCTGAGTCCGTACAGCTGCTTGAGGTGGTTTCGCAGCAGCAGCGTCGTGCCAGCGATGACAGACATCTTGGCGACGGTGACGGGATCCACCTGGGCTTTGGAGCCGGCGGCTCCCTCTTCCTGACCTCTGCTTGCGCCTGCTGCCGTGCTTGGATCATTGCTGTTCTGTGCCGATTCGTTGCCGCTCGCCGCCATCGGCTGAGGCAAGCCAAATATCTGGGTCGGATCGACTGTGTCAGCAAATGGCGGCGGGGCATCGCTCGCGAGCTGCAGCTGCCACTCGCCTGAGAGCCAAGGGTTGCGGGACATTCCGAATGGACTTATCAAGTCATTGCCGGCAAAGCCAACCCCTGGCGGTGGCGGTGTCCTCATGCCGTCCAGCGAGTCCGTCATGGCCGAAACGGTCAACGCATCCTGCTTGGGCAAGTGCGGTTGCATCATGTAGAGCACTTGCATGCCCGAGACCGCCAAGATCGAACGCAGCTCGCCGATGACGATGAACAGCTCTTCCATCGTCTTGTAATCGAGCGTGGCGAGGTTGTCAGCCATGAATCGTGCGAACAAAACTTCGTCCAGACTGCAGTCCGAGGCGGCCGTGTTGACATCGAGCGCCTTGACAATCTGCTTGAGGAAATCGAGTCGCGTGGCTCGACGATCTCGCAGCAAGCTGTACCATGCGCCGAGCACCGCCGTCGGCATATTTTCAACACGGAAGCCGCGCAGCGCTTGAGCCCCGGACAGCTGCAGCTGGAAGCGGAATGCAGATCGCGCGGTATCGAGAAAGCGTGCGTGCACCAATGAGGCGTGCTTGGAGGCCAGATGGCTGTGCAGTTCCATGGCTCGACTTCGCAGCTTGCGATCCTCGAGCGTCTCGAGCGACACGAGGTAAGGCACACACTGGATCGGATGAGAGAGACCCTGCATCACGGTATAGCGCAGGATGTCGATCGCAGTACGCTGCAGCGGTGGATTCGAGACCTCCAGTGTCGCCTTGAGCACATCTTCGGAGTAGCGCTGCATCATGGCCGAGCCTACACCTGTGTCGGCAAAGGTCTCCGTATTGCCCACGAGAATCGTCATGTCGACGCTGCCGGCATCAGGATTCTCCGGCTTGCGACGTCCAGTGCCAGCGGTAACGACCGCATTGTCCGGATTGCGGCGTGCAGAATCAGCGCTGAGAAAGTCAAGGATGATCTTGAGCAGAGTCGCGCGATCCTGCAGCGAGCCTGAGGCGAAGATGTCGTCCATCATGTTCGAAAGAGATTGACGCGTCATCAGAGTGGGATGGGCACGGAAGATGAAGCCCAGATTCTGAAGGGCTACCGAGCGCACTGCCTCGCTACCGGACTTGTGGATATCGAGGAGAGCCTCTGACACCACGTCGATGAGCGGCCGCTTGCTCAGCGCGTCGATCTCGGGCGCCGTCTCGGGATACTTTCTCCTGATCTCGTCGAAATCAGCGTGCTCGCAGAGGGAGGCGGTCAAGGACATGAGCGTACTCCATGCCTTGTTGTCCTCGATTTTCTGACCTCTGAGCGCTAGTTGCCGCATTTGTTGTACACGCGTGAAGCATGCTTTCAGAGTCTGGATCAAAAGGCGGAAATTGTGCGTGTGCGTGGTGATGACGGCGCAGTAGCACGCGATGAGCTCCTGCAGCAGGTGTAGACCTGCCTTGGGCGGTGGTCGGTTGACGAGAGGGCGGAGACTCTTCTCGAGTGAGTCGGCAAACGCCAACGCCGTCTTTGGCATGTGAGGCAAGCAAGAGCGGAAGATCCTCAGGAGCAGGTCCATGATCTGCACTTCCTCGCCCGTTTGTGCTGCTTTGAGGTAGGGCAGGAGCAACTTGGCCTTGGAGATGGTGAGGATGGCGGGATTGGTGGACACCAGCAGCTGCACGATGCGGATGCGCTTGACGGTATCGATGCTCGATGCGCCGCTCGACTCGACGAGACTGTCGATCATGGAATCGCCGAGCTTCTGCAGCTTGGCGTGCAGCTCCGCTGCCTCGCCCTCCGACTTGTCCTTAAAGAGCCGTCGGAACACCTCTTCCAGGGGGGAAGGACGCTCCTTGATCACATCTGCGACCGCCATGATGGTCTCGATGGTGTCGGCCACCTTTCTGTCCGCCTCGGTCTCTTCGGACGAATCTGGATCCATGTCGAGAGCAACGACTTTCTCTTCTGCTTTGAGGGCACCTTCGACGCTTCCGTCCCTCGATGGGGAAAGACCCGCAGGCTGGACCGCAGCGACATCGGATCGCAATGGGCTTGCTTTGCGTCGAGCACCCAGACGACGTGTGTCGATGTCCATGTCGAGCCACATCTCGCCGATGGTGAGAGCGGCCATGTCCTGAACGACCGTATCTTCGTCGTTGATGCAGCGCACAATGCGAGCGCAAGCGTCGATGCGGATCTTCGGATCGTCCGTGGCCTCGAACAAGCTTTTCAAGAGGCGGACCATGCGTTTGCGCACCGAGAGACCGGTGTCGAGCACCCTCGCAGCCACTTGCTTGTAGTACGTGGGGATATGCTGCGGCTTTCGGAGAAGGTAGCTGCCAAAGAGAGCGACTGCACTGTCTCTGACTGCATTACTCGAGTCTCGAAGACGCACCTCGATGGCGCTGCGCATGGATTCCTCATCAAGTAGATCGGGGTCAATTTGTGCGATCCGGTCGATACCGCGTAGGGCTTTGCTGCGATTCGCGATGAGCGGATTGTTGAGGCCTTCGACGAGCAGGTCTCGCAGCGTCGAATAGGAGATCATTGAGCTGCTCGCAATCAGCGCACGCTCCGAAAAGTCCATCGCTTTGTCGAGCATCTTGTCGTCGGCAGTGAAGACGTCGAGCGCTGCATCACTGACGGCCGAGTCGAGCCCTGATAGCGTCACCATCGCTGCATCAAGCTCTTCGCGGAAGTGCTGGAGCTTGGCAATCGGCACTGCGCTGTCGTCTTCCGAGTTGTGAAGCGCAATCATGTCTTCCTCCGCCTTGGCCCAAGCGTTCGCCAAGTCTCCCTCAGCCTGAACCATCAAGAACTCGAGGGCACCCTCGGTCGACAGATCCTCGCTGCTGCTCTTGGCGAGGAACTGGTGGATGAATTTGTACGCTCGCACATACTCTCGGATGGCGGTTCGATCGCCTTCGCGCAACGCTCGCAGCATCGAGAGGAAATCCCACGATGTCCACTTTCGGCGCTTGCTCGGGCTGCCCGGTTCCGACGTGCTCGTCGATTGAGATGGCTCGTTCGTCGGACTGGCCGGTGTGTCGACGTCGGCGGGCTGCAGTTGAAGCTGACTTTGACGCAGTCTCGCAGCGACGAGACTGAGCTGCTCGAGCGCCACCCCCTTGGCGTCAGGGTGACTCTTGGGATCCTCGAGGTAGGTGCCAAAGACGCGGCAGAATGCGCTGAGCATCAGAGCCGCTGCGGGCCATTCCGGCAGATAAAGAGCGCTGAGGAGGTCTTGGATGAGCGACTCGATCACATAGGCGTGGCTCATCTCCTGCGACGATTTAGCCACTTTGTTCTGACCGATTCGCTGCATGAGGTAGCCTGCGATGGATCGAGCCGATGCATGGGCGCCCTCGAGACCTCGCTTCCAGATGGCAATCTCGGTCTCGCGAGCATGGTTGCTGTCGGGCTCGCTGGTGGCATTGTACGCTTCGATGACGACTTCGAGCGTCTTGGTTCGCTCTGGATCAGCATCGTCTCGGTCTTCTGCTTCGTCCTGGTCGTCGTTTCCCCGCGAAAGACGATCTGCTGCGGATCGAGCGTAGCTGGCCACGCCATGCGAGGCGGCCTGAATGAGTTGCAGCAGGAGTGCGTTGATCGAGTGGATGCCCTTGCCGTTGCGCAGGCTATACTGCCGGCGGTTCTTCTTCATGTCTGTCAGCTTGGTCAGAGACGTGAGGATCTCTTCGATCATCCACTGTCGTTGGTCTGGCGCCTTTGCAAAGATGCTGCGAAGCAGATTGAGCGCTGGCAATCGGAGCGTCTTCATCGAGTTGGTGCCACCGAGAGACTGCAGCGCAGAACGGCCACGCGCCGAGGCTTTGGCTGTTTCGCTGGACGCGCCTCCTCCGCCGGTCGCTTCAGGCTCGAGCACGAAGAAGGGGCCAAGCGCTAAATAGACGGCGCTGATGACGATGGAGTCGGACAGGGAAAGCGATGGCATGCGTACCATGCGCTGCACCAAGAAGAGCGCTGAGCGGAGGTGCGCAAAGAGGTCCGAGAGCGTGTTGCGACAGAGGATGCCGGTGCTAGAGGAGGTTGACTCGTCTCCATGGGCGGTGGCGGCCTTCTTCTTGCGGGCCTTCTGCGGCGCCAGAACGTCCATCAGCAGGACGAGATTCGCATGAGGCGCAGTGGCGGCGCTGCCTGAGCACGCTTCGATGAAGGGCAGAATGACCTTGTCGAGCGATACCTTGACGGCGTCGAAGGAGGAGCGGATGTGGTCTTCAGAGAGGATCTGTTTGGGAAGCACATCTCCGGTGAGCATAGCGAGGCTGCACTCGGCCGCTAGCAGAGCACGGTCCATGACGGCAAAAGTGGCGTTGAGCTGTTCGAGCTCTTCGTCGACGGAGCCCATCTTTTGAGCAACTTGAGCAGGGCCGTCCTCTGCCTGGTCTCCCTCTTTTGGAGTGTTGGCACCTCGCTCGTCTGCGTCGGCATCGAGGAAATGGTCAGGCGAGCGGGAAGGCTCTGGTGTCTTGGAGGACGACTTGCCGCGATCCTTTCGACCCTTTTTCTTCTGCTTCGTCGGTGAAGCTGGTTCCGAAGCCAGGGCTCGGTTGGTCTGAGACGGAAAGGGGTCGAGGTTCTCGCCGACACGTACTACACGCTCTAGAATGGACAGAAGTCGGATGACATCCGGCGCAGGGATCGTGCCCAGGCTCGGATGGGTCGCTGGTTGAGGTTTGCCTGACATGGTCGCAATTTCGTTGTGTGGGCGCGAGCACAAGACGATGAGCTTGATGAGCTTCTGAAGCGCGGCTGTGCGCAAGACCAGAACCGATCGAGCACCGCCCCCAGAGACGGCCGGCGACTCGATGATCTCGAAGAACGGGTCAGCGGCGGACGAGAGGCTCTGACCGGGAAGTATCTCGTGAAGCGAATCGCGGTCGGGCAGGGCGTCGTCGGCCTCGAAGAGATCTTCGATGAGACCGCACAGCTTGGCGATAGGCACCTTGCGTTGTGAGCTCTTGACGGGGCCATTGCTCATCTTCGCCAGGCTCTTGGGACCCTCGGGAACAGGACCAGCCTCGAGCGTGTCGATCATGTCGAGGCCTTCCCATTCGCTCCCTTCTGCATCTATGCCCGAGTCGCTATCTTCGACGATCTGGTTCATGAGATCGGACAAAGACTTGCGGTCCTGCTTGTTCTTCTTCTTCTTCTTCCTTTTGACTGACTCGTTCTGACTCGAACGTTCGTCGAAAGGCATGGAGGCTTGCGAGCGGAAGCCAGGATGTGATCCGTAGTCGTCGACGTCATGCATTGGAATGTCGACCGTGACCTCTGGCAGCATGTGCATGTCGTCATCATCATCGTCATCGTCGTACTTGACAACGACAAGGGCCTTCTTCTTGTTGTTCTTTTTCAATTTCAGAGGCTTAGGCTGCGCAGCTACGAGACCGCCCTGCGACGAGCCGACCGGCGATTCTGGCACCTGGAGATTGAAGGTCGGAGCTGGAGCCGCTCGCTCGTCCTTGAGCTTCTTGACACGCTTTTTCTTGGGCTTGTCGGCGGCAGGCGAATCCTTGCGTTTGACCGGAGCGGTGGCATAGTCCGAGGCTCGTGTGGTCACCATGCTGTCTTGGTTGTGGTACTGGGAAGCAAGGCCTTGGTGTGAGGTGCCGTTGATGAAGGATGGCTGAGGCGGCAAGGATGATGAGGAGGTGCTAGGGTGCTGCCAGAGGGAAAAGTGGCCGTTGGGCGAAAGAAAGTTGAGCGGGTCTGGGCTTTCTTGGACCGACAGTGTCTGTGAGGCCCGCAGAGGTGGAGTCTGCGGCTCCTCAGCAGAGGTTTGCATTGCGAATGTGCCCACAGAGAAGGCGGGAGAAGGGGCCGACATGGCGGCTGAGCCTGTGGCAGCAGGAGGAGGCCTGGCAAAGATCTGACTGGGCGAAGCATACTGAGGCAGCGGCGCAGTGCCGATCACGGGACCTGGAGCAGAGAGGCTGTGCCGAGGAGGGCCTACCGCCGCAGCTGAGCCGAGATCAGAGGTGAGGATCGAGTTGGGCTTCAGCTTGACTGCAATCGGCTTTGCCTTTGCTGTCGGATGTGCCGATGGTGATGGTGGTGGCGGTGGGAAAGTCGCAGTGTGATTCAGCTGGGCGATATGCGGACTCGACGACATGGCACTGTCGAGCGTGGAAGGAGCCGAAGAGGACGAAAGTGACTGTGAACTGGGCTGAGGATACTGCCGTGACGTGCTGGAGTGCTTTCTTGCTACTGACAGGCTCGGAGAGCCCGGCTCTGTCAATTGCGGCATGTGATGTGATGATCCCATGGACTGTCCTGAATTGGGCACGCGTGACGATCCAGAAGCATGTGCTGGTGAGGCTCCCCAAGCCATGTCAAGACTGCTGCTACCCGTGGGAAGTGATGCAGGACGTGGACCTGACTGTGCTGCTGACCTGTTGCTAGCATAGATGGGAGCCGCAGGCGTGTCGAGGAAGTCTGCACGTCGAGTGTTAGATGGAAGCTGTGACGAGCTGCAATGCAGATCGAGGTTCGATGCGGAGGAGGAAGAAGCGGATTGCGGTAAACGGTGCGGAAGCGTCCGAAACAGTGGGCGCAGCAGAAGTGAAAGTGCATCAAGAGGGTCAAAGGTCAGCGGCAGGGTTTAAACGCCACAAAATGAAGTGGCAGAAAGTACTGAACCCCAACCAGTCAATGTTTCGAGGCGAGAGTTCGGACCAGCCGAAGGCGGCTTGTCACAAATGTGATCGCAGAGAACCGCAAAGCTGAACTTACCTTTCTATCGAAGAGCGGGGCGGATGCGCTGCAGCGTGACTCGAAGCTTGATTAGGCTGCACGTTGGAATAAGGTTTGCTCTGATTCCATGAGGCGAGGCTAGAGATCGGAGCAGCATTCTGAGTATCACGCTGAGCAGCTGGCCATGATGAGACTTGCTGTCCGCTGCTGCTCAAAGCTTTGTTCCACTGGTTTGACAGCGCCAGATCTGCAGCCTGCATGCTTGGCACAGGACTCCCAGAAAGGTCGTCGTTGAAGTGATCCTGACCAGAAACACGCCGAAATTGTGCATTGGGCGTGGGTGTTTCGAGCCCAGCCATCAGATTGAACGTCTTGCCCACTGGCTGTCCTCCGCTGTGGAACATGTCCGACATAGGCGACTGCGACATGGCCAGTCGTTCTCGCGTGCCCGTGGACGGCGCATACGGCGATTCGTACGAAGAAGCATGCTGCGGCTGCAGATCGTGTCGTGGAGTCGTATGGTTCGAGACAGTGTTCGACGGCGGTGCGAGCGCGAGCGCGTGGTGCTGTTGGTACTGTGACGGTCCCGCGGAGGACTGGAAGCGTTGCTCGACGGGCGAGGTGACGTTACCAGGGTCCATCGATTGACGCTGCAAAGGTGATGCAGCAGACGCCGCCATGTAGCCTCCATTGTAGTGCTGTTGAGGCTGACGCTGCTGGTGCTGCTGGTGGTGATGCTGCTGCGGCTGCGGCCTCAGATGCTGAGGATTGCCATGCGGATGAGGCCCGACATTGTGCAGCTGAATGTTGCCAAAATGGAAACCTGCACTTTCTCGACTCATGGTGTTTGGATTGAAGCTGGCAGTTGGAGAGTGCTGCGGGACTTGAGATGGGTGGCGGCCTCCATGGCTCGATGGCGGATAGGTCCCAGAACCTGGTAGCGAAGCTGCTTGGCTAGGACCAGCGCCAGACTGGTAGCGCGGCGAATGGTCCATTCCGTTCATGCCGGCGTACGGCGATGGAGCCATAGCTGCAGCATGTCCATTGCGGTAGCCAGGAGACGTTTGCTGGGGATAGAGCTGACTTTGGCTCGACTGCTGATGCTGCTGATGAAGTTGGAGAAACTGCTGCTGTGGAGGGTGTTGCTGTTGCTGCTGCTGCTGCTGTTGCCGAGCTGGAGCATTGTACGCTGGGTAGGATGGCTGTTGGCCAGCATACCAACCATTCTGACCATTCATTTTGGGTCACCGGGGTCCGCGTCAGTGGTGGCAGCGGGTCGACTGAACTGCGCAAAGCGCGGGTTATGAAGTCGAATTGAGCCCACCACTTCCCACCAACATGCGAGCTGGCACCTTGTCAGGGTTTCTGCAGGTTCGATGGCGTTTCGTGTCGGTGCGTCGTCCAGAGAGAGTCGGCTTGTTGTTTCTATAAAGACCAGCTCGACTCCATCTCTGGCCTCTATTCGAGCTTGAGGATCTCGAAGACGTATTAGGTTGAGCTCTGCGGTCCGTAAACACAGGCTCTGTGCTAGCGGCGTGGTGAATCTTGTGCGCTGATCGAGTCCAAGCTTGGCGCGCTGGATGAGAAAGTGCCGAGCCTCGAGCTTGTTTCGTGGACCAATGCCAGGATGAAAGCGAGTCAGTTCACCAAGCTCGAGAAGCGAGCGTATGCGTTGAGGTCGATTCAGGGTTCCGGCTAGGTCAGCTCAAAATCGCCTCTCGCGTGCCTCAACACCAAAATCGGATCGCTTTCCGTTGCAGCTGCAGCAAGCTCTCGAGCTCTCGCCTGCTTTCCGACTTCCGCACAAACACGGAAGAGCCGGCTGGCTGGCTCTCCTGCTTGGCTGCTTGTCACATTTCCTGCGCCTGTTCACGGACCTCATTTCAGCGCAGTCACAACCGAGTCAATCATCCTAACCACCAACAATCACACCACAGACTCGTCTCTTTCCGATCCATCATAACTCTTCTGTGACTTCGCCCCCTCAAGACTCGTTGTTGCTTCTCTTCTCGCTTCTTTCTGGTATCCGCATCCTCTTTCGTTTCGTTCAGGCCCCCGGATCACGTTCGCGCGGTTTTGTTGTCTTTTCCTTTTCACCAGGATAGCTGGCGCTGTCGGCCATGAAGCGCAATTATCCTTACACTGGGCCTGGCTCGCAGGGGCAAGGTGCGTCGCAGCCAGCCTATGGCCAGCCGCCGCCGCCTGCTGGTCCAGCTCCACCACTACCATCCTCGGGCCTATCTCAAGGTGCTTGTGCTAACTACGGATACGGCTCTGTTGCGCCCGCACGTAACACAGCTCCTCCCTCGAACGGTGCTCATCCTCCGCAATGGAATCAGCAGTGGCCACAACCACAGCAACCGCAGCAGCCTTACTATCCACCACAGCAGCCTAATGCTGTCAGCGCACCCGGCGCAGGCCAATTTGCAGGGCCACGTCCTCCTTCGCAGCCAAGGCCCTATCGTCCCGTGGCCGGTCCCATCGCAAATTCTTCCTCCGTGAGCCAGAGTGCAGCTTACAGTCCTCACCAGCCTCAGCAATCCGTGCCCTACTCGTATCAACCTCAGGCTTCTCCCATGCACTCTCAGTCCGCTTCGTCGCATCATCATCAGCCAGTCGCGCCTCCCGCTTATGGATACACTCCGCCAATGACTCCGAACCAGAATCTTTCCCCTTCGCCGCATAGCAGCAATGTCCAGAGTTGGCCTGGTGCATATGCTCCAGGCAGTCAGGTGGGTCCGCCGAACAAAAAGCCACGCTATCAGGCTCCTGCCGCGAATGCTCCAGCACCGCCAACTCAATATGGCCCACCTGGTGTCGTGCCCATGGCACCCGCCGGAGGCCATATGGCTGTTGGTGCAATGAACCAATACCATCCGCCGCCGCAGCAGCAGTACGGCTGGCAAGGACCTCACCCAACTCCCCCGCAGCAGATGAATCAGCAGCCCGTCCCAGGTCCTTCAGCTCCGCACGGTCGAGTGCCATCAGTAAATGGCTTCAACGCCAATGTTCCCAGCCAAGGAGCTCCATTCGTACCTCCGATCAGGAACGATACGGGAGGAAAGGGAGCTGGCGGTGTCGGTGGTGGAATGAATCGAAAAGGTGCTCAGAATCGCGGAAGCATGCAGACTGGCCAGCGTGCTGGACTTCCGGCCAATCCGACGGCCTCTGTCAATGCCGCGCGCGCGCCCAATGGTCAGACGCGCGCCTGGGGTGCTTCTGGCACCGGCGATCCGTCCGATCGGCGTGTGTCTTCTGCTAGTTCCGTGCACAGCGACAAGGCGCTTCTGCCTGGTCAAGCGAAGAAGGCAGTCCCAGGCTCGAAGGTCGTGATCCCTCCGAATGCTCCACGTGGGCCGAGCAATGCTAGGAACCAAATGGCGCCGAACGCGCCCGCGACAGCTTCTCAGATTTCGAAAGGTGGCGGTGCAGCTGCACAGAGCGCAGCTGTGGCTGCTTCCGCCTCTGGAGACATCGGAGCCAAAGACAATGCGGCTAGCTCGAAGCGAGCCCACACCGACTTTCGTATTCTGGGCTTGGAGATCAAGCAGCTGGACTGGTCATGGTTTGCTCCCAGTGCCCTGGCGAAAGCAGAAGATAGTAGCCGTGATCCGACGAATGAGGAACCCGACTCGACTCAGAACCCGGACGAAGGTGCACAAGAGGCAAAAGTAGCCTTTGCCGTTGCTGCCGTCGAAGACCTCTCTTCGAAGGGTCACGACGCCGAGGCTGAAGCCTCGCACGCGCAAGGCAGTGCTCGGCCTGATGGTCGCAACGACGAATCGAACGAGACCAAAGGCGAGAATTCTGCCAAAGACGAGCATGCCGATACAAACATCCCGGACCGGGGCAACGCGGGCGAAGTTGCAGGCATTGACGCTTCGGACGCTGCTGATGCCGCCGCGGATGCTGATGATGATGGTGATGTTGATGCTGATGCTGTTGCCGATGCAGACGCGGATGCTGATGGTGACGATGACGCCGATGCCCACGCCGGTGATGACGAAGGCGATCCAAAAGCAGAGGGCGAAGACGCGCAGGACGCAGGGGACAATGTCTCTATGTCTCACGCCGACGAGACTGCGCCTTCCGAGCACCAGCATTCGGTAGCATCCACGCCTGAGCCGAGCAGCGAACGGTCGAAGGACCCGGCTGCCAAAGACAGCGGCTCTGCAGCGCAGAAGGGTCCCAAATCGAAGGCCGAAGGAGCGAAACTTGCGGCGAATCTTCGAGATTCAACTAAGCTTCGCCTCTGTTTCGCTGCTATGTCCAATGCGGGGCCCGAAGGCGCTCCCACTGGTCCGAAGTCTTCCAAGATGCAGGCTCTGAAGACCGAGACTGAAAGCAATTTCCAGGAAGAGACGATAGCCGAATTGACAGTGCCAGATCCGAATACTACGGAAGAAGCAGAGGCGCGGGAGCCAAGTACGGCTGAGACCAAAGCTGACGACGTAGGACTCGCACAGGAACTTACCGAGATCAAGAGCGAGCCCGAGCAGCCTCTAGTACAGACGAGAGAGGACAACATTGCGTTGGGCTCTGACGACGCAGAGGCTCCTCCCGCCAACACGTCTACCGAGCTTGCTGATGCAACAACGGCCGTAACAGACGCCAATGTCAAGGAGAAGAAGAAGGAAGACGTCGAAGAGGGTGGAGCAGCCGAGAAGAACGTGGCGGTCAAGCAGGAGGATGATGAACAAATCGACCAGATCGCTGCCGAACATCAAGACGACGAAACCACAAGCGAAGCGGACAAGAACAAAAAGTCACGATTGACAGCCGAGCCGAGCCCTCCAGCAAAAGGACCACCTCAACTCTCCTTGAATCGCATCTTCCTCTCCTTTGCCGCCAACAGGAAGCGCCTCGCTATCGACGCCGAGGCGGTCAAGTCGGTCAAGATCCATCGTTCAGAACACTGGATTGAGATCTGCATCGACGCATCGCAACAGGACGACCACGCTCATCGAAAAAAGGGCGGGGAGTACCTCGTCTGCCGCGGTTCGTTGCTCGAGAAGCGAACCAAGGGGCAGGAGAACTACACAGCGGTATCAAGAACGGACATTGCCGCCGCCTGGGATGCTGCCAACGGCGACGCTTCGGACGATGATCATCTCGAGCTGCCACCCTTCTTCCGTCTCCCCTCGTCGTCCCCGGAGCTGGTCCTTCACGTGCGGCTAGACCCCTCCGCGCCACTACCCGAACCAGCCTGGCTGCGGAAAAACGACGTCGCCGAGCTGCTCGCGAATCTCCAGCGCGGGAGCAGCGCCATCGCGGGCCAATCGGATACGGCAGTCTCCGTGGCGACGGCGCAGCACGTCTGGGCGGGCAAAATCCAAGTCCTCGATCCAGACCCGCCACCGTCCATGTCGACATTCATGTACGAGTGGGTCAAGGGGTCGTTTATCGGGAGTCAAAAGGAGAGGCGGAAGTTCGTTGACGAGCTGCTCGGCAAGACAGCAGTAAAGGTGGAGGGGACCATGGTGAAGGTCGAGGAGGGAGCAGACGCGGACAATGAGCGAGACGCCCGAGTAGCTCGCAGCTTCGTAGAGATCGTCCTGCGTCTCATCAAAGGCGAGCGCGTGACGTCTACCATCGATTCAAGCGTCTTCACTGCCGCCCTGGCCTCGACCTCCTATACGTCATCCACCACCTATCCGGGCCTATTCATGCTCGGTCTGCTTGAAGTGGCCCTCGCTGCCGATCCTGCCCAGGTGCGAGAGCAGGTGGATCGCATGCTGATGGCCTTCCCGCGCGCAACACTGGTCAAGGCGGTCGATCTGACGTGGAAAGACGTCGTCGAGTCGGGGAGGAAGGGCGAGGCTCCCATCCCTGCAGCTGCACCAGCACCGGCGAGACCAGCCGGATCGCAGCGTCGACAGCACCAGAATGGGCGACAGCATCATCACGGAGGAGGCGCGCAGAACCGACACGGCAAGCGAAAGCGCGGTTGACCGTGTCACTTAGCAATTTGAATTGTCACGATCTCTCTCGAGTGCGGGCTGTGCGATCTCAGACGGCGACATGCAGCACCCCTCAATTCGAAAGTGAGAACGAGTCTTCCTGAGAACCAATGCTTCGTGAGTCATGATAGTATACATAGGCCGTAATCGAAATGTAAAAAAAGGTATAAGAAACCGAATGTCCTCCTCCTCCTCCTTTCAAGCGTAGAACTTCTTGTTGATGAGATGCACCAGCAAGTTGACGTTGGCCTCTGCGGCGCCATCGAGGATCTGGAGCGTGGGTGTGTTGTTGAACTGGCTCTCTAGGAGGTCCTCGATGCGCAAATCCGTGCTGATTCCCGCGGCGGGACCGTTGAGCACCTCCACAGTAAACACGCCCGCCTGATCGGATGAGATGGTGAGGTTGACCTCTCCCGCCCCACCACCTGCACCCGCCCCGCTGTTTCCCCTCAACGTCCCACTCCCACTGCTCGTCATCCCACCCAATCCATCCACACTCACCAACACACCCTTCTCCATCAACTTCCCACACGCATACCGATAACTCCCGAACTTGGGCACCCTCCCTCCATTCGCCTTCAAACTCCTCAGGTGACTCCACTGCTGGGAGAACGGCACCACGAAGCGTCTCTTCCCCTTCCGCCCTTGCATCGTCTGCATGCTCGCATCGATATAGCTGTGATAGCTCCCGATCTGCTCCTCGAGGTATCGCTTCTTCTCCTTGAGCGTCGTGAGCGTCGCATGCATGGCGGTCTTCTCGTTAGTTCGCTGGATCCGCTTGCGGTGCTTGTTCCGGATGTCGATGGCAATGGCGTTGAGCATGTCCTGATAGTTGTTGGCGCGGGACACCTTGTGCAGCTGTTCGAGCTGGAGCATGTTTTCCAATGTACGCGCTTTGAGTTCGGCAAACGTGAGACGACGGACGTCCTCCAATCGACCCGCGCCGGCGTAGGCGGAGCGCGATCGATCGGTGACCATCTCGTGAGAGACAATCTCCACCCACTGCTGCTCCTCCCTATCGGTGACCGGTGCCACAAAGACATCCACCAGCGTCTTGCCAGATTGCACCTTGAGCAGTGAGAGAACCAATCGCTTGGTCTCGACGAACAACGCCTTGGTTTCCGCTTCGGGATCCTGCAACGTTGCCATGCGCGAAACCAGCTCGAAGGTGATCTCGCTATCACGCGCCGAGTTGAGCTCCTGCGTGTTGCTCACAGGCGGCGCACCCAACTCCTTCAAGATCACCCGCAATGGATCATCCTGACCCTGCGCCAAGTGGTCCACCTGCTGCGAGAGCAGCAAGTGCATCGAGTAGATCTCGTTGGGCGAAATGTAGATCACAGGCTTCTGCTGCACCGTATGATCGACAAACTCGTCCGCGCCAAAGTGCAGCTCGGCATCGGGGCAGTCGATGATGCCGTGCAGCCACTTGGCAAAGCGTTCCGAGGCGCTCGAGACGTAGTCGTTCAGAGGCTGGAGGTACGGGTTGTCATCGTTGAAGAGACGACCGACCGCGATCTGCGTCAGCATCTTGGACACCTCGGCGAGGTTCTTGCGCTGCATGGGGCCGACGAGCGTTTCGACCACGTCAAAGCCTTCTGGTGCAACGATGGCAGGGTTGAGGTAGCGGTAGTAGACGAGGTGGCCGACGACCTTGATCAGCGCATCTTCGGGCTCGTTCGGGAACTTGGCTTGGAGTGCACGGAACACTTCACGGGCAATGTAGCGCACACCGTACGGCATCTTGCGCGTCGATGACAGGATTGCCGACAGGAACGCCTCGGTCGTGGCTCGCAGCGATTGGAGGTGGCGGATGAAGATGGTTCGTGCCATGGGATCCGCGAGCGCCTCGTTGAAGGCGACCTCGAGCGGGCGACGCGACGGCTGACCCGTCTCCATCTCCTCTTGGGTGATGGTCGAGCGGTAGATAGCGCAAGGATCCGTTTCCAGATCAAGCCCGTCTTGCGACATGACGTCCTGCACCAACGGCGACAGAAGATCCTTGAGGTACTTGCGCTCGCGAGCTCCGCGGTTGTACTGCGCCACGAGCTTGATGAACTGCGCATTGCCTCGGATGAACTCCTGCACCGTCGAGACGAACCCGAGCTCCTCCTCGACACAGCGCTGGAAGAGCTTGAGCAGCAAGAACTCTTCGCGGGCCTTTTGCGCATATCCGAACAGCGTCAGCACGATCTTCTCGACCTGGCGCTTGTCCTGATCGGCCATGTCGATCTTGCCGACACGAGCAAAGAGACGAGCGAGGTATTCGGGCCTTGTCTGCAACGCGTAGAAGAGCTCCTGGTAGAGCTCAAACTTTCGCCTCGAGGATCGGTCCAGTGCATGATCGGCAAAGGGGTCGTTGGCAGCCACTAGCAGCGAATTGCGCTTCTGTACGGCTGCAGCCGCATCACGCTGACCTAGCAAGCCGCGCTCGTTCTTGGCCTTGATGAGCTCCTCGATGCCGATCTTGTTCTTCACCAGCAGCGCGATCTTGGTGTCCAGCTCCGAGACGTCGTTTTCGAGCGTCTGCGACTCGCGAATAGCGCGCACGACGAGCTTACGAAGACGCTCGACCTCGATCTCGTCCTCAAAGTCGGCGTCCGAGTCGTTGAGCAGATGGCCAAAATTCTTGATTGTCGCGACGGGCACGTTTGTGCCCATGGTGAGACTGCGATACTGCTCGCCCTGCTGTCGTCCGCGGAAGAGGCTCTGGATCTTGACGACCTTGTCCATGTGCTCGTGATAGTGGCGCAGGCGCGAGAAGAATTTGCGACGGCTGAGCGCACCTCGGATGAGCGACTGCAGGTGGATGGCGACCGGCTCGCTCTGGATGATGTGCGCTCTCCACCAGTCGTACTCTGTCCGAACAAGCATACCTCGGATCGCAGCTTGGATGCCGACCACGTCGGGCGTGACAAAGTCGAGCTGCTTCTTCTGCTCTTGGTGCTTGCGTCGAGCGAGCGCAGCGCGGGCAAAGGATTGAAGACCGCCGACCGCCGCCTTGACCTCGACTTTTTGCAGCGCCGAGCGCATCCTGACGTGATTCTTGCGGGCCAAGACACCTCGGATCTGAGCCTGCACCGCTGTGATGGCATCGTTGGAGTTGCGCAAACCTCGAATGGTGCCCAGCAGCTTCTGCTTGGCCAGCACGGTACGGCAGGCAGCCTGCAGCCCGATGACGTCTTCGGTCGAGTCGGCCAGACGGTAGATGAGGTTGTCGTAGGCAACACGAGCCAGACGACCACGGATCTGTGCCTGCAGACCGACAACGTCGTTCTCGTGCTTGTCGAGCGCCTTGATGTTCTCGAAGAAGCGGCGGCGATAGAGAGCGCCTCTGGCACAGGCCTGGAAGTTTTCGATGGCTTGAGCGTTGCCGGTGTCGTGCACACGCTTGACGTGCTCGACATGCGTCTGACGAGCCAGCTTGGCCCGCACAGCAGCCTGAAGACCGACGTAGGTGCGCGTGCTTGTGTGCACGGCGGCATGCTTGCGGTGGTGAGTGCGACGGGCCAGCACACCTCGGATCTGAGCCTGCATCAGTGGAGTCCAGCGCGATACGATGCGATCCTCCTCGGCTCTGCGTTGGCGAACGCGCTCTGCCTCGGCCGCTGCAGCCAATCGTGCCTCTTCCTCGTGACGACGCTGAATCTCTGCTTCAACCCGATCTGCGAACCGCGACCTCGATACAAAGGCACGCGAAACCGTCTGTAGTGCAACGACGGAATCGATGTTCTCCATCAACTCGCGATCGATGCGTTCCTGCTCCGTCTCCGGCTCAGGCTCGGGCTCCATGTTCATCTCCTTGGCGAGCGCCTTGCCGACTCCGCCGAACGAGGGCATGGCGACGCCCGACGCGTCGAGACCCTTTTGCGTCTTCTGCAGCTGGTCATCGGTGAATTCGAGCTTGCCGATCAGGTTGCCGACCTTGCGCGCTCGGCCCTGACGTGCGAGAACGTGACTGAGTGCGTGGATGCAGTAGACGATCTTGGGGAAATTCTTCTTCTCGTACAGATCGGTGAGCTCGAACTGGAAGAAGTGCGGCAGACCGACCTTGTTGATGAATGAGAAAAAGTAGTTGATGTTGTCCGTGTGACGGTACTGCAGCTTCGGGTGGACGAAGATGCGTGGCACACAGTCCGGCTCGAACTGTTTGGCGAGCTTGGCGAGGAAGATGCCGTTTCGCATCTCGTTCTCCATCTCGACAACGTCTCCGAGATGTTCGCCGACGTGAAGCTCCATCCATTCCTTAGCCTCTCCACAGTGACAGAGATACTCGTAGGCTTGCAGGAGGTGGCGTTGTGTGTCCATCCACTTGCTCGAGCTGGTCATCGGGAGATTGGACGTAGCAGTCGCTGGACGACCGAGTGCCATGGTGCCTGGACCGTCTGCGCGTGCAAGACGGATGCGTCCTTGAAGACCAGCGACATCTTCGGCGCCTGTCGTGATACCAGGAAGTACGATCTCACCCTCCTGATCCTCGCTCTCCATGCGTCCAGGGCGTCCCGGCTTCTGCCAGCCCTCTTCGATGGTAGGTTCGAGGTTGAGGCTATTGAGACGATCCGAGAGCGGTCCGCCAGTAGCATCGATGCTATGTGTGCGCTGGCCACGCGATCGACCCACCGTCATTCGAGTATGGCCGGGCTGATCACCGGGTGAGCCCATATCGTCGGTCTTTTGGGTGAAGCCCTGCATCATCTTGAGCGCACCAACACTGGACCGCTTGAGGTCCCTGACACCGCCAAGATGCAGCTGTGACGGACCAACAGTGTTGGATCCGCCATTTGCGCCATTGGTACCGTTGCTCCAGAAGCTGCCCTGCTTGGGCGTAGAAGGCGATGTTATCCAGGAGCTGTCTTCCTTCTTGGGCGAAGCGAGCGGAGAGTCGTAGCTGCCGTTCTTGCTGGGAGACACAGAACGGTCGGAGTCTTTGGTTGGCGAATAGGCACGAGCACGACCCACTGTCGATGAGTTGAAGAGATTGTCGCGGGACGCCGGAGGCATCGAGGTGGGTCGACCGTTGACCCCTCGAGACGCCGCCGGGAAGGTGGCTTTGCTGAAGGTTGCCGGGGTCGGTGAGGTAGTAGCAGTGACCGAGTGATTTGAGTCGGACCTGTGGAGACTGCCGTTTGAGCCGTACGCGCCTGACGATGCAGCGAGAGGAGAGGCTGTTGGGCTGTAGGCAGAAGAAGCGGCAGCGGCTGCACGGAGCTCGGCGGTGCGTTGCGGATCAAGGGAAGCAGTGTGGCGATGAGGAGCGGGGAAGCGCCTCACCGAGTTGGACTGCTGCAAGCCCGTCCCTGTTGGGCTGCGCGTTACATTCGAGTCGATGGAAGAAGCGAGCGAGAAGGTGCTGCTTCGGGATGCAGAACGATCGAGATACTTGGACTGGTATGCAAAAGGACTGTTGCGGGCGTTTGGGCTGGCCGCTGGCAGCACGGGTTTGGCCTGCTGGTCCATCATCGTTGTGATACTGTATGTGGTTTGAGGCCTGCAGCGCCTTCTGGACTTGCTCAGATCTGTCGGATTGGGAACGATGGGCGGTCTTCTGGTGCCTGATCCTCAAAGTGTGCGCCGAGCGCTCGCTATCTCCAAGCCTATATGCTTGTGTGTGTATGTGCTGCGGTGGGGCCGTGAATGTGTCTCGTCGATGTGACTCTAGCCTATCTGTCGTGTCTATGGTCGTGAGAAGTTGAGCCGATGATGGTCGCTATCGTGTAGAGGACTGACGGCGAGTGTCGTAAAGAGATCGTGACCGACAAGGAGGGAGTCGGTGGAAGAGAGCGACTGTGATGATGGACCGTGTTGATGGTATCCTCGCCCTATCTTGATCTTGATGGTGGTAGTAGATGGAAGTAGCGACGAAGAAGCTCCGGTGACTTGGCGCGCGGTGGACCGACTTTGCACTGCGAGGGTCAAACTGTGCTGAGTTGCATGCAATAACGCAGCAGCCAAGATTATGCTTTCCTGCCAAAACTTTAGGGGAAGCGCAGCCCCTTGGGCTGTCGGGTTGCGACTCCGATACACAAGCTTTACAGCTTGAGCAGCAGCGGCTGTGTTGGTCAATTCAAACTCCACTGCCAAAGCGCTGTCTGCCTCCTCTCTGACTCATGATGCGCGGCCCTTCCGAGTGGGTTCTCACGATCTACAGTCACACGCTGCCACGCTTTCTCACGGCTCACACGGCAGGCGGAAGCGTCCCGAGACCCTTTGCCAGAGTGGGAGTCCCAGCCGTGTTTCACAGCCAGATCGACGGGCCGAAGTGGACGGAGAGGTGCGAGCGAGAGTGGGCAAAGAAAGGGGCAAAGCGAGGATGCAGGTTTTGTATGGTGTTGATCTCGCTCTCGAATACAGAAGTGTCTCGGATTCAAATTGTAACGCGTCTCTCAGGGGCCCAAATTTGTATTCTGCTTGAATTCAGTTAGCTGCCGCCATCTCGACGGCCTGTCCTCTTCATCAGTCCAGGCTTCAAGCCATTGAGCTCTCACATGTTCGATTGATCCATTGCGATGGTCTTCGAAGATGTGAAGAAGAGCAATCGATGGGAACCCGCAGCGACCGACTGGAACAAGCTCGAAAGCTCACCATCAGCTACGGCGGCTTTGACTTCGATCGAGCCTCGAGCCCACCGCAGCGCCAAGCTAGTGAGGCATCGAGGGCCGGTCCTGATGCTTTGCAGCAAACTCACCTGCAGCGTAAGGGCATGCATGTGGTTGCGCTTGCCTGAATTTCGTCGACCCAAGGATGGCAACGTCTAAAAGGGACGTGTGTTGGTCTCCCAAAACGCGTGTTGGTGGTCACGTGAGAATTTCAACTGCGTTTCCCCACCAAGGCTTTCACGCAACGCCTTCTATTAGACAGTCTACACCACATCGTGTGGTTTGCATGTTCACTGCGCTCTCAGTGACGCCGCTGTTGGGCATCAGATCAATCACATTATCTGCCTTGAAGCATTGGTTGAACTAGTGGCTGTGTTACATAATGGTGCACTCCTCCCCACCGGCACCACCTCCTCCAAATCCAGGCAGGTTCTCCAATTCAGCGGGCATGTCTCCTACGATCTCCTTGGGCGGGCTGCCGCAGTCCTGCATCTGGTTCATGAGCTCCTGCACGCGCTCCGCCTTGACCTTGTCCTTAGCATCGTATCCAGGCTCATCGAAAATCTTGACGATCTGGTCGATGTACTTGCTCTGCAATTCGTAGCGCTTCCTGTCCTCGGCTGAGATGCCTGCCGAATCGGGGCCGGCGAGGTAGGCGGGGTACTTGTCACGTAGCTCCTTGAGCGGTTCGTAGAGGATGTCTCGGGACATGAGCTCGTCCATCATGCCTTCGAGCATCTTGGTGAGTTCCGGGTTGTCCATTGCACCGTCGAGGCCGGAGAGATCGCCGTTGCCCCCAAGAGCCGCGAGCAGTTTCGCCATCTCCTCGCCTTCTGCGCCCGAGAGACCGGCAAAGGGGTTCGAGGCGGAAGCAGAATCGGCGGTCGCAGAGGTGTCGGATTCTTTGAGCTTCGCCATGGTCGCTGCGATCGCATCGTTGAAGTTGCCCGGCTTGCTCGGGTTTGCTGAAGCGGCAGGAGCAGCGGCGGATCTAGTCGAGGGACCAGCGTCCGACGAGGCAGGAGCTCCACCACCAAACCCGGCCATCATCGCTTCAAACTGCTTCATCAGCTCCTGTTCGTTGAACTCCTGGCCCGCTGCGCCTGCAGATGCTCCCGCGCCGGCCCCGGCGCCACTCATGAGCCCTTCGCCGTCGGCGTTGGCTTGCCCACCGAGCTCCTTCATCAACGCCTGCATGCCTTGCGCCAGCTCCTTGGCAAAGTCTTCCGAGAGCATATCGTCCAGCCCTGCATCGTCTTCGCCTTCTGTGGCCAGACCAGCTGCGCCTGTTGTGGTGTCCTGTTGAGCAGCGGCCGGAGCTGAAGACTTTGCTGTCGACTCCGTTGCGGCAGCTATGGGAGCTGCCGCCGAGCTAGAAGGCGCGTTGAACTCGTCCAATACATCTGCATCGTACAAAAGCAAGGGAAGAGCGGGCGTCAGCGTCTTACATCTGCATAGCGAGAGTATCAATAGATTGTTCGAGCTTACCATCGAGATCGTCCAGATCGTCAGCGTCGTCGACGTGCGCTGAGGCTGGCGGTGCCTTTTGCGCGGCAGAAGATGTGTTGCTTGACATTGTGTCTGCGGTTGCCTTTTGCCCTTGAGAAAGACCTGCTCGTTCTTTTATTGCTAGAGCTGGGTGGTCGTTTGAAAGCAAGCTGTGTCGGTGGATGAGAAGAATCGTGAATCGACCTGAGCGAGCGGATGTGGGGAATGGCCGGGCCAAATTTAAGACTGTGCGCCCAGTTACCAATCGCACTCGCGCAGACCGCCCGTGACAACCGGTCCCTTTCAACCGGTCACTGAGGCCAATCAGCTGCTCTGGATTTCTGCGACTTTGTTAGGCCTTTATTCCGAACCAAGAAAAGTAACAATGTTAGACTGCGGTGGCGAAGAAGATCAAGCTCGGCGGCGGATCGGAGCGAGACCGGCGACTTGACCGCAGCGCCAAGTACGTCATGCCCACCACCTGCTGCGAGGCAAGGCGAGCAAACACTGACGGCAATGCAAGTGCTTGGATGGCGGAGATGTGCGCAGGATGAACCAAGCAGACCGCGAGGACCTCCCCCACGTCGTTGGCCCAAATGAGCTGCCCCGTCGTAGCGAGTGAGTGAGCGTGGTCCGTCCGCTGATGCCCCACCCGCATTCGCATATACGTTCCCTCCAAGCGTGCCTGTTTCCTCCACCAACACCACCACCAGATACATCTACCAAAGAACAGTATCAAGAATGACATCCGTCTACGAATGCAAGTGGGGCATCCTCGCCACCGGTGGAATCGCCGAGACGTTCTCCAAGGACCTGCTCATCGACCCTTCCACGCGCTCGGTCTCCGATGTCAAGCACACGATCGTTGCTGCGGCCTCTTCCTCCTCCTCCTCGCGCGCCACCGAGTTCCTCAAGAAGGTCGGGGCCGATTCCTCTGCCAAAGGCTACGGCTCGTACGAAGAGCTAGTCGCGGACCCCAACGTCTCGATCATCTACGTGGCTACCCCGCACTCGCACCACTACGAGAACACGCTTCTCGCCCTGGAAGCCGGCAAGCACGTGTGCTGCGAAAAGCCCTTCACGATCAACGCTGCCCAAACTAAACACCTGATCAAAGTAGCCCGCGAAAAGAAGCTCTTCCTCATGGAAGCGGTGTGGATTCGATTCTTCCCGCTTGTGCTCGAGCTGCAGCGGTTGATCTTTGAAGAGAAGATCCTGGGCAACGTGCGTCGGGTGTTTAGCGACTTTGGCAATCAGTTTGCCCCCGATCCCAAGCATCGTTTGTACAACCCCGACTTGGGTGGTGGAGCCCTGTTGGATTTGGGCATCTACGCATTGACTTGGCAGATGATCACCCTCTTTGCTGATCCAAAGAACAACAAGACCGCCCCAAGCGTCGTAGGTAGCATCGTCAAGACTCCACTCACAAATGTGGACGAGTTTACAACGATGATCTTGAACTTCGGCCCGACTCTCGCTCAAGGTATTGCGAGCACCAACATGACCATCCGTTGCAGCGACAAGTACTGCGTGCTCATCCAGGGCGATAAAGCCGACATCAGCGTCCCCTGGGCTCCCTACCGCCCAACATCGTTTACGATCCACGAGAAGGACAGCGAGGGTGTGTACACGGGCAAGGAGGACAAGAAGGACTTCGACATTCCCGGACACGGCATGTTTTGGGAAGCCGACGCCTGTGCTCGCGCCCTCAGGGATGGCAAGCTCGAAGAGGAAAGGTGCAGCCTAGCTGAAAGCACCATCACCATGGAGATCATGGACAAAGTGCGATACTCAAACGACTTTAGGTACCCTGAAAAGCTCGAGGCCACCCGCTCCGATGCTTGAACCTCACTCAGACTTGTTTCACCGAAGCATACCAATGTATAGACATTCCTAAGAAAGTACCTAATCACGACCGAAGAACCGCTTGATCTTGTCGCTGAAGCTCATGTTCGAACCCTGTCCCTTGACCGCCCGATCGATGCTCCGCGTCAATCGGTCGTAGTAGTCCGGCATCGCCTTGGGCTTCAACATGCTCTCTGGCAGGGGGTACTTCATCGACACCTTGCCCTCCTTGAGCTCCGTGAGCAGGTCCAGACTCTTCTGTGCGTACTCGAGCTCGGCGGTCGTCAGCGTCTTGGTACCTGGCAATGGGGTAGGGAGAGGATCCCCAGGCTTGGCAGCGTGGACCTGTTCCGGGTGCACCGCGGCTTGGGATTGAACCGAAAGAAGGGCGGTTTGCGCGGCGGCCGTAATCGAGGCGCCAAAGTCAATCTCGGGACGGAGCGGGTCTTTGGGCCACGACTGGGCAAGGGCGATGAAGTCCTTGTAGAGCGACTGAATCTGGTCCGCGCTCGCTTGCTCGGTGGTAGTTACGGTGGCAGAGGATCGAGCAGACGAGGAGAACGCTCGAACTTGCTGCTGAGCGCCAGCACTCGACGACGAAGCAGAGGCAGAGGTAGAGGCGGATGACGAGCGTTGCATCTCATCGCGCACGACAAGCAGGCACGACTCGATGATGTCTACCGCTTTGTCGATCTGCTCCCTGGTCACCGTCAGACTGGGCAGAATCCTGATGGTATCCGAACCGGCCGTGAGAATCAGCAGCCCGCGCTGACGGGCCAGCTGCGCAACCTTGCCGGCGTGAGATGGATCTTTGGTGCTGACACCCACGATCAAGCCCTTGCCACGGGGGCTGGGCTTGCCCGCCTCGGGGTCGTTGAGCAGCAGGTCGGGGAACATAGCGACCAAGTTGCTGAGTCGGCTGAACAGAGCCTGAGACGACTCCTTCATCGACTCGCCCAACTCCTGGCTCGACAGACGACTGAGGACGTGATGAGCGATGCGGCTGGTGAGCGGTCCACCACCGAACGTGGTGCCGTGGTCACCGACAGCAATGAGGTTGGCAACCTTGTCGCGAATCAGCACGGCACCGATGGGGAAACCGTTAGCGAGCGGCTTGGCCATGGTCACCATATCGGGATGCGCCGAGGTCGGGTAGTCGCTGTGGCACCACAAGGTACCAGCACGGTAGAGACCGCACTGAATCTCGTCATAGATGAGCATGGCGCCGACCTCGTCACACCTCTTCCTGAGCGCCTGGAGGAACTCGAGCGATGCAGGGTAGATACCGCCCTCACCCTGGACAGGCTCGACAATGACACCTGCAACTGTCTCGTCGATGAGCGATTCGACACCGGCGACGTCGTTGTACGTGCCCGTGCGAACGTCTCCAATCAAAGGTGCAAAGGGAGCCTGGTACTTGGGGTTGGGGGTCATGGCGAGCGCACCCATGGTCCTGCCGTGGAAAGCGTTGGTGAAGCTGACAAGCCCAGTCTTTTGCTTTCCGCCTTTGGAGGGGTGACTCTTTGCTGCTTTCCTGGCAAACTTGAGCGCAGCCTCGTTGGCTTCGGTTCCAGAGTTGGCCAGGAAAACCTTCAAGCCGGCGGTGCCACTCTCCTGTGGCTTGGTGCCCTTCTCGAAGCCCAGTCCACCGTGCTGATGGGTCAAGTTGACCATCTTATCTGCGAGCTCCCCCGACCATTCGTTGTGATACAAGTTGCTGGCGTGGACCAACTTGGCACTCTGATCGGCGGCGATCTCGGCGATCTTGGGATCAGCGTGACCCAACGAGTTGACGGCAATACCTGAGGAAAAGTCGAGGTACTTTCGTTCGGAGTGGCCGCCATTGGTGTTGGGGTCGACAGATGCATAAAGGTCAAGACCTTTACCGCGGGTGAAGATGAGCTGTGGGCGAGAGTAGGTGGCAAGGACGGAGTGCGAGAAGCGCTCGAGGGTATCTGCGAGCTTTGATCCCTTGGAAGCGTCACCATCGGGATGAGAGAGCGAGATGTAGTCTGCGCAAGGCTTCTTTGTGGTGTTGGCGGCGTGTGTAGCAAGAAGACGAACAGGCTGTCGAAGGGCTGGCGAAATTGCCAGAGACAGCGAGGCAGGTCGCCTCATCGCTGATGAAAGTGCAACACGAGTGGCGGCCATGATGCTGTGGAACAGCTACGCTGTTGTGCGCGGGATGGCTTCACGGGAAGACGATGTGTGGTGGCGAAGTCGTATGATTGAGCGCGAGAGACTGTCGCATTCGACGACAGACGGTGAGGTGTACGGTAATGGTGGTGGTGAGTCTGTGATGGTGAGAAGAATCGAAACTCGACTCGAAATCTCTGTATGGCTTTGATAAGACGTGAAGAAGTGGAGTCACAACGACAAAATTTAACTTTTATAGATTTATTTTCTGGCGGACCTGCGAGGAGGTTCGTCGACGAGGTCAGTAGCCTTGACTGCCTGCATGAAGTAGGCGACGAGTCTGAAAGCCAGGAAGACCTTTCCACGGTCACATTCCAGCGCACACAGCGAGAATAGAAGCATGATTGACAGATCGATTCGTTGCGGGTGATTGAGCTACCATGATGAGAACGTCGAAGCAGACCCAACGCTGAACTGACTCGAAGACAGGAAGAAACTACGCAGCGAGAAGGGAGATCAAGGCCCAGCAGGCACACCTACGCTGCTGCCGGCGCTGGACAAGCGAGCGCCGAAGCTCATGCCGTTGCCGCCGAAGCTGGCTGCACGCGGACTGGCACAGAGCTTGGACATGGCGTCCTTGCGCAGGCGGCTGTTCATGCGAGCCTGGAAGTTGACTTTCTGAAAATCGTTGGGCTGTCCCTTGGGCTGGCGACGCGGCTGGATGGGTGGCAGTGTAAGACCAGCGTTGTTGATCGTCTGACTGCCATCTGGCGACGAGGCGTTGGTCTTGAATGCCCGATGCTGAGGTGCTGCCGACAGGTGGATGGCACGCGGGATCGCTTTGGGAGCAGTGATAGGAGGCGTTGTGCTGGTCGAAGTGGGAGCGCTGGCGACGCTTCGGCCTAGCGAGCCATAGCGACCGTTGTTGAGTCCTTGCCTTTGCAGCGTCAAGTTCTGCGGGGTGGGCGTGCTCGACAAAGCCTTGACAAAGGGCGAATTGATCTCAAGGTCCTCTTCGCTCGTCTCGGGCGTTTGATCGCCTTCGACGCGGTCGCTTTCGGACTGAGCTCGCGAGCCTTCCGAGGCACTGTCGTCAATGACGATGGAAGGGGTGACAGTGCGGGAGCGCATCGACTGGATGCTCTCGGCTGTACCTGAGGAAGGTCGCATCGCCTTGCGAGAATGCACGCTGGATGCAGGCGAGCTGCCACGGTGTCCGGGAGGCGTGGGAAGCCTGTCGTCACTAGGAGCAGCACCTCCTCGCCAGCTTCGCTGATCCAAAGGCGTGCGGGAAGGTGACGGGCCTTCACTGCTCACCTTACGAGTGTGGCGGTTGAGGATGTTCTGAAGCTGCAACTGTTGCTGCGATTGCTGCTGATGCTGCTGATGCTGCATGGCCGGCTGTTGCGAGTAGTTTTGGTAGGTATCGCTCTCGAGACCGATGGTCTGGTACAGCTGCTGGACCTGGCGCTGTCGCAGACTGGCCTGAATGCTAGCCTGAGCCGCCTGCCTCTGCTCCTGCGCAGAAGAGGCTGCGGAATATCCGCCGTCTAATTCGCTGTTGCCTCCTTGAAGTTGGGAGAGAAGCAAACGCTGCTGAGCCGCGAGCTGCTGCTGGCCGTACTGTTGCTGACCATACTGCAGATGCTGCTGCTCCTGCTGCTGTCTCTGAAGCGCTTGAAGGCGAAGCAGCTCCATCTTTTGTTGCTGCACTGCCGCCTGCTGCTGAGAAAGCTGTTGCTGAAGCTGCATCTGCATGTATTGCTGCTGGTGCGGGTGCTGTTGGTGAGCGTATTGCTGCTGCTGTTGGTTGCCGAATCCATGGTGGTAGCCTTGGTAGTTGGGCTGTGCATCGTGCTGCCCATAGGAGGGGTTGGACTGCAGGCGCATGGCAGTCAGCTGGTCCTCAAGACTGGCTTGCAGCGCAGAAATGTCTCGAAGCGAGTCTTGCGTTCGGTATGCATTGCTCTGCGGCTGCTGATATTGCTGCTGCTGCTGCTGCTGTTGCTGTGGGTAGGCGGTTTGCGGGTAGCCGGACGAGGCGTGGTTGCGGCCAGCGGACTGCTGCGAGCTGGCCTGAGAGGAAAAGACGGAACCGAGGCCAAGACCCTCGGTGCGCAGACCAGAAAGAAGATCGGAGCGGGTCTGGTAGGCGTTGTTGCCGCCGTAGTATTGCTGATTTGAAGTGTTCATCGTGACAAGAGGCTTGAGAGGCGTTTGGAATCGAGTCAAAAGCGGGTGTATGAATGGGCGCCTGGCCGCAGGTATCGAGGGATCGTTGGTGGTACAGGTCCAGCAAGTAGTGATGGCGTGATCACAGTACTGTTGAGAGATGCTTGTATGGCAGGTATATGTATGTTTGAGCCGACGACGGTGGCGGGGCTATATTGTATGCTTCTGGGTGGCGAGTCTTGATGCTATGGCTGCGGTCAACGCGACCTCGAGAATTGAGAGATTCGAGGTGGAGAGACTTACGGTCTCAGCGGAGATGAGAGTGGGGTGAACTTTGATGCAGGTGTGTCACGGAGGCGGACGTGACCTGGTTGACGTCGGTGGGGAAGAGTAGGTCGAAGTGCTGGCAAAGCGCAAGACGGGCGAATTGGATACGTGGCAGTGGAACAGGCTGTGCTGCAAGACTGACGTTTGAATGGCGGTCGGAGATGAAGCTGCTATGCAGGGCTGAGTACCGGCAGGGTGGGTTGAAGTCGACGGGGCGTGGAAGGCGACCGAGAGAAGTGAGCCGGAGTGATGCGCAGAACTAGCTGCGAATGGAGCGCTAATGTGGTTTGAAGGAAATTGGCGAGGCAAGCGGCCTTTGTTAGAGAGCAAGAAGGGCGAAGATGGGAGCGTATAGATGCCGGGTATGGTAAGAAGAGGTGGCGCAACGCAATCGAAGGTGGGAACTCTGCGTTTTTGAAGTGCGCTGCGGACGGCAAGCTGGAAGGATGGGAAGGTCAACGGACTGAAGAGAGGTCGAGAGTTGAAAAGAGATGAGCCGAGAAGGAGGCTAGCTGAAGGTTTGGGATCAGAAAAGAGTTGACGAAGACCGAGGGTGAGAAGAGGCTAGCTACGGGAGACCAAAATTAGAAAGGATGAAGAGAGGCAGCCGAGACGAAGGAAGACGAAAGTAGGGATGAAAGGGGGAGGAAGGGGAAGCACGGGGACGAGATTGATGGTAGTGAGGAGGGGTGACGACGACGACCAACCAGCGGATGAAAGAGCTCAGTCAGTCAAGGCTTTGAAGCGCGCGGGAAGGGGCCAAAATGACAAATTTGGAGAGGCAGCAGAAAGGCGAGAATCGACTAATACAGTACATAATTGGAGCAAGCCTCGACCCGACTCAGCCTCGACGCCGACCGTTGATTGCTATGACAAGCCTCTCCCTTCCGATCAACTCTGCGGCGTTCAACAGCTGATGCGTGATCAGACAATGAGCAAGAAAAGAGCGGCCTCGACTGCATCCGCCGGCGAAGGTCCAACACAATGAAGAAGTAAGCAGAGGACTGAGCGAGCAAACAAATCTCTCGACCTCATTGTCTCTGTCCTGATCGCATGCAGGAAAGGCATGGATCGCGGCTGGCTCTGTTGCCATTCACGCCTATCTATACGCCGCCGCCAAGCAAGCATTTTGAATGTGCAGCCCGTCGACAAGGCCAACAAAGGAGCACACTCCGCTCGTCGAGCTAATCGTATCGCAGAGGATAGCAACACATGAAATTTTCGAGGGTCCAAAGGCCAACACGGCGAGAAAGAAGGAAAGAACAATCGAGCAGCGCACGCCACACAGCGAACAGAACAGCCAGCGAGCAAGTTACAGTCGGTGTGCATGGCGGAGCAGGAGCGTGAGAAAATTAACCTTGACAGTCCTCCTGTGCCCGTCCCCCTCGACACGCGCCAAGGCAATCAGACCCTGCCTTGCATCAGTCTCAAAGTTATGGATCACGCGTGAGAGAGAGAGAGTCTAGATTTTTGAAGCGAGCTCCTGCAGCTGCACACTCAAAAACGCGCGTCTGCTCCGGATCAGCGTGTCCGAGAGACCGTGTAAATGAGTCACCTTTCAGGCTCCTCTTCAAGAGCGGGCATCCGGCTGCGGCCAAGATCGTCACTGCGATGCCGTGTCGATCCGATGTAAGATTGCTGTGTTGCGCAGCAGACGACTATACGAACGGACGTCGTCTCATAAAAGAAGGACAACGTGGAAGCATGCAATCCTCCCATTGTCTCGAGGGGCGATCAGGTGGCTAACAACGCAGCCTATAATAAACTGAGACATCAGCTTGCTCGCTGGCAAGAGTTCAAACGAAGCGAGGTGAGACTGGACGGGCGATTTGTCTGCGAAAGTTGAGATGTTGGATTCATCACTCTGACAACTTACAGAATTCTCGATTTGGACCCTGGAGCGGCCGTCAAGACCGAAGAACGGCAAGGCTCGAGGCTCGGCTTTATGATAGCAGAGAACACACACAGGCCAAGTCTGGGGTTCAACTACCCCACACTCAAGGGGCATGCCCATCGATCGAACTGAACTACCTTTGGCGCTTTGATCCTTTCATCCTCTTCTACATCACGATACGTCTCTGCTCTCGAGTCCTTGCTCAGTCTGGCTACATCTCTGCAGTGTAGCATTTGGCAAAAATGGCGTCGTCGACAACCTCCTCGATGGGCCGCTTGCGGTTGGCCCAGCACCTCCGCGCCTCTGCCCAGCCGACGGCGGTGAGAAGCTCTTGCATTGCTACCCGCACCTTCGCATCATCCTCACGACTTCGCAAAGACGGCGACGAACCACAAGGCCATCTCCCCGGTCATCCCTCCTCGGTCTTCCTCACTTCGCTCAACGATAGCTTCTTCGACAGCGTTCGGCCTAAGACACTCTCGGGCAATAAGAATGCCAAAGGCGGCATCCCTACCTACCGTCTCATGGATGGTGTCGGGCGCCTCCTACCAGGCGTCACCGACGAGACGGTCAACATCACCGAAGCCGAAGGCGTCAAGATGTACCGCACCATGCTGCTCCTCCCGCAGATCGACGTCATCCTCTACAACGCGCAACGTCAAGGTCGAATCTCGTTCATGATGACCTCGTACGGCGAGGAAGGAGCTGTCATTGGCAGTGCAGCGGGTCTCGACGGGAAGGATGAGGTGTTTGCCCAGTATCGAGAGTCAGGCGTGCTGCTGTGGCGCGACTTTTCCATCGACCATTTCATGTCGCAAGTGTTTGGAGCCGAGGACGACCTGTGCGGGGGCAGGCAGATGCCCATCCACTTCGGTAGCACGCAGCATCACTTTCATACCATCAGCAGTCCGCTCGCGACACAGATCCCGCAGGCAGCGGGTGCAGGATACGCTCTCAAGAGGACAAAGGGCAGAGAGAACAATGTCGTCATTTGCTACTTTGGCGAAGGTGCGGCCAGCGAGGGTGACTTCCATGCTGGGATGAACCTAGCCAGTACCACAAAGAGCCCAGTCATGTGAGTTGTAAGCTTATCCTTTCAATTTTCACAAAGAGCGACGTTACTGACCTCTGCTCTCGCCTCCTCGACAGCTTCTTCGTCCGCAACAATGGCTACGCCATCTCGACACCCGCGGCCGAGCAGTTCCGCGGCGACGGTATCGCCTCCCGCGGCCCAGGCTATGGCATGCTCACCATCCGTGTCGACGGCAACGACGCCCTTGCCGTCCGCTCCGCTGTCCAAGCGGCCAAGGCCAAAGCATTGTCCGAGCAGCGACCTGTGCTCATCGAAGCCATGACCTACCGAGTCGGCCACCACTCGACATCCGACGACTCATCCGCCTACCGCTCCAAGCAAGCCGTCGAAAGCTGGAAGCAGATGGACAATCCCTTGCACCGCATGCGCAATTTCCTCACTGACCGAGGGTGGTGGCACGACGAGCTGGAAGAGCAGACCAAAGTGCAACACCGCAAGACGGTCATCGAGGCGATGGGGAGGGCCGAGAAGAAGAAGAGGCCGCAGCTGAGCAGTCTGTTTGAGGGGACATATCGAGGCGAGATGCCAGGCAATCTCAAGGTGAGTGCTCACAGACAGTTTCTTGCTCATCTTTGACATACATGCTGACCAGTCCATACTCTGACTGACGCTACAGGAACAACGCGCTGAGCTCGCCGAGCTGCTGGAAAAGTACGGCTCGTTACCCGGCTGGTCGAAGGAGATGGCCAAACACGCCAACGCAGGAAAGGACATGGAACAGTACCGCATCAAGAAGTAGTAGCCAACGAGGCATCCTCTCACTGACGGAACAGCGCGTGCAAAGCATCTTCCACTCATAGCATTCGTTGAAGCGTGAACAAGAGCGAGGGCTCGAGGTTGTCTCGATCGAGTGTGAGTGTTGGTCTCGACCGTCTTGCTGGACCCTGAAAAGGCAAAAAATGTGACGCGGAAGGTGAAAAAAAGAAGCAGCACAGGTGCGGCGACTTTCTTCCGTCACCCTTCTCCTTTGCCACCACCTGCTCATCCCTTCCACAGCAGCTCGACTGGCAACAATGTCGTACGTGGTGCAAGCAAGTATCTTCGCCGGCGGTCTGGTCGTTGGTGCCGGTGGGGCTGTTCTTCTCTCGAGCAAGCACAAGCCCGCCCCCTCTGCAGTCACCCCGACGCAACAGCCTGCTGGTCCTGCTGCGACCACCACCCCATCCTCCGTGCCCGACCTCTACACTCTCTCCTCAACGGACGCCCTCGGGCCCGCAGGCTACCCAGGCCCGATCGCCGACTTCCTCCGCCACGCAGCCTACGTCTCATCCTACGACCGTCGACTGCGCCACCCCTCCTGGACAGCAGAACACCTCACCTCCGCCTCCCTTCAACGTCCTCCCGGCACCAAACCCGATCGCTCCAACTCTGTCTTCCGCGAGGACCTGCGCATTCCCGAACTCTTCCGCGCGCGCATGGCCGACTATTTCCGCTCGGGCTACGATCGAGGACACATGGTCCCCGCTGCCGACGCCAAGTCTTCCCAGCTAGCCATGGACGAGACGTTTCTCCTCACCAACATCGCCCCCCAGGTCGGGGCGGGGATGAACCGCGACTACTGGGCGCATACGGAGGACTTTGTGAGGAGGTTGACGGGCAGATTCGCCGATCTATACGTGTTCACCATTCCACTGTACCTACCGAGGCAGGGGGTGGATGGGAAGTTCAGAGTGAGCTACGAAGTCATTGGTTCTCCGCCTAATGTTGCCGTGCCGACGCATTTTGCCAAGGTCATTCTGGGAGTTGAACAAGCACGCGAGGGGAATGGCGCACCGGGACCGAAAGTCGAGTGGAAGAGCGGACTGGCCAAGGTCGGACTCGGTGGGGGGACGATGGCGCTGGGCGCGTTCGTTATGCCCAACAGCATCATTCCAAACGAGGCACCGCTGGAGAGCTTTGCCGTGCCATTGGAGACGGTGGAGAGGGCTGCGGGGCTGACACTGTTCCCACCGGCGGTCAAGGCGAGCGCCAAGAGGTTGTGCGATACGGTGCAGTGCTCGATTGTTGTCCGAGATTTCAGTGACAAGAGTCGGACGTTGACGGCGCCCGGAGCCAAGCCACTGCCTCTGCCTGCGCCTAGGTCGTAGATTACTAGGGAAGAGCAATCACATCCATCGACATCACCGCAACGTATGAAGTATTGAGAATGGACATCGTTCGAGAACTCCGCCCGAATAGAGCTCGTCCACGTCCCGCAAGCACTGCCTGAGAAGAATCACAAATTCAGGGTCTGTCGAAACGCGGGAAGAAGCACGGCCCGCTGGAAATTCGGCCACGCGCTCTGACCATCCTCCCCCTCATCACCACCATCACACGCGAAACAATGAGCATATCCACCCTGGCCTCGCTGGGCATGGCGCTCGGCGCGCCGCTCGTCTATGCCGATCAAGCGCACTCCATCTACCGCAAGCAGGACGCACGTGGCTTCTCGCACGACGTCTGTGCCGTTCTGCTCATCGCCAACATCACGCGCTGCTTCTTCTGGCTCGGCGAACGATTCGAATACGCCCTCCTGCTACAGAGCATCTTGATGATCGCGGCGCAACTGGGGCTGTTGTACCTGTGTATACGGTTTCGACCCGTGGGCAGGTGGAGTAAGAGCATCAGCAGTGATGGTGCGCGCGTTGTGTTTGATAACCAAGAAGAGAGGGTCGAAGGAGAGGGGAGTAGGAGTGCGCAGGAGGATCTGATGGATCTCAACGAGCCGGTGAAGCAGCAGGAGGAAGAAGAGGGGTATGCGAACAAGCAACCGCTGCTCGTCACGCTGGGTGGCATGTTGAGAGGCGGAAACTCTTCGTACGGTCAAATCTCAAACGACACGACGCTTCCACCGCCTAATACCGCCCCAACCAACTCTTCGATTCGGACTCGTCTAGTCTCGATGCTCAGCAGCCCCTCCCGACCACTCAACTTCTGGCAGTGGTCCGACTACAACTCCTACCTCGTCTTTCTCCTCCTCCTCATCCTACTCCTCACCCTTCTCTACCTCCTCCTCTCCTGGTCGTCCACCTTCATCTCCATCCTAGGCTACCTCGCTCTCGGCCTCGAGTCGACCCTCCCCATCCCACAGCTCATTTCGAACTACCGCCGCAAGTCTCTCGCCGGCTTCCGCTCAAGTGTTCTCGTCGGCTGGTTGGGGGGTGATAGCTTCAAGCTGCTCTACTTTGTGCTACGGGGAAGTCCGGTGCAGTTTACCGTGTGCGCGGTGTTCCAGCTGAGTGTGGATCTTGCCATTGTGGCGCAACGGGCGATGTATAGGGAGCAGACGGAGAGGGAGGAGGCCGAGATGCGGGGTGAGCAGGAGGAGCAGACTGTAGGAAGGAGAAGGGAGGGGGAGGTAGAGGTGGATGCCGAACAGCCAAGCAGAGGAGCGAGTGCGACCAAGGGGAAGGGGAAGGTGGCAGCAAAGGGAAAAGGAAAAATGAGGAGCGCGATGAAGGGCGGCAGGGCGCAAGAGGAGGAGGATGGATTGTTGCAAGGCCCAACGCACGTGATCAGCATCGAGGCGGATGACGACGATGATGAAGGAGACATCTCGAACGGTCGCAAGTGAGGTTGTGACTCTCAGGTGGAACCGGCGTTACTGCAATAGATGGGTTCTAAGTTCTTTTCTTCCAGAACCGAGTGTCTACAGATGTTCACAATGGATCCGGTCCAACTTGATCCTCACCGACCGCTGATCTTCTGCAACCAGCTCTTGCCGCCCTCCGCGCCTTCATTTGACACCTTCTCCCGACCCTTTCCCAGATCGAGCAGCGCCCTCCCCTCCTCAAAACTTCCCTCCACCCGCGTCGCCTTCTCCAACCGCCGCAACGCCAACGTGAGCGTCTTGGGCTCCATACTGAACGTGAAGCGGAACCATCCCGCTTTCGGGTGATGGTACTGCGTTCCTGGCGCCACAAAAACGCCCTCGTCCAACAATCTATCCACAAACTTGGCCTCCATCTCCCTCCCCTCCTTGTCCTGTGAATCACCATCGATGCCGCAGAACTGACCCAGGTTGACCAGGAGGAAGAAGCCCGAGTTGCTCGGGTAGTAGGGAACTTGATAATGCTTGAACCACGCCAGTGCGTGTTCGTAGGCCAACCCTAGCCTGCGTCGGTTCTCGCGCAGGTACCAGGCGAGGAACTTCTCATCCTGCAACCAGGTGTGCCACAAGTTCGCTGCTGGAGACGCGGACTGGGAGAGCAGCCCAACGGAGCTCATGGCGCGCTGGAGAGCCGGGTTGTGCTGCGAAACAAGAACGCCCAGTCGGAAACCGTTGACGGCAAAGTCCTTGGAAGCGGACGTGACGACATGCACATAAGCCGGGTCCAGTCCGCATTCCTTCTGCGTATCGATGGAGAGGATGCTCTCGAACCGCGCCGGCGAGGGAACATCGGAAGTGGTGAAGCACGACCGGGCGTAGATCTCGTCCGAAACAAAATGCAGTTGGTGCTCACCAGCGAACCGGGCGAGGGCGAGGACGGTGGATCGAGGGTAGATCGTGCCGGTGGGATTGTGCGGGTTGCACAGAATCAGGGCTTTTACTGGAATCCCCTCCTTCTTTGCTCGCTCGTATGCTTCTCGATAAGCAGCGATGGTCGATGAGGCGAACGAGGAGAGCTCTAGAGACTCCTTGGACTCCTCGCCTTCCGCGGGTAGGGGCAGATGCACTTCTACCACCCTCGCCTTGGCCCGACTGGTCAGGTCGTTATCGAACGCATTGTAGTACGGAGCACTCAGCAGGACTCCATCACCGTCATCGCAGATGTTCCAGAATAGCTCGTCAAGGATGCCCGTCGCTCCGCTTGCAATGGCAATGTGGTCCTCCGTCACCTTCTTCAGCGGCAGCGGCGAGTCGGTGCGTTCCGGCCAATCAGGTGTACGTTCGTTGAACAGCTTGGCAATCGACGTGAGCAGCCGCTTGGACGACGTGAAGCGGTCCGCGTACGTGAGGTCGGCGGCGGAAAGCTGGAGTCGATCCTTGGCGAGAAAGTACTCGAGCAGCTCAGGACGGCAGAGCGAATTGTCTGCGATGCCGGCGTTGATGATGCCGTCTGGGTTGGTGATGGGGTCGTACTGGTTGGCGAGCAGACGCTTGACGCCTTCGGGCAGGTCGAAGCCGCTTGCTCCTGCCGCACCACGACGAGAGAGGGTGGACGAGGTGTCATCGTCTTTTCGGGATGTAGAGGAGAGATCGACGTTGGACACTTTGGTCGCGAGGGAAGCCAGCTCTGGTGCTGCATCTCCTGCAGCCGAGGTTGCGATGGTGTCGGCCATATTCAGCTTCTATGGAGAGTCTGCGGAGTTAGGGTGGAAGAGAGTGTGCGAAGGCAAGGTTGGACAGAAGCTTATCTGACATGCTTTTTTTCTAGCGGCAGTCGGCATCTAAGTCGGCCTGTGCGCCATGTCGGCCGTGAGCGGACAGTGCGTATTGCCGCCGCGTGCCCCGCCTAAAAGGCGCGTGTTCGGGTGTGAAGCAGCGTCAGTCAGCCGAGTGGAGGCTGAACCGTCAATTCGTCTCCCATCATCTTGCCATCCCTACCTCTCCTCGTCCATCCACCTTCATCCTTCGCAGAGACAATCGCCAAGAATGACGGTCAAACGAGTCTGTCTGCGGTCCATACGGATGCTGCCAAAGCGGCCATTCGCTGCAACGTCACTTTCTCGTGCTATCCTCGCATCAACCACCGCGGTACCATTCACGCGAGCGCTCACCTACACCCGAGTGTTCGGCGAGAACGCTAATCAAGCCGAAGCGGCCACCCCGCTATCCTCATCACAAGCAACTCCAACCGCCGCCAAAGGACCTTCATCTCCACCAAGCCCGCGCCACGATGTCGTCTCTCGCTCGCGTCGCTCCATGCTCTACGTCCCCGGTTCGTCGGAAAAAATGATCAAGAAATCGCAATCCTCTTCGGCAGACACCATCATCTTTGACCTCGAGGACTCGGTCGCAGCGCACAAAAAGGGCTCTGCGCGAGAGACCGTCTTTCTGGCGCTCGAAGCTGCCGCGCGGCCAGGCCCTGAGCTTGCCGTTCGCATCAATCCTCCTTCGGCGGACCGCGGGTTGGCGGAGGACGACCTGGACATGGTCCTTCCCTCTCACCAGCTGCAGGCGATCGTGGTGCCCAAAGTGGAGAGCGAGGAGGATGTGGCACTGATCGTGGAGAAGGCGCGTGCGCTGCGGCCGGAAGGAGAGCCTCTGGCGCTGGTGCTATCGGTCGAATCGGCGGGAAGCCTGTTGCGCATGCCCCGCATCGTCGAGTCGATCCGGAAAAGTCTGGGCCAAGACCCTCATTCTGGTGATCTACTAACCACCACCGCCAAAGCTCCCGTTGCCGAGATCGTAGCACTGCTCTTTGCAAGCGAAGACTACTGCGCCTCCACCGGCATCCTGCGGACTCGGGATCGAAAGTCGTTGCTTTTCCCCCGCGCGCACATGGCCACCATCGCCAAGGCGTACAATCTGTCGGCGATCGATATGGTGTGCATCGACTACAAGGATCAGTCGTACCTGACGGAGGAGGCGGAAGAAGCGAAGCAGCTGGGATACGATGGCAAACAGGCGATCCACCCGGTGCAAGTGGATCCGATCCAACACACGTTCAACCCGACCGAGGAGGCGGTCGAGAGAGCAGCGAGGATTCTGTATCTGTACGAGGGCGCGAGTAAGAGCGATAAGGGAGCGTACGGATTGAAGGAGCAGGATGGGGGGATGACGATGATTGATCGGCCGATGTTGCTGCAGGCGAGCGCGGTGGTGGGGAAGGCAAGGAAGGCGGGGATGAGGGTTCCGGAGGCGAGCGAACTGGAGCAGAAGCAGGGGTGACTTGGCGGCTCCAGGGTTTCACGATCTTCCTTCAGGGTCACTGTTCAATGCAATTGTCGGTATTCACGATGAACCCGAATGTGAGATAGGTGTAGCACTTCTCGATGAGCAATGTGATTGCGGCGACACGAGATGAGATTGTGGGGTTGCAAGCGGATTTTTGTGGTGGACACCTTGAGCGCGAGCACGAAGACTGTCGGCCAGCCAACATCGCCGGATGCCGAATTTGATGCACGGCCAAAGTGCGGGGTAAAGAAAAGGCCACCCAAGCTCGCACGCACCTTGCCTTCTTCTTTCCCACACCACAAGCTCATCCTTACCAGACCCTCCGCCATCTTCGCTCCTCTAGACAAGCATAGAAGCAGTCATGTCGGCACGCAACAAAGTGTGGTTCTACTTTGACGTTGTCTCGCCGTGGTCGTACGTTGGGTTCCAGGTGATTCGACGCTATCAGAAGCTGTGGAACCTCGATGTGACGTACAAGCCGGTCAATCTGGGCTATGTCATGAAGGTGAGTTCTCTTCCCTCCTAGCCTTCACACTCTTCCATTTTGTACTGACGTCTCTTCCATTGATGCTGTTGCAGTTCTCGGGCAACAAGCCGCCCATCACGGTGGCCAACAAAGGCGTTTGGATGTGGCAGGAACGTGATCGCGCCGCCAAATTCTTCGGTGTCACGCTCAACCCGACCAAGACGTTCCCGATCAACACGATGTACCTCCAAACCTTCCTTTCGGAGCTCTCGCCCGCTGCCTCGCCTGCTGTGTTCGAGTCAGCCGTGGAAACATGCTTCGCCGCGATCTGGCACCACGACCTCCCCTGTGCGACGCGCGAGGATCTCGAAGCCATCTTTGCCAAAGCAGACCACTTCGGGCTGGGCAAGGACAAGGTAGGAGAAGTGCTGGATACGAGCATGTTGAAGGAGGCACGGACCAAGTTGCAGGAGGAGGCCAAGGTGTTGGTGGAGCAGCATGGACTGTTTGGTATGCCGAGCATGGAGGTGGAGAGGGCCAAGGATGGGGAGAAGGTGCTGTGGTTCGGAAGCGATCGTTTCGAGCAGCTGGCTGCTTGGTTGGAGAAGCCTTACAAGGGGCCGTTTGCCGATGGAAGCGTCGCGAAGCTCTGAGTAGTCGTTCTGAGTCTTGCTCAATCTTAGGTTGTCGGACGAGCTCGCAGCACGGGTGTAAATGCGTGTGCGTGATGGTGTGTCTTCAAAGGTAAAATCCAGTTACTTTTCCGCTGATCCAGCCTGCTTGGCCAGCTCCCCCACAATCTCGTACACCGCCTCGAACTGCTCGATGGTCTGCACCATCCTCGCTCGATACCTGCGCAGGTGCTCCACTATCCTTACTGGTAGATCCCACACGTGCGATCTCTGATTCCTTGCCATCAGCGAGTCATCTGCATCCCCGGCGAGTGTCCCTTCATGCCTCGCAACATTGATTGCAGCCCGAGCAATGTATGCAGCTGCTAGCGTCCCTGACCTCCCCACACCGGCCGAGCAGTGGATCCACGTCGGGGGAGGGGGATAGATCTTGGGCATGGCGACCTGTTGTGTCTCGTGCATGAGTTGGAGCAGCAGCGAAGTTGGAAAGACGCCGTGATCTGGCCAGCTGCTGAGATGAAATTGTGTTACCGCCCATCCGTTCTTCGAGCCATCCGTTTGGGCTGTGTCGATATGAATCACCCTCCTCACCAACGTCGCCTCTCCCTGTTGCAGCTCGATCTGCTTCTCCGACTCGCTCGTCACCTTCCATCCGTTTCCCAGCTCCATCTCTGCATCCCCTTCGCTCCCACTGACACCAACGCTGTGATTCGGCCAGTACTGATCGGCCTTCCTCCTCCCCTTTTCTATAAGCGGCGTGAGGTTGACCAACACTCGGACGCGTTGTTGGACGATGTGTGTGTAGAACGCGGTATACGTGTCCGGCGGCGGCGCTTGGCTTATGATGAAGCTCACGCTGGTCGGGTGAAAAGGTGGAATGTATGCTGCGTTGAGATAAGGACCCGGTAAGAGGGCATGATCGTATGCGAGGATGTCTCTGTATCGGTTGGCATCGATGTTTTCCGTGGATGTAGAGCGGATGGTCGTATAGCCAAGGTCGGGTTCAGAGAGTCGGAGGTGGTCGGTAAAGTCGAGCGCTTGATAGAGCGATGAGAGTGCTCGTCTTGATGGTCGTACGCCCAGCGACATTGTGTTTGTGGATGATGGTTGGCGAATGGATGAGGAAGTGAGCATTGACCATGGCCCATGTGGAGTTTTGGAGGCCGAATGATGTGCGGAGCACCGAGCGCTGAAAATTAAATATTTAATACTGACTTTTGATGTCTGCAAGCCACACAAGCACGGTCGATCCCCTTCTGGTCGAGAAACATGTCACTACAGCAGCGCGGCACTACCACCCCAGACCCGAGCGGCAGCTGAGCCTTGTTCGGCGATAATTCTGGAAAATCGAAAAAAGGGCACGTTGCTCGGCGCCGAGTCGAAGAGGTGTGCGTCACAGGAGTGTGCCTGATTCCAGAAACGGCCTTGATCGAGCAACCACCATCGACAACAACATCGTTTCGTTCGCTCATCACCATCATCTTCACCTATCAGCATCTTCACCTACTCGCCTGAACACAGAGACACGCCATCAAGGTCGCACTGAGCAGCGCAGCGTCGCCTCTGCACTCAACCTTGCTCATGGTAGCTTGAAACATCGCATTCAGAGCGGCTTCCGCACTTTCGCTCACCTCAGCTTCCTCACCCCACCCAATGTACCAGCTTCGTCGCAAACGACAGCGCTGACGTTCATGATGAAGAGCATAACAGCCTTGTCACTGCTCTTGCTGGCCCAGGCCTCCGCATGCCTGGCCGGCTCAAATCGACCAAATCGACAGGTCCCATTCTCATTCCCAGCCTCCTCATCAGCGCCTGCTCCCACCGCAGTCGCCAGTTCAGAGCTACCATACCACGAAGCACCAGAAACATATGCATACTCCAGATTCGTAGACGATGACGATCCGACTCCCGTTGCACCTCTACGTCTCTCTCACTCAGGTCTCTACATCAACCAGGCGCATGCACCTTCTGCGGTACATCGACCGGATCACTCGAATCAGACCGACCCTTTCCAGCCCCACCCGCTCGTTGTCCATTTCGACCCGACATTATACGCCTCGACCAGTGCGAGAGCATCCATTGGACCCGTGCGACTACGAACCCGAGACTTTGTCATGTCGCATTGCGGAAACAAAACGGGCGGCATCGAGGCGTGCGAGCGGGATGATCTCCACCTCTCTTCGCCAGATCACATTTCAGAGCCAGTATCGCATCCAAAGACACCACTCGAATCATGGACATTCGAGTCGGCAGATACCGTCGACTGCAAGGCGGGTGCCGACTCCCTGCTTCCAGGCGGCCGCTTCCACCTCGACGAACGATCCTGTCCGGGCTGGGCAAAGCTCTGGCAGTCAGTGCACCAGGCACGCAAGGACGATTCGCATGAGGTCCTGCAGAGTTTTGTCGTCAACGTCAAGCTCGACAAGCTGCCGTCAGCTTCATCAGATAGCGATCAGGTGGAGCAGCAAGTGGAGCAATTCTGGATCGGACACTTGCATCTCGAAGAATCCAGAGCATCGTGGCCACTAGCAGGCAATGCTCGCGACAGGCGGCCTGGCCAAGAAGACAGGACATGGCACCCCAAAGACGTCAATCGCATTGCAGGCGCCATGGAGAATCCTCTCATCCCCAAATCGTCCCGATACGTCAATGACCGTAACTTTGGCGTCTTTGTCGACCAATCTGCTTGGACACTTGGAGTGCAGATCAAGGTGCCATTGAGCATCACCAACCCAAGAGACGATGACGGCGATGACGACGACCCGGAAGACATCCACAACAAACGGGCCAAAGCGACCATGATGCTGCCACCGGAAGAGGTGTTTGCGCCAGTATCAGGTCAAGTGGTGTGGGCGAGGGACTACACATTCCGCCGACCACCCATCTACGGCCCTGCAGCGGGTGAGAATGACGAAGGCAGCTACTGCCTCATGATCCGCGACGAATGGTCGATCGTCTATCAGATCTTTGGCATCGATGGTGGCACCGTCAGCCTGCGCGAGGGCGACACAGTGTTGCGTGGTGACGTGCTCGGTCATGCCCTTCGCGAAGGGTTCTCGATCGAGCCACCCTCCACTGAGCCACCTGCAGACCACTTGGCATTCAAAGCGGATCGCCACGTATCGTTCTACCCGTACCGCTTCCGTTCGATCCAAGTGCGAGTCTCTCGACCCGACCCATCGTGGACCGAGTGGAAGTCGCCCGACGAAGCAGGATGGCAGTACTTTCATCCTCTACACGCCTTCACCGAAGGCAAGAACTACCGATCGAGCATCACACCCTACGGCTCGCCCACGCTGATTTACTTTGCCAAGCCCTCAACGGATCCGCTCAACACGCCGCCGAATGCGTATGCGACGAGCAACGATTTCTGGACCCCGACCCTCCAAGGACCGACCGAGATCATTGTCGGGTACGAGTACTTTCAGCAGACACCTGGGGATCCTGCGGATGGGATGGACAATCTGGCGGTGTATGCGCTGGATGTGGCGTTCAAGAAGAAGGTGGATGGGGAGCGAGCGCCGATGCGGGGGATGGAGTGTGACTTGGGTGGAACCACAGACCCAACCGGGGTGAGTGAGGAGGATCGGAAGTACTGGAGGAACGTGTTTGAGCATTCGAAATTGCCGAACAACTGGACACCCGCGCCATCACCACTTACCCAGAGCAACGCGACGATGAAGGAGGGCGAAGGAGAACCGTATCGGTGGACGAGCAAGCTGTTTGCACACTACATGCCCGCTTTCTCCCACGGACGCTTCTTCCCGGAGAAGATCACGAGTCAGTTTGACGAAAAGTCCAAGACGCTCTACTATTCGGCGGCGCGGACGGTGAGAGGCGAGCCCAAGATCGGCGGTGCGTTCAACGTGCAGGATGTGATAGATCAGGAAGGGGAGGAGGGTGGAAGGGGCAAGTACAGGCTGGTGGTGCGGGCGAGGGACTACTGGGGCAATGTGGGTTGCATTGCTAGTGACGTGCTGCTTACTTGATCGACGAACGAACTGTCAGAAATGGACTATGTTAACGGAGCCGGATCAGGTGTCAAGCATGTGTCTCTGCGTGACGAGGGCGTGATGAGGCTTGCCATCGGCTGAGATCTCGGGTATGTCAAGGGTGAATCTGGCCTAACACCACCGACATGGCTGTCTGGCGTCGACGGAGTTTGAATTTGCGAGCCCTGTTTGCGCCTCGAGCTGAAGCTTCCCGCGTCGCTTCATACGTTGACCAAAACGGGCATCTACATGGATATGCAGCGTCAATCATGGGTCAGCGGTACTACATTGCTCCTTGCTCAGCCATCATTGACGATGCGAGAATAGCAACTGCTTCAAGAGGACTGATAGAAATGCCTCAAGTTGTCTCAGTCTGTGCCGCCGCCACGCGCAAGCCAAAGTCGATTTTCACCTGTCAGACGCCCTCATTTTCAGAAGTCACACACACGCACAGCCCACACCCAACGCGAGAGCATCAGTGAGACTGTCGACGTGCCGCACAAAAAAGAAAGTTGGCGCTTCACACCTGCAGATTCACACGCCTTTTTCCATATCCTCTGGTTGGTGGGATGATGGCATTCACTGGCCTCATCGACCAACACCATCTCATCTCCCTGTTCCTTTCATCTCCGCGTCGCCAGCTTCATTCCGTCTCGTTGCATCCTTCCTTGCGCTTATCCACCCACCACCTCTGGATTCTCTCCTTCAAGCCACTCGACCCGCGCTCGACAACACACAATCAGCTTTCCTCCTCTCGTGCAACGTCGATTCTCTCCTTCACATCGTTGTCATCGATTCGGAACACCGCACTTTCTTCATCGTATTGCGCTGCTCGAATCAGATTCAGCCACACTAGTATCCAATCGGTCGGACTTCACCCACTGTCCTCTGCAACCGGCCCTCATCGCACAGACATACTCCATCGCGCTCGGACCTGCGCCTAGTCGGACCCCCGCAGATCGACGCGCTCCATTGTCAGAGCGCTGGCCTTTGTTCCACGCCCACCTTCTTTGCGTGCCAACTCAGCTTCTTTGGAGTGCTCTCTCACCTCCGCTGCTTCATCTAGCGCCCTCGCTTGCAGCTCGTACACGCTAGAACCATCCAAACCCGTGTTCGCATCCATGACGCTCTCCCACCACAGCGAATAGCATCCTGCTTCGCTCCACATCTTGTCGCCCCAACCATCGACGCCAGTGTTTGAACCCGCACACTTCGCCCACACATCACAGACGCGCTTGCATCGCGCTCAGACCGCGCCCGTCATGCCTTTCACCCACTCCTACTCGTCCTTGGGCATCGCGGCTCGTGACAACCAGAATAGGGGCCCACACAATCTTGGCAACGGCAGCACCAGCAGTATCAGCAACAGCCTCGACATCAATGCCGCTGACTCGCCCTCGACATCGGACAACGATTCGTCTTCACGATCGCGCCTCTTCTCTTCCGGCCGCAAGTCTCCGGACCCATTTCGTCGCTTCCGACGCCTCTCCTCGTCCAATGAGCTCAACATTGCTACCGCCCCTGCCGCGCTAGACGATAGCCAATCCTTCGACTCGCAGCAGAGCTACAATGCTGCTTACACCGACACGCGCATCCCTTCGTATCCTAACTCCAATGGACGTGCCGCTTCGCCGGCTCCCCTAGAGACGCCACGCTCGGCTCCACCACCTCTCCCCTCGCCTACCACCAAGCCTGCCTTTCTGCGGCCCAAGCGCACAAAGTCGTCCAGCATCTCGATCCTCACTTCAGGCCTCGGCCTGCGCTCAAGGGATGCAACTCTGGATCCTTCTCCAAACACGGAAACCCGACGTCGACATCGAAAAAGCGCGTCTCTCTCCGGATCCGATGTCGACCTTTCAACCTTAGCGATAGACTCGCAGCGTGCTATCACACCGCAGCCCGTGCTCCGTCCTGCATCTCCCTCGCCTTCGCTATCAGGCAACAACTATTCGACACACCGCGATACCTCAGTCCGACCCGCCGCTTCATCCAATCCTTCTGCATCATCTTTATCCAAGCAGCACAAGCAGGCATGGTACCAGGCACAGCAAAAGACCATCGAGCTCGACAACCCCAACAACCGCGGTGCACACGACGCTGACTCCGAAACGGCAAAGCTGTTCCCACTCAACGTCGCTGTACCAGACCGAAGTGACCGTGGTCTCAGCTCTCCCCCCGACTCACGCTCGCCTCGACCTGTCGTGGACACCTATCTCTCCGAAGAAGAGATGTCTGCGGCTGGCATCCAAGTCATCCGGCGTCGTGCTGATGAACCTGCAACGGCCACTCCTGCTAGCTCGCAAGACTCTCAGGGTCTTCAGACGCCACGCTCGCGCGATCAAGCGACGCTGCCCGCCATGCCTGCACGGCTATACGGAGCAGATCAGCCCGACTTTCTCGAGTACATCGACTCACCCGCCGAAAGCAAGCAGCACAGTCCAAGGCTTGACCGTAGCGCAGATCCACCAGGTTCCTCTGCTTCAATGCAAGACGCCATTTCGCATTCGCACACCAAATCCAGCAGCGGCAGCATCTCGGCTTCCTCCAGCGGCTCGACCGACTACGTGCCATTCTCGGCTAACGACACTTCCTCAGCTCACAACGGCAGCACGACCAGCCTGGGCAGTGGCAGCAAGCATTCCTTTTCGTTTGCCAAGCTCCGACGACCAGGTGTCAAGCAGAGCTCGCCACGCTCCTCCGCACCCAACTCGTCCAACGAAGACGTGAGCGGCAACAGGACGTTTCTCTTCCCCTCTCGCAACCAGCAGAGGCAGCAGCAGCAACAGCAGCACTTTTCTGCGTCAAACGGCGACGCAGCTGCCCCAGGGTACCTCAAACCGGGGCCGGGCTCGTCGGCGTCTCCGTTCCTCAACAAGCATTCTGCTACGGTCGGACGTGCATCGGGCAGTATCAGTGCTGGTCACACTGCCAAGAATGGTCTCGCCCAGGTGTTCAACGGTGGCAGCTCTTCGGCTGCTACCGTGGGCCCAGCGTCCTCCGTCTACAGTGGTACTGCGAGCAATGGTGTTCCTCCACCGAAGCCACCCAAGCCGAAACCGAGCCTGCTCACAGCTTTCCCACGCTCCGGTGGAAGCAACCGTTCGCTGTCGGGCTCCATCTCCGCTCCCAACACCGCACCCTTGGAAACGGGTCCCGAGTCGCTCCGCCGCATCGCAACTAGCCAGCAAGGTACGCTTCAGCCCCCCGCGAGTGCAGGGCCCGGCGCGGGCTTCTACCGCAACATCGCGCATTCTCGATCGCAGGAAGCAGTGGCAGAGGCGAGGTTGGAGGCAGAGGCACTGCGGGCGTCGGCTGGTACGCCGCTGCCTCCTCCACGTAGGCTCAACCCATCGCGGGCAGGTGGAATGTCGAACTACTCGCAGCAGTCGTCGACGCCCATGGGCAGGACTGTTTCTGGTGGCTCGGGCGGCGTGGTTGGTGCGCTCGGGCAGGTTGGACAGCTGGGCGCGGCCATGGGAAGGAAGGGCTGGGACTTTATGAAGACGCTTCAGACGAACACTGCTGCAGGTGGTGGCGTTTTGCCTGCTCGCAATGATGGTGCACCTGGCTATCGCACCGGCGGGCACTCTTCCGCCGCTGCTATCGCTGCAGAGAACGAGCCGACGCGCCAATGGCTGGCTCTGCTAGACGCGCCTGACTCGACCCGGCGTCCATCAGAAGGCATCTTCGGTGCACCCCTCAAAGACGCCGTTCTCCGCTCTCGCCTCTCCAGCCTGACCTCCGATCCTCCCACCGAAGACCACCTCGGCGTCCCCGACCTTGGCTCTGAGTTCAGCGCGAGCTTCATCCACTCCCCTGGCGCGACCCCACGCGCCTCGGTCGCCGGCACCACCCCCACCGACCCGCTGAGTCGCGAACAGGCGCGCTGCCTCTACCTCCCGCGCATCGTCGTACGCTGCATCGAGAGCCTCGAGAAATGGGGTCCCTCCGAGGAAGGCATCTACCGCATCAGCGGTCGCAGCAGTCACACGTCCAAACTTCGCCTTCACTTCTCGGATCCGCGCAACGATTTGAGGCTTGACGAGATCAACCCTGCGGATCTGGATATCAATTCGGTGTGCAGTGTGCTCAAGAGCTATCTACGCGAGTTGCCGGAGCCGCTGATTCCATTGGCGCACAGCAAAATGCTCGATCAAGCGGTGGCGCGATTGCTTGCGGACACCGACGGCGGTACAGATGCCAAGAGTGACGCTCGAGCGGCGAATCTGACACCAGAGAAGGTCGCCGACGAACTCGCCCCGCTGATGCGACGCTTGCCCGTGCACAACTGGTACCTCCTACGCGAGCTGTCGTGCCATCTGGGGATGTTGGCACAACCCGAGGTGGTGAGGAGCACAAAGATGCCGGTGAGCAATCTGACGTTGGTGCTGGCGCCGACGGTGAGTATCTCGTTGCCGTTGCTGCAGGTGTTGGTGCGGCATACGGAGGTGGTGTTTGCCGGACCGGTGCCTTGTGAGGATGCGGTGGGGGTGTCGGTGTCTGCTGCGGCTGCCAAGGTGAGTTCGCCGGCAAAGGAGACCAAGCGTCCCTCACCGCCACCGCGACCGGTCAAGCCGGAGAGGTTGTCGCCGGCGAGCAAGCTGCCTGTGCTGGTGCGAAAGCGCGCGTCGTCGATGGGATTGGGCGCGCTGCTCTCTTCGCCCACTCGAAGTCGCGCTTCCCCCGCGCAAAGCAGTCCGCAGCCGCATCGTCGCACGCCATCCACCACGCCCTCTTTGGAACTTCCCGACTTCATCTCTGCCTCGGCCAGCTCGCCGGCTGCAGACCCCTACTCGCGCCCCTCGACGTCGCTCGGCCACTTCGCCTCCTCTCCTCCGGCCAATCGAAGCACGTCAGGTACACGAGACGACGCCTTTGCACCGGGAGACACGCCCATCGCCCGATACTACGCGCGCACCCAATCTGGCGTCCTCACCCCCACGCTCTCCCCGCACCGCATGCCTGCATCCTCGCCCAACCTCGCGCACCTCACCACCTCCCCCATGCTGAGCGATTCCGGCTTCGACGAGCCGCGCAGTGGGCGGACGAGCGCACTGGACCGACCGAGGCCACCCACAAGCAGCAGCGCCAGCTTCTTCGCCGGGCGCAGTCGGAGGACGGACAGTGTGAGTGTGCTCAGTGCAAGTGGGAGTGCTGCGAGTGTCGATGGGGAGGGTGGCACGAGTCCGTTACGGATCACCAAGCGATCGACTATGCTGGCGAGAGAGGGCGGGAGGAGTGAGGAGGATGTCAAGGGGAGGGTGGAGAGGTATTTGCAGAGCGGACCGGGTCGTGCTTAACGCTGAAACAGAGGACCTTTTGGGGAATGTTCACACCCGGGTTGCTCACACCTGTCACTCTCACATCGGATGAAATTGGCCTGCCTGGGTCACACTTTGCATCGCACTGCCTGCTCCGAACCGGCCCCGTCTGAGTCTGAGTCCAACACGCCTTTCATCCACACCGTCACGTTGCACAGGCCGCACATCCTCACCATCATCCGCGCACACTTCCCACTCGCGCACTTTGCTCAGAACTCGCTTGATTCCTTCTTTGCGCAAATGCTAGAACTTTCTTCGAACAGGAGCAATCACTTTACCGGGAACCTTCGTGACCCTAGGCAAATTCAGCCTCTGCGTCTCGATGCGCGTATTCCACTCCTTACCCAACGGCTGTCGCATGGCCGCTTCGTACTGGGCGACGCTCGTGTACGGATAGGGCAGGTCTTTCGCGCGGAACTTGTCCTGTTTCTTGTCCCTTCGTTCGCTGATGATCACGTGGGCCATTCCGGCATCTTTGCGTTTGTCCGCGTCGACGCCTTGGATGGTACGCATGTGCTTGGGTTTGGTGGGACGGGAACGGACGCCTTTGCCCGTCCAAGCGCCCCAACCGGGAAGACGCGTGTCGATGGTTTTCGTCGCATCGGCGTCGATGGTGGCCGCTTTTTCGGCGGCGAATTCCGAAACGACGTCGTCTGTGGCAAAGGCGTCGGCGACCAGGGAACGCTGTTGGATAGCAGACATGGCTCCACCCCGCTGCGCCGCTTTTTTCGAGAGAGTGGGCACAACCGTCGAAGGCTGGACGGCCTCCCCGTCGCTATCGTCATCATCGTGAAGGCGTGAGGAAAGATCGATCGAGATCGCCTCGTCGTTCTTGCGCGCCGCGATGGACGAGGCGCTCTTGGACGCGGATTTGGACGCGCGCAGCGCCGACTTGGATGCTGCGGCTGCCGAGGTCGAGTTGGTCGACAGGGAGGAGTCGTTCTTCTTGCGCGAGAGGGTGGCTTTGCCGTCCGAGGAGATGGTCAGCCAGGGGTTGGCGTCCTCGTCGTCCGAGGCGGGCTGAGCGGTGGAGAGGCTGGGTTTGGTGGTGCGAGACTTGGACTTGGTGAGCGTCGAGGCGGGATCGATCTCGATGTTGCTGTTGGTGCCGTTGGCGGAGGATGGCTTCTTTGAAGGCTGTGGCAGATCCTCTTTGCCGGCGGAGGGTTTCTGCTTCTGCACGGCGGGCGTGGAGATGGTAGCACCGGGAGTGGCGCCGTACATCGCACGACCCTTGTTGCCCTGAACGTACACCGAAGACCCCCCTTCAGGTTCTCGCCTCGCGATCACCGTCTCCCCTTTATCCTCGTCGCTGTCTCCTTCTTCCTCCTGGGCACCCAGCCCCTGCATCTCGGTCACAAAGTCATCCACCTCGCCCCTCACCTGGGCATACTGCCGCTCCCTCGCGTCCTTCATAAACTTCATGTTGTACACCCCCTTCTTCCCGCCTACCCGCTCGAACTCCTCCTCGTCCCTCCTGCGCTTCCCCTCTTCCTTGGCCTCCAGCGCAGCCAGCTCGTCAAACGCATCCCCCATTACCTGGGCATCCTCCCTCTCATCGTCCTCCGTATCTTCCTCCGACTCCGACTCCTCACCCACCTCCCTCGCCTCGATCTTGCTCCTCAACTCGGCCCCTCTCCGCAATTGCGCATCCAGTTCGTTCCTCGCCTCCTGATTATGCTCGCCGTGTCTGCCACTCAAGATATTCTTGGCCCACTTGGACGTGTTCTTATGCTTCAACGTGGCCCTCTCCCTCGCTCGATCTCTCTCGGCCTTCAACCTCTCCTCCATCCCTTCTTCCTCGTCTTCGTCCTCCTGATCCGAATCCAGCTCCTTCATCTGCTCCTTCAACCTCTCCTTTTCCTTCCTGTGGATCTTGCGGTACGCCTTGGACTTGATTTTGCTCACGCGCTTCGCTTTTTGTTCTGCACGGAAGAGAAGCATTCGCATCCTCCGCAGCTCGTCCCGCCTCGCTCGTGCTTCGGACGGGTCGAGCTTGTTCATGGCCAGTTCCTCTTGTGCTGCGAGCTGCGACTCGGTCAGCCCGCCCTCGGTCAGCATCGCCGCGATGGACGCTTCCATCCCGGCGTCCGGGGTAAAGGTGGCGACGAGCCCAGAGGTGGACGGTTGCGTGACGGCGGGTTTTTGGAGCGGGAAGGAGAGGTGTTCGGCATCGCGCAGACGGTTGATCGTAGGCTGCCAGCCGGCAACTTCGTCGCGTGTTGTGGAGTAGGCACCTTGTCGGTCGAGTCGGTCTTGGACCACGGACGGAAGCGGAGCCGAGAGCGCTCCTCCGCCTTTGCGGGATGCAGAGGGAGCGGTGGTGGAAGACGACTTGGGATTGGACAGGAGCTTGGTGGACTTGCGGATGTCAGCAAAGTCGACATTGGACGAGAGCGGGTTCATGAAGTCTTCGAGACGCAAAGTGGAGCCCGAATGGGCGGCGGCGAACTCGGTTTCGGGAATCGCCTCGGTGCGCTCGGATAGGACGCGGCGAGAGCGCTTGGTGGAGGGCTCTGCGTCGGAGCCGGCGTCAGAGTCGGCGGTGGCGTTGCGTTTGGAGCCGGCAGCGGCGAACGACTCGATGTGCTTGGCGAGCTTGCTGCTGCTCTGGTCGTTGTCGTCGTCGGATGCGTTGTCGTCTTCGTCGTCCTCGTCGGACTCTGAGGCAGAATCGAGCATGCGGGAGAGATCCATCATGCCACCGTCGTCCTCACCGTCTTCCTCCTCTTCTTCCTCCTCTTCCTCGTCGTCAGAGTCGCCAGACTTGCGCTTGCTCTTAGCCCCCTTACCGAACGTCCACCCATCAAACTTTTCTTCGTCACTTTCACCAAATGCTTCATCCGAATCGAGCTCCTCGTCGCTGCCCTCGATGCCCGCATTCAGCTCGTCCTCCGAGTCGAACACCTTTGGCCCGATCGGCCCTGCATCGCTGTCATCGCTCTCCTCGTCCTCATCATCGTCATCGTCATCCGTGCGACGCCTCGCCTGTTTGCCCTTGGCCTTGGACGGCAAGTCGGCATAGTCGTCCGCTTGCATACCCGCCAGAGCGCGTCGTGAGCCCCTGCTCTGGGTCGAAGTGGAAGCCTGTGCAAAGTCGTAGACGTCATGCAGACCTTTTGGTGCATCGTTGTTGGTGCCCTTGCCAGAAGAGCGGGCTGTGCGGCGCGACTTGGAACCGGAAGAGTAGGCGGCGGAGGAGAAGGGTGCTGAAGAGTCGTTGCCGCCACGACGACCGCCGCTGCGACCGCCGTTGGAGGAGGAAGCGCCACCGCGAGAGTTGCGCTGTCTCGCCATTATAATGAGTCGTAAGGGCGTGTGGTGCTTCGATGAGCTGCTCGGTATGGCTACGCGGATCTTGTGTCGTTGGGTGCAGCCAAGCAGCGTCGATATGATGGAGCGGAAGGTAGAGGAGGGCTGAGCGGCGAAGGGAGGCAAAATTTGCTTTCAACTTTTGCTTCCAGCTCTGGCCTTGATTACAAGCTTGTAGTCAAAGGGTCCACCTGCCTGTAATGAATTTTTGGCTCAGCTGTGGAGTCGCGAACTTTTTCTTTGGTTCTTCTCGATTTTAGACTTCTGGCAAGCTGAGAAGAAGTTTGGCTAAGAACCTCCTCCTCCTCCTCAACATCATCATCTCTCCGTCCTCGGGCCCATCGCAAGCGCACACTCGAGCGAGCATCGAAGGCTGAAAGCGACACCAAACCCAATTGAAGGCACGCCGCAAATCCCGCACGAACCATCTCCTCACAGCCTGCTTCACCAGCAGCACCCACACACACACCATGCGACCCCTCACAGAAGAGGAAACCAAGACGCTCTTCGAAAAGCTCGCCAACTATGTGGGCAAGAACCTCGTTCACCTCATTGACCGACCTGACGACCCGCACGTTTTCCGTCTGCACCGCGATCGCGTCTACTACGTCTCCGAGTCGTCGATGCGGCTAGCGATCTCGGTTGCGCGGCCGAACCTCATGTCGCTCGGCACGTGTTTTGGCAAGTACAGCAAGACGGGCAAGTTCAGGCTCCATGTTACTGCGCTGGACTACCTGGCACAGCACGCAAAGTACAAGGTGTGGATCAAGCCCAATGGCGAACTTCCGTTCTTGTATGGGAATCATGTCGTCAAGGCGCACCTGGGGAGGATCACGGATGATACGCCCGAACATGCAGGGGTGGTGGTGATGAGCATGGGGAATACGCCCCTGGGATTCGGGGTTACGGCTAGGAGCACGGTCGATACCAGGAAACAGGACCCAACGAGTATCATCGTCTTCCACCAGGCGGACGTTGGCGAGTACTTGAGAGATGAAGATACGCTCTTCTGATCCTAGAGCGTCGCACCTCTCTCTCCTCTTTCGCTCGGATCTCGCTGTACAGGGGAAGTAGGGTACATCTTGCACCCTCTGCCAACATCATATCCTATTCTCGTCGCTCCATTGTACTTTTAGCTCCCCCTTCTCAGGTCTTCCCATTCATCGTTCAGGTCTTCAATCACAGTCAATTAGCATCTTCTCTGCATCAACCAGTTTGCAGTCGTCCAACGAGCCGGTGCACGGAGCATCGACATGGATGACGAGAAACTTGTCGAGCCATTGCTTTGTTTCATACGCCGCCAGGCAGCAGAGAAGGAAGAAGGTTGGACAGACGCTTCTGACGTGCTGCTCTTCTGCAATTGCCATTTCAAAAAATGGCAGAAGAAAGCGTCAGTCACCGCGGCCATCTTTTGGCGCGCTCGTCATCGGCAATCGACTCCACATCCCCCTACCCCACCCCTCCGCTCCTCGTCCATCCCTCCTCACTGCATCCTTCATCACCATCACCGTCCTTCGGAAAGCATAGACAAGCTACACCCTGTCCAAAATGGGTGTCATCCCTCTCTCGGATCCTCCGTCCCTCGCCCTGTCCACTCTATCCACCCTCCTCGGCTGGGCGTATACCTTTGCCTGGTCAGCCTCGTTCTACCCGCAAGTGATCCGCAACTTTACGCACAAATCGACCATCGGTCTCTCCACGGATTTTGTCGTCCTCAACGCGGTGGGTCACTCTTCCTACCTTTTGTACAACACTCTCTTGTTGTTCTATGGACCGGTTCGACGGGCGTATCGACATGCCCATGGGGGGAGGGAAAACGTAGTCCAACTCAACGACTTTATCTTTTCCCTTCACGCCACGTTACTCGCTCTCATCACCCTCGCTCAGTTCCTGCGCTATCGAAAAGCCCACCAAGGAGTATCGCGCACCGTCTCCCTCTCTTTGGCTGGAGCACTCACCGTAGCTGTCTTCCTAGCGGGCGCAAAGAGGTTGAAACTCGTCAACTGGCTCCACATCGTCAACGCCGCTTCCACCCTCAAACTCGTGATAACACTCACCAAATATCTGCCGCAGATCAAACTCAACGCCGACCGAGAAAGCACCAAAGGGTTCAGCATCGAAAACATCCTCCTCGACCTCACCGGCGGGCTGCTCAGCCTGGCACAGTTGGGCGTGGACGCAGTGTGGATCCAGGGCAGCTGGAGCGGTGTCGCGGGAGATTGGGGCAAATTGGGATTGGGTCTGTTGAGCATTGCGTTTGATGGCGTGTTGATCTGGCAGCACTACGGCGTGTATGGGGCCGTGGAGGTGGATGAGGACGATGAGAGGGAGGAGACGCCGGATGGGACGGGCAGGAGGAGGAGCGGGTACGGAAGTTTGGCTGGGTCCAGACAGGCCAGTTACAGCTCGAGAAGGGCGAACCAGGATGGCGAGACGGAAGATTCGGCGTTGCTCAGATAGATGTCATGAGAAGATGGCTTTGTGTAGACGGATTGCATTCAGACACTCACACTGGAAATGCTGCATCACAAGATATCGTCGTTTCTGGCGGACGGACACTACGTTGTGCCTGCGTGCTGAGACTGCCGCAAAGTGGCCTTCGGCGTGTGGGGACGAATCACTGGTCCTCAGCTTTGCGCTTGACACCGCCGAACGCAAGACGGAAAGGCCCATTCGACGGCCCAGTCCCTGCGTCTGCTGCGGCTGGAGAATCCCCTGAAGCGCTCGCCGCAGCAATCCTCTTGAACCCCGACCCTCCCGCTGCGACCGTCGTGGCCGTGCTCGGCGCCGGTGTCGCACTGCCAACGCGTGCCCATCCACCCGTCTTTGTTGTCGTCGTCGCACCGTCGCCATTTGCCGCAACGCTCGCTGCGCCTGTCGAATCCAGTCCAGGCGCAGGAGACAACATCTCACCATCCGTCTTCTTCCCCTTCGCACTTGGACCATTCTGTCGCACCGCCTTCTTCAACTGCATCCCCGCCGAGCCTGCCCCCTTTCCATCCAACAGGTCGTTCTCCTGGGGCGCAGACCCGCGACTCCCCACGCTGAGCACCATGTGCGCCTTGCCCGTGCGCTCACTTCGGCTCTGGAATGCCGCCGACATGCCCGTCGGCGTATCGCCCGCCGCCATCCGCTCGCGCTTCTTCTCGTCCTCGATCTTCTTCAGCCGCTTCTCCTGCTTCTTCGTGCCGGGCTTCTTGCCGTGGAACACGTGCGAGAGGTGCTTCCACGCCTCTTTTTGATCGAGATCACGCCCAAATTCGTCGTGGTACTTGATCTCGACATCGGGCTTATAGTCGCGGAATCGGTCTTGGGCGAGACGTGCTTCTTCCACTTCGCGGTTGCGGTTTTGGACCTCGCGTGTGGCTTGGTCGACAGAAGAACCGGATGCTTTCGAGGCTTGACGGGCTAGCTCGCGATCTTGTTCCTCGCGACGACGCGCGGCAAGCCAGGCGTCGTACTGACGTTGCTGTTCTTCGCGCGATTTGAGCTCCGGATTGGCTTGAGCGATCATACCTTGCTGACGAAGGAAGGAGAGCGTGCCCGCCATGCCTCGACCAATGACAGGCTCGTTGTCCTTCACCTCGGGCTTGACGTCTTTGGCTGCTGCTGCGACAATGGCTTCCAGAGTCTCGCCTTTTTCCGGCTCTTCCTTGACATGGTCTGGAGTCAGTGTTGCTTCAGCGTCGTCGTCCTGCTCCGTCTTGATATTCGAGGTAAGTAGCTCGCGCATGGGTACATCTATCACGCCTGCGAACTCCTCTCTCTTGACGTCGGCAGCAGGGGCGAGCTTCACGTCGACGGACTCCTCCTTTATGGTGCGCGCCCTTCTTGGGACTTCGACCTCGGTCGGCCGTTCTCGGATGGCTCGGACAAACTCGCTCGTCTCGTCGAAAGTGAGAGCTCCTTGACCATCTGGAACCTCGCCACTGCCGTTTGCCGTGTCTGCCCCGTTGGCGATGACTGGAGTTGCCACGCCGTTGGTCGCAGACCGCTCCGCCTCCTCCGCTGCTCGCTGCGCGGCCAGATTCTTGGCGATCATTTCGGGCGTCATCTTGTTGAAGGTCTTCTTGGCTTTGAGACGCCGTGATCTGGCGAGCGAAGCTTGAAGTTCGTCGTCATCGACAAAGTTGTCTGTCTCTTGACGTCGGGCTGGCTTGGCTGACACTTTAGCTTCCTCCATCTCGACGTCGGCAAGAATGTTTGTGCTCGCAGCGGCTGTTGACGAGGGCTCACCAGCATCCTGATCGTCGTCGAAGCTGATCTTCACCTTGGCTGCCTTCTTGCGTTTCGTTTTGGGCTTCTTGAAGCCGACATCGCCTTCTTGCAGGTAGTCCGACACCTCTTGATTCTTGGTGTAGTCGAGCGAGAGCAGCTGTTTGTTGGCGCGCCGAGCTTCTTCCTCAGCTTCCTGCCGCAATTTTGCGTGACGATCTGCGGCGGAAGTGCTCCCACCAAGACGAAATCCGGACGCTTCAGCGGTCGCAAGATCGCCCTCTGGCAAATCAGCGTCGTACTTTGACAAGACGCCGCGCTTGCGTCCTGAAAGCGTCTCTTCGTCGTCCAGACCCGTGTACTCTTTAGCTCCCTTCTTGCGCTCGATGTTCTTGGCGTCGCGCTCCGCTTGATCGAGAGCCGAGTCCATGAGCTCGTCGTCGGCGTCATCGAGAACGCCCGCATCTCGGAGTGTAAGGATCCGTTCTTCGCCCTCGTCGAATTCGTCGGCATCGTGACCGACGCGCAGACCAGCGAGATCCGACTCTCGATACTGCGCCTGTTCGAGAGCCTCTTCCTCCTCGAGCTGTTTGGCCCTGCGAGCGGCATGTTCCTTGGCTCGCTTCTTGGACTCCTCGAGCCACTTGAGCGTGTCTTTCGAGCCCGAGCCAGATGCCGACGTCGATGCTTCTCCTGATGCTTCCGCATCACCCAGCGTTGGTCCTTTCAGCCGACGAGCAGCATCCCGCTTCGCTTGCGCCTTGGCCAGCCGCTCCTTGACCTCGATGTCCTCTCGCTCGCGGCGTTCGCGCTCCTGCTTGTCCTGGAAGTTCTTGGACGCCAGCGCATCTCCGTCTAGCTTGGGAGCAACATCGATGTCAGAGCTCGAGCCCTTGCTAGGAGCAGGCTCATCGTCGGCGACAAGAGGTTTGAGACCAAGCGAGATACGAAGCTTGTTGGTCTCCTCGAGCGAGAGCTCCTCCTTTTGAAACTCGGACATGGTGATGTTGTGAGCTTGACCTTGACTTTAGTGCGATCGCGGTGAAAGTCAGAGATGCAGTGCTCACCCTGTGGTTTGGATCACGTCGTCATTGATCGTCTGGCCGGTCTGGTGTCGTGCAGCTGTGATGTGAAGGTGAAGAGGCTGAATGCTTCTCAACTCAGCAGCAACCTCGAAACCAGGGTTCAGTCTGCAGTTCGGCAAGTTCACCACATCCCGATCCCAACCGATCTGACAAATCAGGGCCAAAATCTAAATTGGGGATTTCTTAGTCTTTTTCCAAAAATGGATCCAATTTCTGGCTGAGCAGGCCAGCCATTGCAAGGCGCACCGCAAAATGACGCACACATGCTTCGCAACGACACTTCAGTCACCTCGCCTGCTGTGTTGACGTGCGAGGGTCTAACGGAAATCGAGCACAGACAAGAGGCGATGCAGCAGCAGCTGGTCCAGGCTCGTGCACTGCGCAACGCCGTTGTTCCTTTTGGACCTCAGACGAGGTCATCGAAGAGGTATTCTTAATCTCGGATTTGGCCTCCACTGCCTCGATCTTCCTCATCCTTATCTTCATTCCCATCTACCGAGACCAACTTCCTCATACCCCATCCCTACAGGAAAACACAATCATGTCGTCGTACGCCAACATCGCCGCCGAGAACGCGCCTCCCAAGTCGCAGCAGCCCAAGCCGGACCCGGGTCTGCTCGAGGGCCAGGTGGACCACAGCAATGTGAACCACAACGCACCGGACGTCAACTCGGGCAAGGTCAACGTCGTCCCCGCCGACACCGATCTCGAGCACCTCAAGACGCAGTCTCAAGAAGCCTACGACGAGGCGGTCTCCAAGGCCCGTGAGCAACGTAAGCAGTTCGAGTCGTCTGCCAAGCAGGCGTCCGACTCGGCCTCCAAGACGGCCCAGGATGCCAAGAAGACAGGCCAGAACGCTGCCTCTGACGCCAAGAAGGCGGGTCAAGATGTTGCTTCCGACGCGAAGAAGGCTGGTCAAAACGCTGCCTCCGACGCCAAGAAGGCCGGCCAGGACATCGCCGACGATGCTCAAAAGGCTGGCAAAGATGCGGCCAACAAGGCCGAAAAGGTGGCCAACGACGTCTCCTCGGAAGCCGAGAAGTTTGGCAAGGATGCCCGCGCCACGGCCGAAAAGTACGGCAAGGAGGCGCGCGACCAGGCCGAAAAGGCGGGCAAGAAGGCCGAGGAGTACTACGAGAAGGGCAAGAAGGAGCTCTCCAAGGACGCCGAGGTGTTGAGGAAGCGCGGCGAGGAGGGCGCCAAAAAGTTGAAGAAGAAGGCGGGCGAGGCCGAGAAGGAGTTGGAGAGCTGGTGGTCGTCCTTCTCGAGCGACCCCAAGCAGTGGGGTCCCGCCCTCGCCGGTCTCAACGTCGCCCTGCTCGGTGGTCTGGGTGTGTATGCTTACACGCACAAGGAACAGGTCCAGCGCACCGACCGTAGGCTCATCAGCGCTGTCACGGTCGGTGTCCTCGGTCTGCTCGGTGGCCAGGGCTACTGGGCCAACGAGACCGCCAAGAAGCAGAACAGCTCGCTTTAAGCGTCGGCTCGACGAGCATCCGCCCTTGTCGGCCTTTTGTAAAGTACATTCCCTTCGTCTCTCTGCGACTCGTACACTTGTTGATATCGCCGTGAACAAGCCCTAATGAAACAGTCATCACCACTCGATTCACCGCTTGTGACGAAGCAAGATACATGCGGGCTCCGGCCAGACAGCAGAATACGAAGGAGCGTCAGCTGGGCTGTCAGAGCTCGGAAGGAACAAGACTAACGAGCACCGTTGAATGGGAAGGTCACTCGTCTTATCATCAAAGCATGGTCCGAATCTCACTCTGAACCTGCTGTCTGTCTGGACATATATCGTGATTGCAGCAAACGGTGGTACAAGTGAGGACCATTCGACATCTAGTCCTCCATCGGCGCCTCACCACCAGTCCCCGCAGCTGCCTCTCCCTCACCAGCTCCACCCTCGCCCTCAGTCGTCGCCACCGCCCTAGCACCGGGAATCGTCTTTGGCTCGAGCCTGTCCATGTATGGCCTCAACTCCTCACCCTCGACCACCCTGAACTTCTCTCCCCTCCTTGCCTGTGGCGAGTTGACATCCGCATCCGCACCCGGCCCGACCACAGCTACGCTGACCTGGTCCAACTCGAGATCTTTGTTCTGGGGCAGAGTATCCCTGAGCGCGAACAGCCCATGAAGGACCAAATCCTCGAGACTCGCGTTGGGGAACTCCTCGTACTTCCTCTCGAGGTACGTCTTTGCCGACTGCGAGCGGGCGCCAATCGACATGGCGTAGTACTCGAAGCAGTTGGCGGTGGGAGAAAACTCGTACAGGTGGGGACCTGTGTCGTCAACGCCGATGATGAGGAAGCCTACGCCATAGGGGCGCTTGCCGTAGTCCATGGTGTTGAACTGCGCGCGGTCCGCGAGCGAGTCGACCACGCGCGAGATAGGAAGCGGACGCGAGTAGACCAGGCGGGACGAAAGGGCGAGTTGACGCATGTACGTCGACAGAACACGAGCATCGGATGTCAGACCAGCAAAGCCAATGCCCATGTGGTTGTCGATGCGGAGCATCTTCTTTTGGTACGAGGCGAGCTCAGAGGGCGCTCGCTTGAGCGCTACGAGGATGGCATGTGTGTTGCTGCGAAGACCGACCACGGCCGATCCTTGCTTGACGGCTTCGAGGGCGTACTCGACCTGATGCAGACGACCTTGCGGTGAGAACACCGTGTTGTCACTGTCGTAGGTGTTGCGGAACATTGTGGCCGCGCTGCTCGATCGAGGCGTTGGTGATTAGGTCGCGGGTGAAGGTACCGGAACGGCAGTTATCTGACTCTTCGTTGAGTAGGTGCCGGAGTCGAATATCACAGCTGCCGAGAGTGCTTGATGCAGCCAGAAGAGATGAGCGGTGATCGGCGGACCTGAATGAGGATGGGACGTGGTGAGTGGTGAGAAGATGGACTGATGATGCGCAGCTGCACCTATGGAAAAGTGGAGCGTGCTCGCTCGAGCCTGCGTGGAAAGTGACAAGTCCAGAACGCGTAGCAGCCTGCAAGCCGCCTTCGCAAGCGTAGGTGATCGACCCTAGAAACCCCTTTCAAAAATCACAACAGCAGAGCGACTATCTCGCTGCACCCGCTTGTGCATGACTAGTGCTTACAAATCTTCATTTTTGCAGCAACCAAGCCGACTCCCGACTCAACCATGTGGACCGACACTCAGACCAACACCTTCCTCCTCACTGTTCACTCGTACCATCCACAACTTACCTCCGTGTTGGATCCTCAACAATGTCGTTCGTCGCTCCGGCCCTTCGCTGGCCCGATACGCTCGCCACACACCTCCCACAGCCCCTCAAAGACACCGGCATTCCTCCGCAATACTTCGTCATCGTCCCAGCAACCCTTCTCGCCGTGCTCCTGACCTACACGCTCACCCAAGCCTCGTCCGTCGCCAACGCTCCCCATCTCGCGAGCACCTCCTCCGATGTCGATTTCACGCAAAAACGCTCGCACGGTCGATCTTCCACCGTCGTCCTCGTCGGTCTGAGCGAGACAGGCAAGACCTCTCTCTTCGCCTCCCTGGTCTACGGGACGACGCCTAGCACGCTTCCTTCGCAAAAGCTCTCCCAGGGTCTCATCACTTCATCTCTTGAAGCATCTAAACCTGTCACGCTGATCGACCTTCCCGGTCATCCCCGATTGCGACCGCTGGTAGACGAGCACCTGTCGCAAGCGGACGGCCTGGTGATCTGCATCGACGCAGTCATGGCGTCCAAATCCTCCACGTCGTCTCGACCCGGTGTCGACGGAGAGAGCATCACTGACGTTGCCGATCTCCTGCACTCCACGTTGACGGTGCTGGCAAAACAACGGTCACGATCCTCTTCGCTTGCGCCGCCGTCCGTGCTGGTGTTGTTCACCCGCGCCGACCTGTCTCCGCTGCTCGGCGGGTCTTCGGTCGGCACCGACGCTGCGAAGGACGAAAAGCGACGTGCGCAACTGCTCTCCCGATGTCGCACCACGCTCGAGAGCGAGCTCGGACAGAGACGGGCCAACATGGGGCTGGGGCGCCGTCGCGGTGGTGCAGGGGTCAAGATCGCCGGTCTGGGCAAGGTTGCGGACGCTGAAGTTGCGACGGCAGGCGGGATGTTCGAGTGGGTAAAGCGCGCTCTTGGTCTCACTAGCACTACCTCGACTGCACCAGCACAGGAGGAGGACGAAGAGGAAGAAGACGAGGTGGTGGACTACATCGATTGGGCTGCGTCCCAGCGTGCGACTGAAGATGGGGTTGGAGCGGGAAGTTTCAGCTTCGACCGATTGGACGATCATGTGGTGTGGGGTGGAAAGGTCGATTTTGCACTCGCGACCGTTGGCAAGAATCGCTCATGGGATCAAACGGAAAAGGTAGATACCAGCGGGTTGACGGATTTCACTCGATGGATCGACGAGCTGCAACAATGAATCAAACTTTTCTACATAGTCAGAGCTTCCAATTGGTACCCTTTGGCACACGCAGACTGTCCCACATGCGCTCCACCCCCAGATCCGCCGCTGAGTCCCTCTGCACACCTCCGTTCCGCGGCTCACCCCCATCCGTCGGATTGGCGAACTTGATGCTCTCGTACAGCCCCAGTTGCAGATGGATCCCGCTGGGTCCGGGGTTGAAGTGCTCCAGCTTCTGTGCGCCTTGGATGAGGGCGAGGATGTTGTTCTTGACCGTCTGGATCTGACCTATGGCAGAGCGGACGGTTTTGGCTGCTCCGGAATCGGCGATGTCGCCCAGGGCAAAGATGCGCTTGTGCAGCACCGTCGGATGGGGTGATTGGATCTGGAGGGTGGGTTGAACGCTGATGAAGCCGTTCTTGGTAATGGCGGTGGGAGCGTAGGAGGCAAGGAGCTCCGAACGAGGTGTTTGACCGGTGCACATCAACACGAGATCCGCCTCCAGCTTCGACCCGTCTTGCAGTCGCACATCGACCATCTTCCCTTCCTCAAATGTGGGGAACCCTTCGCGTGGCAAGTCAACCCGCACACCGAGTCTCGTTCGCACCCCTCTCTCCGCGAACCGCTTCGCAACAACGTCGTGCAGATCCGGATGAAACGTGTTCATGAGCCTCTCTCTGCTGTGTACCACTGTGACGTTTCTGCCCGGGTAGACCTCGGCGATGTCGCACGCAACTTGTACGCCCACCGCTCCGCCGCCGACAATGACAATCTGGTTGGCAGCGGCGATGGAGTCTTGGTACGACCTTAGCGTGTTCACAGCCTCGTGTTTTGCTTGTGCACCATCGTGGCTGGCGGAGGGGAGGGACCAGGGCTCGCGCAGCTCTGTGCCGGTCGCCAGCGCGAGATAGTCGAAGTCGATCTTCTCGCCGAAGTCGTCGACCTTCCTGTCCAGCTGCAGGTATCCCCCCTCACCGCTTTCGTGGATGGCCACCGCACGGGCGTGCACCATCCGCCCCTCCACGCCTGGCTTCTCAGCGTCCACCAAGGCGTGGCTGTATGGGACAAGCGCCTTCTCCTCCCCACCGCGACGGAGGACCGAGAAGCGTGGGAAGGTGAACAGGTGGTGAAAGTGCGAGTTGGCCTCTACGACCACCAGCCGATGCGTAGAGGGTAGCGAAGGGAGAAGGGCTTGAGCGAGTCGAATGCCCACGTACGAGCCGCCAACGATGACGACGTTGCGCGGTTTTGCAGCTGCTGCGCCCATGCTGGCGTACTTCGAAATGGTGATGTTTTGAAGGGCTCGTCAGAGAGGCGTCGGTCGATCGTTTTGCACGATATGTGTCCGTGTAGAGGATGCTACCGTCTTGAGTAGAAACGAAGGTCCTTGGTCTGGCTCGATGCAGGCTAGTGTTATGGAGGAGCATCGGTCTGGCCAGCGAGCCCAAAGCGGATCTTTATATCTCTCACAGTCCTCTCGGTGGACATCCTCTCCGAGGGTACGCCCAACAAGACACTTCCGTTCGAGTCGACCGTCCGCGGAAGAATCACCTTCGGCCGTAGTGGGAGGTTCTTCTGGCCGAGAAAACCCTCTAATCAGATAACTCTGCGCCTCGGCAAGCGCAGCCGTCGGTCGCGTTCCCGCGGATCAGATAAAACTGCGCAGCGGAAGAAGGATCATCCCCCCTCCAGCCCAAAACTTGGGCCGCTGCTGGCCGACGACCGCGTGCTCACGATCGGCCGTCGCAATGCACACCACACGATGCTTCGGTTCTGTCGAGTCACACGGTGAGGCTTTGACCGATGGAGCGGCTGTCCGAGGTGTCCTCGCTGCTGCGCGACACCGATTCATCGACACAGCCGCCCTGCACTGCACCTGCGAGGACTTCCTCAGAGCCGAACAGTGCAAGTTGACGAGACAGAACGATTCGTGCGATGCAGAAGCACGAACCCTGCCTCGAGCAAGCGACCCACAGCCAAGATCACGCACATCCAGCCGGTGCCAGATCCGACGTTTCGTCGCACAGATCAAGGTGACTAGCAGAGTTCTCTGAAGCTCCCTCTGGACCGACACAAAGACAATGCGAGCCGAAAGGGCACTGAACAGGCACAATCGCCGCTTGTGAAAAGAAAGTGACTCTGATTGAACCCTCAAACGAAAGTGCTGTTGTACATGCTGTGTATGTATGCTTCTAAAGCCGCCTGGCATCCCTCGCCGGCCTTTCTGGCTTGGCCTCTCCCCATGTGCTCGCCTTCATCGCTGTAGGAGTGTCGGGCATCCTCCTCGTCGCGTACTGGCCCTCCGCCCATTCCCTCGCCAGCTTGCTCGCGGGACTTTCGAGGACGTCGGCCATTCTCGACTGGCGCCTCATCACTGGCGAGGTAGGCATGGGCGGCGACGAAGCGGGTGTGGTCGATGACGCGGGTCTAGCAAGCGTGTCGACCGAAGCGGTGATGGGCGCTGGTACCCGCTTGATCCGCGAATCGACCGAAGCAGTGATCGGCGACCCTGTGGGATTGAAAGCATGCACGGCGATCCGCGCGTCCGACGACGCTTGCTTGAACTGCGCAGTCTCGACCAACCGCGGATCGAACGCCGGATACTCCGCAAGCGTGGTATCGTTCGTACCATACCCTTCCTCCGCTCTTCCGCCGATCATAGGCGCGGACATCAACCCAAACGACTCTGTCACATCCTGAGGGATGCTCATTGTCGCCTCCCTCTCTCTTCCCCACGCCCTGACCACCGGCGCCGGCCTCACCGGCTGCCTCATCTCCTCCATCTCACCCGCCGACATCATCGACGCCAATTGATCGTCCCTGAAAACGAACCCCTGTTCGCCCAACGCAAACTTCATCGACGTGCCCATCGCCATCTGCGGCCTAGACTGCACACCAGACGCCTCGAGATCCACACTCTCCGGCACGGCAGGCAGCGTCCTCGTCTTCTCCACCACAGCCGGTCCACCCCGCTCCGCACCAGCAGAGTCGGTGTTCTTCGAGGCTCTAGCGAACCTCCTCTTTGGCGGTCCATCGCTCCCCTGGCTCGCCTCCGGATTGGGATTGTCAAAGTTCCTAAAGACAATCGAGCCGATCGTCAGCGCGCCAAACACCGCGCTTGCCCAAGCAGCCACGGCGCCAGCAACAGAGATCGAGTGCGCGACCGAGTCCGGTCCTTGCAGCGCATGCTCGTACTCCACCGCCGCCAGGTAGATCGTCACCGCCCCGAAACACGCCGCGGCCGAAATGATGCCAAAGTACAAGATCAACAAGTTGACCAGACACCGGCGCAGATACTTATACCGCGACATGGGCCCGCTGGAGAGGGAGACGCGCTTGCGCTTGGCCGACTTGCTGCTCGTCTGCCCAGCCTTATTGCTGCTTGCGGATGTCTCGATGCGAATCAGCCGACGGAATGCCGATGTGGCCCCCGGCGTGACGGGCGTGTTGGGCTGCGAAGTGCTAGCGCGCACATCTTCGCCGCTCTCCTTGGCCAGACTTGCCACGTGCCCAAGAGCCGAGCCGAGCCCAGGGGATAGAGCGCCATGCACTCCAAACGACTCCGATGGTTCCTGGCCCAACGCCGTCTCGAGACCCATCACATCGTGACCAGATTTGTTGCTATGCCCTGTCGCGCGACTGTCGTTCGAAACGCCCCGGTCTTCGTAGATGTTTTCCAGCGTCGCACCGGCGCGAGACACAGGATTGGCGCCGGAGAATCCACCGGAGGAGGAGACCTTGGTCGTGTTGGGTACGACGAGATTACGGGCGTGCATGGCGCTCTTCTCGTCCTCCTCGGCCTGCCTCTCCTCTTGCGCGAGCTGAAGCTCGAGCTTGCGCTGGTGACTCTCCAGGATGGCCCGCTGTCGGTTGACCTGGCGATACAGCAAGAATACGAGCACGCCACCAGCCGGTACGTAGAAGACCAAAAAGAGAATGGCCCAGAAGCCCCAGAGCACGTAGCCAACATCAATGTAGTAGTACGAGCGAGACCAGTCGGTGAAGATGGCGTATGCCTGCGCGCGCATGTCGTTGACGGCCATCTGGTTGACGACGGTGTTAGCGACGGTTGCTTCGATCAAGCTCTGGAAGCGGCTGTCCCAGTCCTTGTAGGCATTGAAAGCGTTAGTCATCTTGACGGAGGAAAGGCAGACGGGTGGGAGGAGCGAAACGATGAGCACGAGCGGCAGCCCCCAGCAGGTGAGGTTGACGATCAAAGGCCAGGGAAGACGGCCTCTCGCGCTCGTCTTGCGGTGAGATGCGGTGGGCTTGTCGAGCGTGTCGGGTGCAGTGTAGAGAGAACCCCATCCGGTCAGGAAAGCTCCGCAAAAGAGCGGAATCCAGACCAAGGATCGAAAGGCCTGGAAGAGCCTGACGTAGACTTCATTGTTCTTGTGGAAGAGTTCCCAGACGACAGCGTTGAAGGCGACGGTGAGAATGCCATAGAGACCCTCGAGAAGCAAGAAGCAGTTGATAGCGTTGGGTATCAAGTAGGAGCCTTGAGCGCGACGTTCGAGTCGCCAGATGTGAAGTCGACCGTAGTACAAGCGATGAAGGACGACGGGAATACCGATGAGGATCAAGACCGCAATGATGCCAGCGGTGACCAGACTGGAGATCTCGAAGTAATTGTCCACGTCGAGGAAGAACAGGCGTCGAATGTAGGCTCGCAGTTCAGCGATGGCTGCCAGCTGAACACTTGCGTCTGTCGAGGAGAGACCTGAGACGATCGACTCGGGGAAAGTGGTTGGTTGTGTGGGGCCGCGAAGGAGCTGAAGCAGAGTGGTCGCAATGACAGATGGCTGTTCTGGCGTTGCGGCCAGAGCAGCGGCCCGGGGAAGCCACGGCATGGTGATTCTAGAACAATGAGTGGATCGATGAGCAGTAGAGCCAGGATAGAGGAAGCTCCAAGCTTGGCCTCAGCTGGTGATTAAGCAAGCATCACGAGCCAGATGTTGAGGTGTGTCTCGTGGAGGTAAGGAAAGGTGCTGCAGTGGGTGGGCGTGGCGGTGGAGGTGATGGGAAGAGTACGACGATGCTGGAGCCTAGGGTATGGTCGACGTAGCTTGCAGCGAAAGTGGGTGTAGCGCGAACAGGTGGTTCTGCTCGATGCTGAGCAAGAAGGTGTGTGTGAAAGAGGACTTTGGTGTGTCCTAAGGGATGCTGAAACAGGCAGCCTTCGTCGAGGTTTGGCTAGACGGAGTGTCTGACGCACGGTGGTCTTCGGACGTCGAAACCTAGGTTGTGAATGGCAAGGGCGACCAAGGAACCGCAGGTACGAGCAACCAAGAGGCAGGCACGGTTGAAAGGTACGCTAGTAAAGCGGGTCGCAAGCGAATGCAGACAAGGAGTGGATCGTTCGAGACTGGAGGAGCAACGTGGCGAGTCAGGTACGAAGCGCTATTGGCAACGGTACGGTACAGGCTGACGACGTGCAGGGAGAGTCGGGGCGCAAAGGAAGGAGGGTGAGACGATGAAGTCGGAGGATAAAGTTGGCGATGAAGATGGTGAGATGGATGGTGAGAAGGAAGGAGGGGTTCAGATGGCTGGGCTCCAACTCTAATCCGACGATCTGCACTGATGAATGCGGATTGCTCTGTGGGGAGAGAGGGGAGAAGGCGAGCCAGACCGAAGCCGAAAGGTGGAACAGGAAGCAGGGCGGCTGAGAGGGGCTGGAGTAGGTGAGATTGGCAGAGCTGAGAACGAAGAGTGAAACAGCTCAAGAGCGGCAGCTGCGGCTTCGAGGTACCTGTCGAAAGGTTCCAGAATTCTGGCTGGCTGAAGATGAGCAGAGGGAGGCGAGGAGGAAGCACCTCGTGAGCAGGAGTGATGCCAAGAGGGGCAGCAGAGGGACAAGCGGCAAGCGAGCAAAGCCATATGGTAGAGACCCATCAAACTGGGGAACAAAGGGTCCAGAGCCCTGCGAAAAAACAAAAGCGTAGCGGGCCAAACTGTTTCGGGCGGCGAAGCGGAGTGTCAACCAGGTCAAAGCAAGCTCAACGACTCAGCCATCCTTGCTCTCTCTCTCCCTCTCTGCCGTCTCCTCTCTCATTCGTCTTGCCTGCAAAAAGTGTGTGACAGATCGAAGGGGGCTCCTCCGACCTTGTCATCCACCACGGTGAAGCAAGTTAACCGAGGTACATAAGCAGGTGCTCTGTTCGGATGGTGCGATGCGATTGTGGGCACGAGGTGGCCTGCAGCTCGTCAAACACAAAAAGGTCGACCGAAAAGTCCAAATGAAAAGTGTGCGTTCGAGCCTTGCGGATGTGTCGGAGAACCAAACCTGAGCCGCACAAAGAGGGTCAAACACGGCACGACTATCAGCAGTCCGAAATTGCAGATCTGTGCTCGCGGTCCAGGCGCCCATCTTGTAACCGTTCGCTAGGCTCAGTGCTCTGATCTCGCACCTCGCGATGGCAGCGAACAAAGCGCTCGTCCATCTCTACAATATTTCTCGGGCGCGGCACTTTTAGCAGCATGAACCGACACGGTGTCTATGCTAGAAGGGCTTCAAACTGTGGCTTCGAGACATTCCATGACTGTACAGCTCTGTCAACTGCAAAGTGCTTTGCAGGAACGGTAGAGGCCGACATGCCCGCATGAATTGTGGAAATTCAACTCGGGCAGAAGCGAGGATAGGTTGCGATCGGCTCTGCTTGGCCCTCTCTTTGCGGAATCTATCTAGAGCGGACAACTCGGCTCGCTTTCATATGCTCAACGAAGGAGCAGCAGCCGATTGCATGTCAGACCAACGCAGTCACAGCGGAGAAGCGGTCGATCCGTTCCAAGAAGGATAGGGTGACTCAGACTGGAAAATAGGTGTGGGAAAATCCGGGGAAGACGAGAGCGCTTAGCCTCTCGACCCGTGGGAAACACACCAAAATTCCAAATCTCACCGCCGCTTTCCCACCGATTGGTTGTGTCTCAGATGGTTGTGGTCTCACTTTCGGCACTACACACTCATTGTAGTGCGAGAGGATTCGAACTCTTCGCGCATTCAACCCTTCTCGCCCTTATCGGGTGGCAAAGGTGTTTGTATTGGTGAGCTCTTCGCCCTAGCTGACAAGTTGCAAACTCGCTTTCGGCTGATTGGCTGTTTTGGGCCTCTTCGCCTCCGGCGTGTTGGACCTCGCTTCGGCTGTGTGAACGCTTTGTTTCCGCATCTGTATCAGAAGTCGGATCGCTCAGAGACTGCAGCTCGATCCACCCGATCGGGGCGATCTTCCCACTTTCGTTTGCCACCCATGCCCACGCAGCTTGGGAGAGACTCTTCCAGCTTGATGCGCCCACGCATGCAGCCACGCAAAACGGCCAGGTCAACGTCGTGAAATCGAGAACAGGCCACGTCTTGTTATTCTTATCGGGCTACTTGCTACTAGTGGATCCGTGGTATCACTAGCGCGCACGTGACGGAGCTCATGCGAACACTGACGCCAACCCCGATGTCTTCGACCAGGTCCGAGTGCAGGTCTGAGCTCATGAAGCCAGGTGCAGCTCGCCATAAAGATGAGGATCAGGGCCTAGCGGCAGCACTAGTGAGAGGCAGCTTCATGTGATCAGGGCCCTGGCTAGCCACGATGCCATACGACAGCGGATACTGCGTTGGCGGTGGCATGCTGTTTGATGCATTGGCTAACGACTAGCGAGACAGGCCCGAACGTGAGGCATGCGGCCAAGTGTCATTCTCAGCTGTCCCATTGATGGATCAGCCAAGACAGCAATGCATCTCATGGTCGAGCCCCTCGATCAGCAGCGGGACGTTGCTCGACACCATCACCATGCATCACCCACCACAAGTCCATCATGGAAGTCGCACTTCGAACCCTGGGCGCGATTGACAGACGCCAACGTGTTCAGCGCTTCATCTCCTCCCAATGCCACCAAGTCGGAGGCTCTTGGCACGAGCTCGACTGTCTTTGTGACGAGTGTCAGCGACAACAAGGTGCGTTGCCCTCGTCGGCTCCGGTTTGTCTCGTTCGCAGGCTGACTCTCGCCCCTCCTGATCTTTGACTCGCAGTGCTCGGACTGCGAAGGGTTCGTCGCAAGGTGCCGCGCAATGCTCGAACCTCCTTAAGCGAACAGGCACGAGCACGCGGAACCGAGCTCGATGGTGAGGGCAACGACTCAAGCGTGACACCCCGGCCTAGGCGCCATCGCGTCGACGAAAATGCCATGAGAGGAGAGAGCAAGATCGGAAGAGCCGCACGGCTGAGGCCTGGTAGGATCACGTTGCCTCCCCAAAGGCCGGCGAAGGTACCTGTGGGAGGTGAGGGTGACGTTGTTGAGCTGAAGCCGCATGCAAATGCGCCGACTCGACCAGACGCGGACGACATGCGGCTTGAGGACGTCAACGAATGCACCGAAGAAGAAGGAGCAGAAAGCAGCTGGAACAGCGACGAACATTCCGAACACTCGAACGACGTGCATCGAGCAGCAAAGCGCGAGAGACGCATTACGGAGCCTCCTCAGGCCGCAAATCAGGAAAATGGCCGAGGGAGGGACTATACGGAGCACTACGTCAACGACTTCTTCACCCGCAATCCGGCAGCCAAGGCGAACGGCTGGTTGGCACTTCCTCACCATCGCATGATTCCGAATCGAGCGGAGAGAGAAGGACGAGAGTCGGTCATCGATCGTGCTGCTCGTGGATTGATCAAGGCTCAAGAGTCCCGGCTAGTCGGATTGCTGCCGAAGCTGAGCTGTAGGAGGTCCCGACACAGCGGCGACAAGCGTCGTCCATGAAACGCAACGGAGGAGCCAATGGAAAGCAGATTCTATGACGTGTTCTATGAATGGTGTGCTTGAACGAGTGTGTTCATACCAGCTTCTCCTGCGGATCCTCCGACTTGATCTCTTTTTCCACCGTAGACCACCCGAGGAAGCGATACAGCCCGTCCCACACTTCAGGCTTGCATCCCATCGCCAACAGCATCACCGCCGGAAGATGAATCAAGCTCACCCAGAAACACCACCTCGCCGCCTTGACCGTCTTTTCCCGGTAGAACTTCCACGCCGCATGCGCCATCAACAGGTTCAACGGCGTACTGAGCACGGCGAACGCTACAGGGCTCACGATCCCACTCAGCGGCACCATGACCGTGCAGATGGGCAGCAGCGCCACCGCGTACCTGAGCGACACCCTTCGGTTGAGCGCCGGATCGACCACCGCCATCATTCGGTATCCTCCCCGCGCGTACTCGGCACGCAGCGTGTGGGCGAGCGAGTTGAAGTGCGGGAATTGCCATGCGAACAGCAGCGCTGCGAGCGACCAGCCTCCCAGATCGGCGGACGTGAAGAGCGTGCCCGTGCAAGCTGCCCAACCCATGAGCGGAGGCAGGGCACCGACGACAGCGCCAACCCACGTGTTGGCGATCGTACTCCGCTTCATCGGCGTGTAGGTGAACGAGTAGAGGACGACGTTGGCTGCGCCCAGTGCGGCGGTCAAGGGGTTGACCATGGTGGCGAGCAGTCCGACTCCGGACGCGGCGGACGCCGAGGCGAACGTGAAGGCGTGCAGCGGTGTGACGGAGCGAGATGGGAGTGGGCGGGCTCGTGTACGTTGCATCTGGGCGTCGTAGGGCGACTCGACAAGCTGGTTGAGCGCGTTTGCTGCGGCCGAGCAGAGCGTCATGCCGGCAGTGAGGGCGAGCAAGGTCGTGACGGGCGAAGCGACGGCTACGGTGAGCGACGCCGGGCACAGAGCGTAGCCAGCCATACCAGTGAGCACAACCAAGAAGGTGAGACGTGACTTTGACAACTGCTTGTAAAGCTTCGGCAACGTCGCGGTGGTGAGGGGAGGCACAGGTCGATAAGCAGAGAATGACGTGGAGGGCTCCCGTGATCGCAGACCACCGAGTGTGCGCAGATCGACAACGGTGGGATCGTCGGAGAGCGGCGCGAAGGATGTCGCGTCGACAGCAGCTTCAACTTCAGCCTGCGCAGGTGCGGCTGGAGCAGAAGGAACCGTCGAAGGAGCGGCCATGACGGCAGATCTGCTCGCAGAGGTGCTGAACGATCGACGACCATCCGAGGTAGACGCGACCAGCGGTGCTCGTCCGTGGACCTTGGTTCGCAGCGTCCTGTACGTGCTCCAGATCGCGTCACCGTCCACGTAGCAGCCTTTGAGCCAACGCTTGACCTCGCCCTGCTTGCTTTCGTCCCATTCGAACCCCTTTCTCGAGTGCAGCACGCGCCTGTTGTCGAAGATGACACACTCTCCCTCCTCCATCTGCTTCTCGTACCTGAATTCCTCGGCCAGCGTGAGATCCGAGAAGCGTTTCAGAGCGCGGTAGAAGGTCTGTCGTTGCTCTGACGTCTGGAGATGCTCGGTCGGGTGCAGCGGGATAGGCGACTGGAAGGGAGGCGAGTAGTTGACAGCGCTGAGCCTGGGCATACTTGTTCCAGCCAAAGGACCACCTGCGTGCCCCTCTGTGTCATGAGCCAGCTCGAAGGTCGGGTGCGTGAACCTGTAATGTCTGCCATCGTTGACGTAGTGGAATCCGACCGGGACCTTGGTAAGCACTTCCCAAAGCTCACGATCCTCCTCGTACATGCGCTCGGCCACCTTGAAGCTGTCGACAAAGATGCTGGCACCACCGCGCACCTTGTTCCTCAGCATGTGGAGGAACTGGAAGCGAGGTGGGTTTTGGAAGTAGAGCAGATCCATATGAAGTCCAAGATCAAGGTTGGTGTAGGCGATGTTTCGGGCGTCCGCCTTGGACTGAACGTCCCAAAGCAGGCCGTAGAAGGTATTGCGTAGCTCGCCCATGGTGTTGGCGAGATCACGAAGACGGGCAGACTGTGGGCCTTCTTCGGTGGATGTCGTGTCGGTGGGCAGGCGAGTCACAAATGCAAATCCATCGCGGACTACAGCCTCGGTGAGCGCGTACAATGCCTTGGTGCGGTCAGCATCATTGGATGACGCTTCGTCGGGTCGGATGGCGTCCCAAGGGATACGGGCGGGTCGAGCAACGGCACCACTTGCGAGAGCATCGGCGGACAGAGGTGCGTCAGGAGACCACGGCTTCGTCTTGAAGTGCGTCAGATCCTTGGCAGCCCAGCCTTCGGACACCGCCATGACGTCCATGTGCGTGTCTGCATAGAAGGTGTCGATGGCATGACGAAGCAGAAAAGGGATGGGGTAGTCCGAGACGTGCGGAGCGTCGGCTTGCTTGACCTCGCCGAACGTGACGGTGAACGCATTGACGACAGCGTGCTCCTTAGCAAAAGTGAGACGAAGTGCTGGCTCATCGCCAGAGGTAACGATCTTTGGAGGGTGGCTGGGATCGAGCAGTGCGACATCGAGCGGGACATCGCTGGTGTGAAAGAGCTTTTGACGATTGCTCGGATGCACTGATTGCTGCGCTTGACAGGCATCGCGCAGCCAGACGTGGTCCAATTGGAAGGGCTGCAGGCCTAGCTGCTGCGATTCGATCGTGAGGCCGTCCGGAAGCAGTCGGATGATCACGTCGGAATTTGCAACACGTAGCTCTTGAGCATGCTCGCGGGCAAGACACGCCGTTGAGCTCAGCTGACGGCCGAAACCAACACTTGTCGCTGGAGCTGCGATACCGTGACGACCCTGAGCATGCTGCTTGGCAGCTCTTTGTGATGCTGATGCGGTGTAGAGACCGGCAGTGGCAACAGTTGGAGCATGACTTGAAAAGTGACGGCGCAGGTCACGGCAAGCCCGACGGCCAGCTGCTCCAAGGCGACTGTTGGGCTTGAGGAGCATGATTGGCAAGACGGAGAGAATTCGACCCTCGGTAGCCCAACCGAGCGCAGCAGAGGCTGGCGGGTTTCCAGCGTTGACAGGCTGACTACTAGCCGCTGCCTTGGCTGCCTCGTCATCCCTGGTGAGGTAGTCGGCGATGGCGAGGTTGGCAGCGACGATGGCGGCGATGCCAAACACGAGGAACAAACTGCGTCTTGTGGCATCCCACTTGACATTCTGCTCGATCTCGGTCTTGAGATCCGAGAGACTGATGGTGAAACGATTGTTGAGATCCTGGATCTCCTGCTCCAAATTGTTTTGTTCGCCCTTGGACTCGGCTTTGCGAGTGCTCATGTCCACCTGGATGTCGTGCTTGAGGCGCTCGACGTCTTCCTTCATCTTCTGCTCGAGCGCGTCGACTTCGCGTTGAAGAAGTGTGGTGATGCTGCGGAGTCCAGCAGCATCGTTCCTGCCTCGCACTTGAACCTCGGTGCGAATCTCTGACAGGGCGGCCTTGAAGAGGTACGCTTGATTCTCGACGTCGCTCTTGTTGAGGCAGGCGTGAGCAAGCTGTCGACCTCGGGTGGTGATGAGGTGTCGAACACCTTCCATGATGGCCTCTGCCGGATCGTGGCGACGCGCAATCTGTAGCTGAAGCTCTTGGGCGGCTGGCTCGGTCTGCGCTTGCTTGCCCTTTCCTGCCTTTGTGCTGGCTCCGCCGCGCTGAGTCTTGGCGGCGGCAGAGATCCAGCCGCCGGTTTCCAATCGCTTGACAAAGCCATGCGTGTCGAAGGGGACCTGCAGACTTTGCAGGGACTGCGATGATGCAGGACGATGCAGTCTGGGATCGAAATCGATGTCGCCAGGACCGCTGCTGGATGCTGTTGTCGTCGTCTGCGAAGCTCCCGAACTATCCGAGGTAGTACCTGATGAGCTTGCGCCCTGTTGCAAAGGATCTGGCGATGCGGAAGACGATGATGCTGCGTTGCCGGTAGTCTCAGGAGGGATGATGCGCTGATCAGAACCAGGTGTGCTGAAGGACGGGTGTAGGTTTGCTGCAGGGTTGGGCGGAGAGGTGAGACCAGAGAAGACCCTTTTGTTCTGCTCCTGAGCGTGGAAGAAGCGCTGCTTCAACAGGTCCTCGCCTGTGACAGGGCCTGTGCTGGCTGGAGGAGTGCTGGCGCTCGGCTGAGCCTGCTGCTTGGATGAGGCATCCTGCTTCTCGTTCTCTGCTGGAGTTTCTTGCTGCCGCGAAGACGACGCCTGCTCAGATGCGGTGTTTGCAGCAGAGGGAGACGAGGGCGCGCTCGCGGTGTTGGGGGCCTGCTTTGTGCTTTGCGCTGCCGCATCAACCTCGAGCACTGTTTCGGCTTCAGGCGTGCGGGAAGTAGTGTCGGCCTTGTTATCAGACGACTGATTGTTCCTGCTGTCGGTCACCTTCACGGAAGGGCCCGCGTTCGCCTCGCCCTCTGTAGTGCTGCCAGCGCCAGAGGTGCGCGTCGCCCTGCCTTTAGAAGAGGCACTCGCTCTCAGCGCCGAAGATGTAGAAAGATGGAGCCTCTGAGCGGGGCTGAAGAGTCTTGAGCGGCGCGGGTGATGAAAGAGATGACGCGGCAGAGAATGCCTGTGCGGTATGGTGAATCGGCGAGATAGCTCGGCAGCCGCCTGCTTCGAAAGCAAGGCCGCGGTCTTACAGCCTGCGCCCGTCAAGCCCATTGTGCTACGAGAGTGCCGATGCGATCGCAGGCATACGAAAGCTCAAGCCAGGAGGTGGAATTGCTACCGCAAAGGCTACGGTGCGTGGACAGGAGCGTAAGAGGTTGGTCAATCGCCCATTGTGACGCTCGATTGCGTGTCGACGATCGGTGGCAGGAGGTGCTGAGGGTGAACGAAGCCGTAGAGATGCTGGTGCGAGGATGAGGAAGACGAGGTGAAAGCGCTTTCCTGAGGATCTTCACATCCGAAGTCGGCCTTCCTCTGCCGACACGCGAGCCCTTTTTCTGCGTCTTTCACAACTCTAAATCGAGATCTTACATCCATGGAGGGAAAATTCGGCGATGCATGTGAGCGCGTGCTCTCAAAGGTGTTGGTCTCGGAGCATTGCGCTTCTGCTGCGAGACTTTAGCCCATATGTCCACAGGAGCCTGATGTTGTCGGAGGGCTCACATTCTTGCAATCGAGCTTGCTTGATGTTGAGTTCCAGTGTGTTCGCAGCCATAGAAGCCCCTCGGTGCAGGGAGCTAGACCCCTTGCACTGCCAAGCTGGTCTTGCATTGTGTCGAGGCGTCGAGCTGCACCGGGCACGCACGCGTAGCGGTGTTGGCGCAGTTCGAGGCACAGCGCAGCGCGGAATTGCTCATTCCGGGTTGGCCCCTGCGACAGCCCCGTTCATCTTGCCATCATCACTTTATCAAAGGGACTCAGGCCACCTGATTAGACGCCGATCACTACGCTACCGTCAAGAGCAGCACATACACCACTAGCACCATCACAATGTCGCACGCACAGGATCCCACCATTGGCGACGAAGAGCTGGCCACCACCGCCACCGCCGGCTACAAGGTCGGGGAAAAGAAGTCGCTCGCCGAGTACTCGCAGCTCGATGCTGAGGACGAATCGCTCGCAAGATGGAAGGCGAGCCTCGGTATCGGTGCTTCCACCGGAGCTGTTGACCCAAATGCTCCCAAGGTGAGTCTTCGTGCACATTTCCGTTCAGCGATTCCGGTGATTGATACTGACATCGTTCCATGTGAGCCATGACCTGCAGCTCTCCCTTCACAGCCTCTCGCTGGTATCGTCAACGGCCCCTGGTGGCAGCGTCTCGATCAACCTGCAGCAGTCCAAGGAGCAGCTCGCTCAGATCAAGCAGAACCCGCTCACGGTCAAGGAGGGTGTCGAGTACAGTGTCAAGATCCGCTTTGCTGTGGGAAGCGACATTCTTTCGGGTCTCAAATACGTCCAGGTGGTCAAGCGAGCAGGCATCAAGGGTAGGTGAACACTCAGGATCGCGCATAGCAACGCGACAGCTCACTCACTCGATTCAACTTGCGCTTTGATCCAACAGTCGACAAGATGGAGGAGATGATCGGCTCGTATGGACCGCGTCCCGAGCCTTACGAGAAGACCTTTGCTTCGAGCGAGGCACCCAGCGGCATGATGGCCCGCGGCAACTACAGCGTTCGCAGCCGTGTGGTGGATGACGACAACAACGTCTTTGCTGATTGGGAATGGGCTTTCAAGGTAAGTCATCTGCATATCAGTGAGCAGTGGAGAGCGATTCATGCGCTGACCTATCACACCGACCTCGCCTTTCCATTCAATGCCAACAGATCGCCAAGGACTGGTGAACATCCGTCCCCAGATGCTCGTTCTGTCCTTTTCTCTCCCGTCTCCTCTCGCTTCCGTACTCGTCGCAATGCAACAAATATAAGATCTTTCGTCTACACTTGAGCGTCCGCACAAGCCATTGTCAGGCCTCGAGATAAACTGCTGTTCAATGTTGTCATTCGCAATGTACCTGGGACGTCTAGCCCAGGAAGTTGAAGACGAAGAAGTGAAGTATCACTGAGCCGAACAAGAAGTCGCCAAATGCTCTGTTGGAAAGGACGATCAGGAAGTGATTCGAATGGTCAGATCAGCGACACGCATAAGAGGAAGATGCAGTACGACCCGGCGATGACCTACCTCTCTGGTGTGACCTTGGGGAAGGTCTTGCCGTTCTCAGGATTTGCCTGAATACGAAGTGATGCTGCGAGGACAAACTGGCCGACGGTTGATGCAAAGCTGTTGAATGAGGGGTGAAAGTAGTGTCCGATTCTGTCAGCTTCAAGACGTCAAAGAGCAAGCAGTAGTGACACGAGCACTCACCCAGCGATGAAGGAGTTAAAGGGGAAGTTGGTGATCAGGGCGCAGTAGACGAACTGAATGATGCCCGACAGCATCAGGAAGACCAGAAATGCATCGATGACCTTGAGTCGTTTTGGCGTGTGTTCGACGTATGAGTTGTATAGTGTCGACAACGGTGACGATGTCGATGAGGAGGATGTTGCGGATGTTGCTGGTGCTGGCGTGGAGCTGCGAGACCGGCTCCCGGCGTTGGACGCCTTTGAACCTTTGGGCGGCATTGTAAAGGAGGTGGAGTGGCAGACCCGAGGGAATGAAAGTGCGAAAGGATGAGCTGTACGGTCCAGACGAAAAGCGCTTGTACCGTTGTTCAACGCGGACGATGTTGAAAGTGAGTGTCGAGATGACCGTGTCAATGAAAGATGGAGTGAGTGGTGTGGACGCCGTTGGCCCGAACGCCAAAGGGCGTGCCGGCTTGCAAGCTGCCAGATCTTCTTCCAGCGTGGCCGAGTCAATTGTTAAAGTTGTTAGACTTTGATCCAGTCGGCCGTGAGGAATTCCTTGAATTGAGAAGATTGGAAAATTTTTCGAAAGCGTGCTGCTGTGCTGTTCTGTGCTGTGCTGTGCCGCTGCTCAGCCGACAAAGCCAAAGCGAAGATCTGAGCGCACAGCTGAGCCGCTAAAAGTGCGCATCGTCCATGCCAATTGCACTTGCACCTCGACATCGCCGTCTTCCACCACCACGAACCAGGCCGATCCTCTCAAACTACGGTCGCAAACAAAGAGATAACACACAGCGCTTGGTCAAGCACACACGCTTCACGACTCACAGACCCGAATCGCAACCGACCTCCTCTCACGAGTACAGCGCATCCGAAGTTTATCTCAAACTCGTTCCGACACGCCCTCTAGCGCACCGTCACAATGAACCCCAACGCTCGCAGCTTCGGCTTCAACCCCAACGCCTCGGGCTTTACGCCTGGTGGACCACCGCAGCAGGGTCAGCAGCAGCAAGGTGGTGCTCCTTACGGTCAGCAGGGTGGCTACTACCAGCAGGGTTTCGGTCAGCAGCAAGGCCAGCCACAGCAGGGCTTCAACGGCGGCTACCCCAACCAGCAGTATCAGCAGTACCAGCAATATCAGCAGCAGCAGCCCTACGGCGGTGGCTACGCTCAGCAAGGGTTCAACCAGCAGGGCTTTGGCCAGTACGCCCCGCAGGGCTTCAATGGTCTGCCCGCTCGCCCCGCCGCATCGGGATCGAGTCAGCCTTCTGTCGAAGCAGCTGCATCTGCCGCTGACGCTGCTCCGCGCAAGCCTGTGAGCATCTCGATCGGCGGTGGTGCCAAGCCTGCCGCTCCTTCCAGTTCGGACGCTCCACGAAAGCCCGTCAGCATCTCCATCGGAGGTGGCGCCAAGCCAGCTGCTCCTGCCGCCGACAAGTCGGACGCACCTCGCAAGCCCGTCAGCATCTCCATCGGCGGTGCCAAAAAGCCAGAAGCCGACAAAGACGACTCCGCGGCCTCAGCACCTGCCCCCGCCGCAGCTGCTGCGGACAAGCCAGCACAACCTGCAGCCGTCGCCGCCGTCAAGAACGCCGAGGCGCCCTCTTCCACAACTGCAACAGGCCCTTCGTCTCGCGCCGAATCGCCAGCACCGGCGGCCAAGACCGAGTCCAAGGTGGCCTCGCTCTCCTCCAAACCTGTCCCCACAGAACGCGCCACCACCAACGCCGACCAGATTCTCGCCGAGGCCAGCAAGGTCACCGACGAAGAGACGCTCAAGGACCTCTTTGGTGACAAGAGCGACGAGCTCAAGTCGCACTTGAATATTGTCTTTATCGGCCACGTCGATGCTGGCAAATCCACCATGGGTGGCAACCTGCTCTTCCTCACCGGCATGGTGGACAAGCGAACGATGGAAAAGTACGAGCGCGAGGCCAAGGAGGCCGGGCGAGAGTCGTGGTACCTCTCGTGGGCGCTCGACTCGACGGCACAGGAGCGCGAGAAGGGCAAGACGGTCGAGGTGGGCCGTGCTTACTTCGAGACGGGCAAGCGTCGTTACACCATCCTCGATGCGCCAGGACACAAGTCGTTTGTGCCCAGCATGATCAGCGGTGCGGCCCAGGCCGATGTGGCCGTTCTCGTCATCTCGGCGCGAAAGGGCGAGTTCGAGACCGGTTTCGAGCGAGGTGGACAGACGCGCGAGCACGCTGTGCTGGTCAAGACCGCCGGTGTGCAGCGTCTCATTGTGGTGGTCAACAAGATGGACGAGTCGACGGTGCAATGGCAAAAGTCGCGCTACGAGGAGATCCAGGGCAAGCTCACCCCTTTCCTGCGTTCGGCCGGTTTCAACCCCAAGACGGACCTCACCTACATTCCCGTCTCGGCGTACGCCGGGCAGAACCTCAAGGAGCGTGTGCCCAAGAGCGTCTGCGACTGGTACGACGGTCCGGCGCTGCTCGAATACCTCGACAACCTCGAGCTGGGCGACCGCAAGATCTCGGCGCCGCTCAAGATGCCCATCTCAGAAAAGTACAACGACATGGGCACGGTGGTGGTGGGCAAGCTCGAGGCGGGCAAGATCAAGAAGGGCGACTCGCTGTTGCTGATGCCTAACAAGGTGACCGTCGAGGCGGTGGCCATCTTCAACGAGCAGGAGGAGGAAGTGCCGGCGGCCATCTCGGGTGACAATGTGCGTGTCAAGCTCAAGGGTGTTGACCACGAAGAGGTGACGGTGGGCCACGTGCTCACGGATCCGACCAACCCGGTGCACGTCGCGACGCACTTTGAGGCGCAGCTCGCGATTCTCGAGCACCGCAACATCATCTGTGCCGGGTACAGCGCCGTGGTGCACTGCCACACGGTCTCGCAGGAGGCCAACCTCGCGGCGCTGCTGCACTACTACGACAAGAAGACGGGCAAGAAGAGTCGTCGTGGACCCCAGTTCGCCAAGAAGGGCATGAAGATCATTGCGCTCGTCGAGCTCGCTGGACCCATTTGTGTGGAGAGGTTCAAGGACTACCCGCAGCTGGGTCGCTTCACGCTCCGAGACGAAGGTCGCACCGTTGCGATTGGTAAGGTCACCAAGTTGATCACGTCGGCGGACGAGTTGCCGGACGTGGCCAAGTTGAGCGTCAGTGATGCTGCCGCTGCTGCTGCTAGCTAAACGGGGGGAAAGGTGTAATGTAGATAGGTTATTGGCGAAGATGTTGCATGCATGTTCTGCTTGTGTCGTGCTTTCTTCGATGCGTTCGTGAGCATGATCAACATGATAGATAACGATACGTGAAACGGCCTGAGCTTGTCGTTTCACCTTACCACACCATGCAAGCGGCATATCGGGCATCCAGCTCTATATGTTTCGGAGAAAAAGAGCTCGTTCGGCGACCTGCTTCACCGACTCGTCTTTAAGGCCTTGCTCAGAACGTGGTCAGAACTTGACACGGTCAACTGTGTAGCAACGACCGAGAGTGGCCCGATCCGACGGGGCGGAACCTAACCTGTTTCGAAGAAATGATGTCACGCCCTTTGGTACCGTAGATTTCCAAACCGAAAGGAATCGGCGTCGGAACGCTGCACAAAACTCCGATCGGTCAATCGAGGCGGGAGGGAAATTTGCCGCTTGATTCGAAAGGCATTGTCAGCCCGCTTCCTTGTGGCTGTCAGAGAACCACTACCGCCGTGGTGAGAGCAAGGGAAAGGAGCTCTGCAAAGAAGGTCGGTCCACCCCCCCGTTCGCAATCGTCCCGAATTTATCCATCGATGCCGTGAGATGGCACAAGTTAGAATGGACTTGCAAGCGCGCAGAGTCGATGCGCCGTCGAACAGACAAACAGATGCGTTGTCAAGCGGCACGAGCATCGTACGGCAACCACAAAGCTCGATTTAGGCCCTCGCAAACAAAAATAGGAACCAGACAACAAAGTCTCTCAGCCGAATTTTCTCGCGTGGTTCTGCGGAGCGGAGATAGAGCTGAGACACGCTGCAGACATCGTCATTGTGCCCCTCCAAAAGCCGTTGTATGCATGCTGGCCTTGCGTGTGCTCGGCACATGTTTCGATGGTGTGCTCAGTCTTTTCCATTGGTCCTTGCCCGCTTCGAGAAGAAGGCATGGTTTCATCTTACCCGACGTTGCGTCTCAGCTCTTCGAACGCAGCCTCGTGGGTAGGATGGACTTCGGCGAATGCTTTTGTGGTTGACCGACCGGCAATCTTGCTGCTCAGCAGAACCTTTTTCCGATGCGAGTGTTGGCTGTACCATAGAGAAGCGGGTTGCCTGGATCGAGATCAACGGATGACGAGCTCCCCCACGCTCGACGAGAGAGGCTTTGAGGGGGAACGTGAGCCCGCGTGTTCCCATTGTTCTGTCGGACTCCGTTTGTGCTTACAAGCGTCCCCCGTGGTCGTCGAGCGGATTGATATATGAGAAGATCCGATCGTCGACGTTGCGACCCCTCCCCGAACATCATCAGAACGATCACTCGCACAAGAGGTCGACGTATACTCGCTGTCGAAACCTTTGTTCCCTGCTCTCCGTTCGCATCCCGTCTTCCACGCTATAGCATCGAACCACTCGTCTTCGACACCACTCGATCTGCAAACCTTCTCGCAGCTCTCCAACATGGCAGCAGCAGCCCAAGTCTCCTCCTGGAGCGCCCTCCCGGCTCCCGCGCACTATCCAACGCAACGCTTTGCGCCACATCCGCACTGCCCCACCCCCACATACGCATCAACCAGCATGCCGTCGTACCACACGCTCGAGTCCACCTCTCGTGTCCCCTCCCCACCGCGACCCATGGGTCCCATGGGGTACGACTACCTTCCCTCGCCTTCCGAGTACACCTCGCACCTCCCACCGAAAAAACGAACCCGCTCCAAACTCTACCCGTCCGAAGAGGCACGAATGGCCGCCAAGATGGTGCAAAAGGCCAAGAGGCGGGAGCAGAACCGCAATGCGCAGCGTCGATTGCGGGATCGCAAGGAGGAACATATTTTCACGCTCGAGGGGGAGGTGAGTGGGTTGAGGAGGGAGTTGGAGGAGGAGCGGGCGGCCAGGGAGGGGTTGGAGGAGATGGTGAGGCGGTTGGTGGGCGAGAGGGATGAGTTGAGGAGAAGGGTGGGGGAGGGAGAGAGGGAAGAGGGGTACGAGAGGGAGAGAAAGGAGAGCAGCGTGTCGACTGCGAGTTCGACGAGCGTGGCTACGCCTTCGCCGGAGGAGGGCAGGGGAAGGGGAAGTATGCCCCTCACACCGAGGTCGGGCACGTTTCCGCCTCTGGGGACGATGGGAGCGGGGATGGGATTGGGAATGAAGTCCCCAACACAGGTCATGCTGCCTAGGATGAAGCTCGTCGACTCGACTCAGGAGGGATCGATGATGCAGAGCACGCTCCTCCCCCCCGTCTCAGCTTTCCAGTGGAACCTGCACTGAGATGTCAACACTGTATACCCATATTGTACTTCTATACGATCGCAAAGCCAGAAAAGTGCGCCGCGAAGTGGTCTACATTCACGCAAGACCTGGTGCACGCCCCCCAAACATCCTCGTTTCGGTCTGTGTCCGTGTGTGGCTCGGTGATAAGCCGTCGGGTATGGATTGCAATCTGAGCTGTGGTGAGGTGTTAGAGAAACTTCTTTGCAGCTGCGCGGACTCGGGCGTCGAAGGCAGCGTTCTCGATGGGTGCGTTCGCATCTTGAAACGGGTTCAGTGATACCTTGAGATACGCCTCCCATACGTCGAGGAAGAAGTTTTTGATCCCATCTTCGTGCTTGTGTTCGTGCAGCAGGACCATCTTGATGTTGCCTGGCAGCACGAAACAGCTTGTGGTGTATTCTTGTATCCTGTCGATGCTCTTGAGGTACCTGTTGTTGTGAGTCGCATCCGAAACCAGCAATTGACGATCCTGTCAGTACTCTTCTTGAAACGCTATGACTGTTTGCAGGGTTCGACGACTTACAAATATGGACTGGTGACCAGTGCATCCTCGATGGTGTCCAGTGCCGAGTGGGCGATCATCTGGAGCTCGTACCTCTGTTTCCTCCTCACCGCCGCTGCTGCTGCACTACCTCCGCCAGACGTACTTGCCGTACTTGCCCCGCTCGATGTAAGCGCGCTCGTTGTTGTCGGAATGCGCGAGAGCAGCCCACCAAACATGCCTCCTCCACTGCTCGAGCCTGCTTCCGACGCTGCACTGCTGCCAGCCGCAGCATTGCTGGAAGACGAAAAGTAGCCGCTGCTCGTCGATGCAGCTGAGGATGAGGACGCGGCGGTCTTAGGCGTGATCTCCGTCTCGTATAGCGGATTGTCGCGTGTGCCTATCAACGTTAGGTAGTACGACATCGTCAGGTGCTGTGGCTGCTCGGTGTGCCGAACGTGGCGATGAGTGGTGGGAAATTTGGGCACTTTGGACGTCGTTGCAGGTTTGAGGTTGTCTGTGAGTCTTGCTGCCGCTGCAAGCTGGGTCGAGATGATGGAAGATGGGGAGAAGCAATCCAAACGCATCAAACAATGCGTGTGTCCGTGCGAGCTTTAATTCTCTCAACCTCAAAAAGTGCCAAAAAAGTCGGCGAGAAATAGGGGCCTGAAAATCAATGTCAAGCGGCCCCAAAGTTGGCAGTCTCTCACCTCGCGAGTCTCGACAAGATCATGAGTCTAACGAGGAAGGCCGAAGGCACATCCGAACAAGTCACTACAACAGACGAAACAGTGACGATTGCGTGCAGACTGAGAGACAGTGTGTGGGAAAGGAAGGAGGAGGTGACACGGGTTCTAAATGAGGCTACAAGAGCCAGCTCAGTAATCGTCGTGCTTGAGCGTGACACTCGAGAAGCCGCTGAAAGGGTTGCTGACGACGGCATCGCCCTCTTCATCGTTGACGTTCTTCTGACCTGCAACAGCCTTGATCTCGGCGGGTGGCTTAGCTTTGCCGTTCTTGCCTTGGTCGTCGAGATCCAGACTGCGGCTCTCGCGAACGTTGCGGAAGTTGACCGCATCGACGCCGTTCGAGTAGGCCGGAACAATCGGCGGTGTCGAGTTGCGAAGCAGACCCCAGGAAAGGTTGGAGAACCACTTGTGCTGCTTGACCTCGGACGCACCCGATTGCGAGCCCATGCGCTTGACATCGTCCTTGATCAGCAGCTTGCGGATGAGCGACTTGCCGAACGACGAGATGGGTGTCGAGTCAGGGAATTGCACTTCGTTGCGCAGCACATTCGAGAAGGTCTCGTTTCGTGTGCTGCCCTTGAACGGCGTAGTGGCGAAGATCATCTCGTAGATCAAGATGCCAAGCGTCCACCAATCGACCGCGGAAGTGTGTCCGCAGCCCTTGATGACCTCGGGAGCAATGTACTCCTCTGTGCCTACGAACGAATTGGTTCGCAGATCAGCGATGCAGCTCCTCGTGTCGACGAGCGGCGCGCTGTTGGGCGTGGCTTGACGAATCATGGCAGGTGCACCACCGCGCTGCGTTGCCCTTGCCGACAGATCGAAATCGGAAAGCATGACGTGTCCGCTCTGGTGGAGCAGGATATTCTCGGGTTTGAGGTCGCGGTAGATGAAGCCCATCAGATGCAGGTACTCCAACGCAGCAATGACTTCGGCGGCGTAAAACTTGGCGTCTTCTTCCGCGAGACACTTGCCCGGGCGTGTTTGCAGCGCTCGGAAGAACTCGCCGCCCATGCAGTATTCCATGCAGAGGTAGAGGTAGTCTTCGGACTGGAATGAGTGGTAGAGCGTCACGATGAAGGGATGGTTGGACGCGGCGAGGATCTCCTGTTCGGCCATGACACGCTTGATCTTGTTGCGCTTGATCATCTCCTTCTTGGAGAGCACCTTCATGGCGTACAGCTTGTCGGTCTTCTTCTCGCGAACCAGGTAGACTTTGCCGACATCACCCTTGCCGAGCATCTTGACCTTGCTGAAGCTGTTGGGCCCGACTTCGACGTCTCTGGCCTTGATGCTGTTGCTCGAGTAGGTTCGACGGAAGCTGCCAGGGCCGTTTCGGCTGACGGAAGAAGCATTGGCATTTGCTAATGCGGCGAGGTTGGCCGAGCTGCTGGAGGGTGGAGGCTGCGAGCGTTTGTCCTTGCCGTTGGAGCTCTTGGAGCGGCCTGTGCCGGGGAAGTTGATTCGACCCGACTTGGGAGTGGAAGATCCCTTTGCGCTGACCGATCGACCCTTTTCGAAGTCCTTGTAGCTGAATGAAGTGGCGCTGCTGTCCATGCGAATGGGCGTGTTGGTGAAGTAGGTAGCATCCTGGTCCTTCAGAGCGCCACTCTCAGAGACGAATTGGCCGTGCTTGCCGCCAGAAGCCTCAGGGGACAGGTAGCCGTTCTTGGTGGTCGATGCACCGTCGTTGGGCTGTCCATTCTTGTAAAGCTTGTTGTTGTCTGGAGCACTGGATACTCGTCTCATGAGACGCGAAGCAAGTCCCTGATGGGCCGACTCATTGTCGCTGATGTCGGCTGGAGGCTGAAGCTTGCCAGATGCGGATGCGGTCATGGCATCACCAATCGAACCAGAGCCGTTGCGATCTTCGGACGAGTAGCTGTCGTTGGAGAAAGAGCTGGGGTCGGTGGCGACGTGGGAACCGTTCACGCCTCGGAAGCTGGACGAACCAGCATTGGAGCCATTGTACTGTGCGTGCTCAAAGTAGTCGCCGTTCTTGCTGTTCTCGGCGGAGTCGGTCTGCCAGCTACGGTCGTTGGAGGCGTTACCGCTGGCTTTTCTGCCAATGGAACCGAATTTGAACATTTGCTTCCACTTTTTGTCCTTGCCTCCGCTATGGGAGCCATTGTTGCGCGAGCCGTAGGCGGCGGGCGACTCGCCGATGCCAGAGCTCTGACCGTTGAGGCGAATCTGATGCGATGGAGTGTTGGAACCGCTGGCGAAGGTGGACGAGGATTGCGTGGGCGGAGTGGCATACGCCGCACCGGATTCGTTGCCGGGAGTGCCCTGCATACTGTTCGATCCAGAAGAGGAGACAAGCGTGGGCATGCCGGGGTTTCGTCGATGGATGGGTGAGAAAGAGGTGGTGACGAAGCCGCTTGCTTGTCGTGATTCAATTTGTGCCGACTTGACAGGTCAAGTAGCGGGGTTGCGGCACGACGAATGGACGTAATGGCGTGGCTCGAGATCCTAAGTTTGCGTTGAAGGGTGGAACAAGGCGCAGTATACCGAGGTGGCTGCAGTGATGTGATCGCGTACTGCTATGCGTGCATCCAGATCAGCTAGCAGCTGTCCCTAAGGTTGCTAAGGGGCGTGAATGGAGGAGAGCGTCGTATTGAGAGAGGACGCGGTGCGGATAGCGTCAAGAGATGATGCAGACGGTGACGACGATGAGATGGATTGGCGGGAGGGAAGGTCGTTCTACCCAACTGTCGGTCGGGGTCACGGCGGGGAAGGCGATCAGCGTGGTTGTGATTAGGGTTCGGTGATTGTGTGAGAGAGACTGAGAGGGCGCGGACAGTGAGATGAGCTGGAGAGACCAGAGAGAGACAGATGTGACCGAATGAGGCGTGTGTATGTGCGTGTGCGTGTCTGTGCCTTTTTGCCTCATTCTGCTGCTGCTGTCGGTGATGCAAGCCAGCTCTGACACCGACTGACTGGCAGACTGCAGCGTCAGCCAAGCGGGCGGAGCCAGAATTTTACGGTCAACCAAAAATTCCAGCTTGCAAGCGAGAAGGGCGCGGCGAGGCGAGGGCGACGGTCTCAGAGCAAAGCCGATTTTCTCAATGCTCGACAGAGAGGCAGAGTCAAAGCGAGAGCCAGACAGAGTGGGGCTCGTGGCTCGCATTTTCTTTGTCTCTCGAGCTCGAATCGCCGTCCGTCTGCCTCTCTCTGTTGCCATTGAGCGCTTAGCCAGCGGCCAGGCTCGCCTATTTCAGACTGCGACACAAACAAATTCCAGGACGCCCAGCTCAAGCCTTCTCCCCAATGCGAACGAGCAACTGCCAACGACGTCAAGATCTGAGCCTCGTGCTTCTCAGGACACTCCGCACTCAGATGATCGTCAGATTCTTCTTGGCAAGGTCCATCGAAGACGCGCGCTAAGACGGATACTGTGTACGGTCGAGGTCAGGGCAATTTGATGCGGACATTCGCCAAGCGAGGCCAGCAAACCAATTTGAGGGTGCGTGCCATGTTGGGACGAGCTGACGACCGGTCAGAGCATGCGCACTGTTTCGAGGGCAACTCACGCCACGCATTGTCCACAACCCACCGTCGATGGCTTCGGCTCGCTGCAGCTGCATTTCGAGCGAGACATCCCGAGCAATCATCCGTCCATCCGTCACCGTGCCTGATCCACGAGAGCAACTGATCGACGCGGGACGGTCCTGCCAGATCCGCAACCCTGCAAGATAGCGTGACAAGACCAAGATCGGCTCCAGGTCCTCGGAAGCAGCCCGATCATCTCGGATGGCGAGAGAGTCTCTTCAGCGATCGTCTCTCGTTGCTTTCTTGCATACCCTTGTGGGTCGCGAAACAATCCTGGACGAAGCACCGCGTGCTGGATGACAGGATGGCTGCGGGGATCTCCTTGCTTGAATCTGCTTCTACGCATGCCGTGCACGCTTGCCTTACAGAGACTCGTGCATCAGGGCCAAGAGCGCGCAGCGTGCAGACAAGCCTCACCCTGTAAAATGCAAAGCCGGACGTCCTCCAACCGTACCAACGCCGCTGAGGGTGACCTAACACGGAAGCATCGTCGAAAATGCCCTCCCCCGCTTTCGAGCCGGACGCTCGCACTTGCTCACCTCGTCCGTATCGACTGCCGATGGACCACCACTGAAGTGGGCTGACTGTCATTTCGCCGCTGAATAAGATGCGGAACCGTAATGATGCGAGGGCGAGCTCACAAGGAGCCGCAGATGTGTCAGGCCCGCCAAGTCAGCAAAGCGCACCGATTTGATAGAGATGCAATGCGATGATCGACGAGGTAATAATACAATCCAAAGGAGACTGTCGTAGAAGCCTACGCTCGCTGACGGCACAGCGAGAGATAAGCGAGGCGCTGGAACACGCCAGAGATGCGACAGTGCTGACGTGGCGCTGAGCGGTGGGTATCAGGCCTGATAGGCGGATTCGAGCTTAGCGGACCCGCTCAAAGGAGCTCGATCGGCCCAGAATGACGACCGAGAAGTCCATGACCTATGGCGGGAGCGTGTCAATAGAATCAATTGTCAGCCGACAGTATCACGACGACCACTCGAAGGACGCTTCCACTTACCCATTCTCCCGCCTCGAGGTAGATTCGCATCAGATTCCGCAGGTCCTTGTTGGGCATGCGCGACACGGCCGGTGTAAGTCCTGTGCTTCGCTTGATGCCAGAGAGCGCCACGCTGACCAGCATGGCGTCCACGAGCAGGTGAAAGATGCGTCCGAACATGGTGGCTGAGTCGTCCTCGTCGAGATGTTGCTGTGAAACCGACGTAGATTGTCCCAAGCGCTAATGGCTCCGAGAACGGCTGCCGCTTGTGATAGGCTCGAGCTTTTCGCTTGTTTGACCTGCGTGTGGTTACTTGAGGACCGTACGAAGCGAGACGAGATGGTGGGCGGGATCAAGTATCGATAGCGTTTGATCGAGCCAACTACTGCACGAGGGTCCTAACGCAGGGTTCAATTTGAGCTCAGTCTCGTGCGCTCCGCACGCGCACACGACCTTTTTCTCCGCCCGCTCGCCGCTCAAAGCATTTTCTCGGTTCAAGCCGAAGCGATCCCGCCTCTTCGACCAAGCCCACCTCGCTCGTTCGCTCGCTCGATCCGCTATCTCTCTTGCCGCTCGCGATGCTTGGATCCACGACACACGCAGCTCTCACACGCAGGTTGAGCTTGGGCCGAGCGAGCTCCGTGAGATGAAACCGGCCCGAAAGGGAAGCAAACAACAATTTTGCGATCTCAAATGAGTTATAACAACTTCAGTTGAGGATGCTGAGGTTGACCTGAGGTTGAATGAAGTTGAGTTGAAGTTGAGGTGAGGTTGAATGAGGTTGAGGTCAGGTTGAGGTGATGATGAGGTCAAGTTGAGGTCAAGTTCAACTGAGGTTGGACTGAAACTGCGCCAGACAATCTAGCGCTGGCTCTAGCGAAAAAGTCTGCGCATTTCTGTCCAATTTTCGAGGCTGAATCAGGGGCACTTGGGCCAATCAGCTTCGAGAGGTCCAAACTCAGCTTTTTCGGGCACCAGAGCAGAGGACTCGAAGTTTCAGCTGCTGGGTCAGCTCAAACTTCAGCTGAGGGCTGAGTTGGAGCCTCCTCTTCACACCAGAGCTGCTCTTTATATATACACACCCTCAGAGCTCCAACTTGCCCCTGCTCTTCATTCATCCTCCTCTTCCAACTTCCCTCTTTCCTTCAGACCTCAACTGCCAACCTTACACCTTGACCATATTGATCTGCAGCTGCTGTGCAGTGTTGCAAGGCTTCGAGAGATCAGGTATTCGAAATTCACTTTGCGCGACTTCCTCGTCGCGTTGTGTTGTTCTCGCTGCGGGTGCGCGTGTTTTTTCCGCCTCTCCTCGGCAATCTTCGCCCGCCAAACCTTCCCGCAACGGCTTGCCATCGTTGATCGCTCGAGATCAACCACCGCTCGCCGCCAAGCTTCATCTCCATCGCCCGGTCCGTCGATCGGAAGGGCTGACGCACAGCATTGACGAGCTGACTCGACTGCTACGGTTCGTCATAGTCTAGACGCAAGCAAGGCTTGCAGCCATCGAGCGGTTCCAACTGGCGGACGGACATCGAAGTCAGGGACAAAGACATACCTCGGAGCTCGCGACGCCAAGCGCAATTCTCAGCCGCAACAAGGCTTTCCTCCGCTCAACGATCTTGCATAGGCCACCGTCTCTCACCAGCAAGAGCATTCCGGCAACGATGTCGGTCAAACCAGAGGGTAAGTAGTTTGACGACTCACGAGAGGCCATCTTCTAAGTGCGGAACACATGCTGACCATCACAATCTCAATCACATCCTCGTTCGTTTCTTCTAATCACAACGCATCTTGGTCACAATCGCTGCTTCATGCACATCCTCGTGCGCTCATCGCTTTCCGCACTTGCACCTGCATCTGCATCCGCACCGATGCCGCACTTCTCTAACTGTCTTCGACCAACAAAACGGATATGGACACCGCCTCGCCGCCTGTCACCATCATCCCCTTCTCGGACTCTCGCAATTCCTCACCGACTTCATCACTCGACTTCCAACACGGTTCTCATCGTGGCGATCCCACCTTATCAACGCGCTTCCCCTCATCAAGGCGACGAGCTCGACGAGCTATTCGACTACCGCCCTGCTGTCGAGTCAGAGTCGGACCTGTCCGACGACGATGATGGCGAATATGGCAAGACGAAGTCACCGACACGCCGTCCTAAGAAGACAGCATCGTCGAGAGTGCTCGACCTGGGTCACATCCTCAAGGCACCTCGCGCAGCACAATGGTCAACGAAGACGGTCCACGAGATGGTGGACTCCGACATCATCGATCTGGAACCCGAGTACCAGCGAGGTGTTGTCTGGACTGCCGAAAAACAGTCCGCGGTCATCGAATCGATAATGCGACACTACTACGTGCCGCCGGTTCTGCTATCCGTACAGAAGGAGGAGAACCCGGGCGATGAGACGAGGTACGTCTGCATCGATGGAAAGCAGCGTATCTCGTCGGTTTGCGCGTTCCTCAACAACGAGATTCCGGTCAAGGAGCCGGGGACGAGTCGCAAGTTCTGGTACAAGGAGGACCTGTCGGAGGGCAAGACGCCCGCGCTCAACCCTGCTCAGCGCCGTCGCTTCGAGAACGAGCAGCTCACGATCGTCGAGTTCGATGGTCTGGACGAGGAGACCGAGCGCGACATGTTCAGTCGTGTCCAGATGGGCGTCACCTTGTCTTCGGCAGAGAAGCTGGGTGCTCACTTGGGCAAATGGCCGGACTTCATCCGCCAAATGGTCAAACGATTCATTGATCCGACCCCCTCGCTAGTGCACGACGATGACGGTAACGCCATGCTGATCGTCTCGCGAGGGAAAGACTATCTCTACATGGCGCAGATCGCGTTGCTCATTTATCATGCCGACCTCACCTCCTACGTGCCTACGGCGCACGGCATCGATTCGTTCCTGAAGCAGCATGCCAAGAGCGAACCTCCTCGCCCTCTCAAGCAAAAGATGCAACAGACTCTCGAACGATATGTCGCCTTAGCCAACCACAAGCGATACGGGGCTTGCATCAAGCCCGAAACCAAGCTCAAGAGCAATGGACAGCCGCAGAAGAAGCCCCTTGCTCCCGCCGAGTTCGTATACATCGCCTTTATGATCTTCAAGTTTCCGGATGCGACCATCTCCCAACTGTTCCGACTCGTCCAAGGCCTCAAGCAAGAAGTGCGCTCACAGTTCAAAGACGTCATGTTCAACAATAACGTCTCGACGGTTATGCGACGCTACATCAACGCGGCCAAGGTCACGCCGGACGCGGAATCCAATCGGGCCTCGCAGCAGAACAACACGAGTCCGCGCAACAAGCGTCCGCGTCAAGCTTCGAGCGACAGCGACGAGGATGGCGACCAGCCCCTGTCCGGTCGACGCAGAGCCGCCAACGGCACCATCACCGCTGGGCTGGAGCTCAATCCGGACGCAGGCCTCTTTCGTGGCGAGGGCAGCGTCGGCTCCTCCCAAAACCCGCTCACCAACATGTCCCCCGCTCCTCCCCGTCGTTAAGTCTCTGATCAGCTTCTCCAATCATTCAATGTACTTGTAGTTCGTCATCAGCAATGGTTCCTTCCTCCCTTCCAACTTGATCACGACTAGCCAGCCTGAGAAGCATCAAAAGGCCAAAAAAAAGTGAGTGTCCATTCTTGGTCCAAGACGGTTATGCTACAGAGAGAATGCAAAATAAATAGAGACCCCTTGATGGTGACGGGGCTTTTTGTAGAGTGCGAATCCGGTTGCTGACGAGCGTGATTACTGCTCTCCGTTCCTAACAGCCAATCGACGGCCATAGTCCTGGTCGTCCCTGAGGCTGACGCTGGATCCGCCATTGTGAGCGGTCATGTCGATTCTCCCATCCGTTTCGTTCGAGCTGCTGCTTGGGTCTGCGAACACGTTACCGTTCTGACCTTGTGCAGCACCAGCGGCGGCGTACTCGTGGTCCAACGGCGGCGACGCACCCGGTTGCCAGTTGAGCTGGGGTGCACCACCCGCGTATCCACCGTACGCATCCTCGTGTCCACCCTGGCTATATCCGTTGTCATGAGCCATCGAATACGCGTGGTCCGACATACCCGCAGGAACGCTCTCGTAGTAGTGCGAACCCTCGGTGCCCGCCCCGGCACCACCGTAGTAGCCCGCCGCCGCCGCGCCACCCGCGGCACCCGTAGCAACAGGACCGTACGCACCCATACCGGCATACCCCGGCGCAGTGCCGCCCGACATGTGCGATGGCTCATACCCCTCGCTCTGCGCACCGCCGTAGTTGGAGTAGTACTGCTGCATCATGGCGTTGCTCGCTCCGTATGCGCCGGCTCCGGCGGCGGCACCACCGAGACCAGCAGTGCCAATGCCGTAGGATGGATCCTCGATCATCTCCGGATCGTCGTCGTCGAACGGCGTGCGCTTGGTCGCGGCTGCAGCCGAAGCGGCGGCTACAACATCGGCGTCCATACGCTGCGCCTTGCGTCGGCGATAGAGCATGTAGAAGATCCCACCGATGATACCGGCGACGACGAGACCGACGACGGTGAACGTGCCACCGACCGCGCCCGAATTGCTGAAGAAGCCATTGTCACTGCCCGAGTTGCTGCCCGAGTTGCCGGAGAGCTGGCCGTTGGCCGTGGTGACGGCGAAGGCGGTCGAGGTGGAGGTCTGACCGTTGGGTAGGGTGATGGTGGTGAGCGAGGTCTGGGTGGTGATGACCGAGGGAGTGAGCGAGGTCGAGGTCGAGACGACGGCAGTGCTGCTCGATTGTGTTGTGGATGATGGTTCAGAGGAGGAAGGTGTCAGAACGGCTGAGCTGGATGTCGTACTGCAGAAGCAGGAACATGGGCGACAGTAGGCGCAATACAAAGACATGAACTGATCAACATCACGCATCCCTTCCGACGAGCTGACGACCACAACAAGGGGCATCAATACGAGAGAGGGAGGGAAAGCTTGCGCGTGGGATCTGTTCGCGCTCGTGTGCGCGCCGCTCGCATGGAAGTGGTCTGATGCTTGCGAGCGCGCGATGGGACAAGCAATGGAATGGGCTCTGGGATTGGGGAAGTTGGTTCTATGAAACTTACGTGGTGGGCTCTGTGCTTGTGCTTGAGCTCGTAGAGGTCGTCGAGGTGGTCGAAGGGACACTCGACGAGCTCGATGATGTGCTGGTCGATGAACTCGTCGATGTCGTGGAACTTGAGGTGGTGCTGGTGGAAGAGCTCGTGGACGTTGTCGACGACGAAGACTGTTGACGAACGGAGCAAGCGGGCGAGACGCAATAGAAAGGGGGGTCAGCTACGTTCGAAATGGCAGAGCGAGACTGCCAGTGGGAGCAACAGAGGGCAAAGGTGATCGCCAGCTGCGATCTGTCTGGGGTGGTCGATCCTATGAGTCTAAACGAAAGCACCACCCTGACTCCTCGCGAAGCTGGCCGAGCGCAAAGCCCATGCTGATGGCAAAGAGGAAGGGGAATGGAGCTTACAGAAGAGGCCCTAGATGTCGACGTGGATTCGGCCGCTGCGGAAGTCGAACTTACGCTGGAGGACGACGAAGAGGCGACGGAAGATGATGTTGAGGACGAGACCGGGTCCGAAGTGGACGAGCCGATGCTGATGGTGGCTGATGAGGAGAAGGCGGAAGTGGAAGAAGAGGCGGATGTTGTTGACGAATCGATGGAATCGGAAGTGGAAGAGGGCACATTGCCAGTAGATGGATTGGTGTCAGCCATGGTGGTCGCGGGTTGTGAGGATGTAGAAGAGGAGACGAGATCGGATGAGGTGGAGGATGACAAAGTCGCCTGCCCCGATGTCGACGGTGACGCCGTTGTGGACGCCAGGTCCGTCGATGACAGGCCAGAACTCGAAGCCGTGTTCGAGCTCACGATGGATAGTGAGAGCTGGCTCGATGACCAGCTGTGAACGATGCTTTGAAAGCGAGTTCTGGTCTCGTCGATCGGCAACGAAGCACCGTCCGATCACGAGGAGGACGAGACGATGAACGGCGAAGGAAGTGCGCGCTACAAATCGGAGCTGAGATGGAGTGAAAGCTCTACGACGATGCGGGCAGAGAGGTGTTGCGGACGAAGACGATCGAGAGCAGGATGAAGGGAAAGGAAAGATAGAGAGGAATGTCTTAGAGTGACAGGAGTGGCAGCCAAACGCCGCACAGCATTTTGCCCAAGTGGATTTCCAGGGTGGAAAAAAGGCAAAGTGGCGAGCGAGGGCAGTGGAGAAAGGAAAGTGTGTGAAATTTGGGCGCCAGGGTGGGAGGGAAAAATCGAAGAAAAATGGGAAGGGGGATCGAGGGCGCAGGTGCAGGTGGCGATGCAAAGGGGCTGATGCACGTTGACAGTGGGCGATGCACGATGCGAGAGGGTGCAGGACCACAACTATACTCACGAGTCACTCCATCTAAAAGGGAGTTCACGGCAGAGATGATGCCGGCTGCAAATGCAACGTCAGCGGCAAAGCAGCCAATCGCAGCAGCCAGCAGTCGTCGGATCGCATGCCGAAGGGGATTCAGCAAAGCATCACCAAACGGCGGAAGAGGCCGACGTCGAAGAACCGGCGTTTCCGAGAATGCAGTGCAAAGATGCAAAATCCACGGAACAGCGATGATCCAACGAGCAGGGGCCAAGGCGAAGACGCGCAAAAGAAAAAGGACGAAAGTCCACATGAAACGGTCCTTTTGTCAACGTTTGCTTTGTCGACAAGGGGGAAGAAACGCAAGAATGACATCGACTCGAGCCAAGTCGACGCTATTCTGCGATGCCCTGTCGGTGGCACGTAGTGACCAGTCTCTTGCTTGCTGCGCTGCGTCGAGATGTGACACAGCAGCAGACAGCCGATATGAGAACTCAAGATCAAAGTGAAGCTTGGGTCGCACCAAATGTAACCTAGAAACATCCACATCCTGAGTCATAGAATGGAGCATGTACAACCGGCGGTCCTCGCCGGCTGACTGAGAGCAAGCGTCTCCTCAGCCTCGCTGCTCGAGCCATCATCAACGAATGATGAGGATGCTGAACGTGTGATCCCGATCAAGCCCGCAATGGTCGTCCCGACTGCGTCAGTGAAGCGGGCACGGCTGCATTCTGCCAAGTCTCGCTGCCATGGGACCGTGCCGACGGACGAGATTGCCTCGTGTGATCGTGTCCAAGAAAATCCCGATGTCAAAAGTCGGAGGTTGGAGCGATGACAGCGAAGCGAGCAGCGAGGAGCGAGGACCAACGAGGACCGGACCAGTCGACGATGCGAAGAGCTCAAGAGATGGGCTGCAGGCCAAGGACAGGGCGGGATTCATGCGAGCAAACTTACCCATTGTGTCTACTGGTGTCGAGATGAGCTCAACTGCGTGGCGCTATGCAAGGGCGGCAGGCGAGGTGTGTGTTTGCGATAGGCTATGCGGGCCGAAGGAAGCGTGGTCGAACCGGCAACCGTGTAATGAAGGTGGAACTTTGCGGCGGCAGTGCGGCTGACGGAAGCGAGCAGCTGGGAAAGCTTATTCCTGATCCGAAGGGCGAGGCTGATTGCGAGGCTTGGCGGATCGATAAACAGAGGAAGAAGAGGCGCAGAGGTGGAAAGATGAGGTGCAGAGGAATGTGCTGTGCGTGGGATGATGATGGAGGGTGGGAACGTAGCATCAAAACCAGCGGTTGTGCCGATCTTGCGCTGGGATGAATGAGCAGGAAAACCTCGCGGATCACCGCGGCACCGATCAACAACACAGACACCAAAAGTCGGGCTCCAGTGGAGGCGTCGATGGTCGGAAAAAGAATTTCTTGAAAAACATGGCAGGGCACAGCAACAGAGACGCTCTTGGCGGCGACTTGCGTCTTTCCCTAAAATTAGCCTTGCCGCTCAGCTTTGGTTGGCTCCCTCGCTTCGTCTCGACCTGACCGCTCCTCACCCTCGAAATCGCCCCTGCATGGTCGTGCTCACCGGGATAGACTCCTGATAGGTGGCACTTTCGTTGAAGCGCATGTCATGTTGCTTTCACACACAATGCTAGACAATCAGCTGCTCTAATCTTGAAGTCCTCCTTCTTAAAGATTGATCGAGCAGGTCGACCTCGTGCTGCTTCTATCACAAGCGAGGCGGCCTTCGCCGCGATCGGAAAATTCATGCATTTCGTCGCAATCAAGCATACGCCCGCATTCTCCCCTTCGACGGTGGATATTGCCAGCAGTCGGAGTGCAAAGAGACACCATCCCGATCCGACCAAGCGATAGCAACCGAGGCTCGACCCTTGCCGCCAAGCTTGAATGGCGTGCGAACAGAACAGCAACCCTCAGAGAAGCGGGATCTGTTTGCTACTTGCGTTGACAGGCCGCGAGATCGAGAACAATCTTCGGCAATCACGCTCCAGCTGCACCACCTCGCTAGCGTCGATGTAGAGAGTCGGCTCTCGTTTCCCACGCTCGTGCCAACGACTCCTTCGATCAGGAACAGGTGCCAGTTCGGACAAGACGACCAGCAGCTCGCTTCGTCAAGGACGGAGGACTTCCGTCAACAGCGCCTAAAAAAGAAGCGCCTGTGTGTGTGCACGACCCATATCTCGTCGCCGATATCGCTTTACATCTCACCCGATCTGCTCGATCCCGACTTGGAGCCACGCCTCCCATGGGTTTGACAAGCCTCATCGATGCGCACAGCATTCTCCCTTGCTCTTTGAAGTGTCGGGGTTAGACCTCTGTATGGTGATCATGACATTAAAACCTGCCTACGACCGGGTGGGACGGTAGCCCGCGCTCAACCGAGCCTGCAGATGCTGACCGCCCGTGAGCCCTGTTACATCCGCCACGCCTTTCGCTCTGCACCTCGTCTCAAACTCGCTCCTATCCATCAGATTTCCCCCGCACTTCTCCCTCACGCTCTGCGAGATCGGTAACGCCTCCAAGCGCGCATCCTCGTCCGGCTGGCAGAAGTAGGCGACCGAAAACCTGGATGCCGTCTCGCTCTCCACCCTTGGCAAGACCACTCTATGCTGTGTAGACCGAAACAGCCCTGCGCTCCAGAACTCCATCGCGTCACCCACGTTGACCACGATACACCCTGGTTGGGGTGGGATGTCGACCCATCGCCCGGGTTGCGTCTCAACCTGCAGCCCACCGACGTCCTTCTGGAAGAGCAGCGTGCACGAGCCGTAGTCCGAATGTGATCCAGCACGGATGCTCATCGATGCTGACGCCGCGGTCGACACCGGTGCAGGCGGATAGTGGATGAGCCGCAACCGATCGTGCTGCCCATGGTGCGAGTCGACGAAGTAGCGTGATGGCAGATCGATCGCTTCAGCGAAGCCCGCGAGCACGGTATCGCAGATGGACTTGCACTTTTCGATGAACGCCGCAATTGATGACTCGTGCTCTGCGAGCGATGGTGGCAGCAGTTGGGAGGGAGGTTGGTATTGTGGTGGCGCAGGGGAGGAGCCAGACGCAGTGCGCGCCAAACCTGCTAGGTAGAAGGACTCCTTGAGGTCACCCCCCGCTTGAGTCGGGTCCAGCCGCTCCTGCCGCATCGAGGTATAGCCTGTGTTGTTCGGTCGGTCTTGACATTTCACTCGCTCCGACTCGGGCTCGTGCAGGAAGAATTGCGCGCTCTGGCGGAACAGCGAGTCGATCTCGGGTTGGGTGATGCCGTGATCCGAGAGGTAGAAGAAGCCTGTCTTGACGACTGCGTCGAGGATACGTGGGCCGAGCGCGGGTCCGTCTTGGTCAGTGCGGAGGGAGATGATCGAGATGGGAGTTGTACTTGCCATCTTGGCCTGATTCGAGTGCGCAGTGATCGTGATGAGGAGGTGAGGTTGAAGCGCTTGGCGAAGCGGTTGAGAGGACCCTGGACTGAGCTCTAAATGGCGCGTGCCTGATAAGAGAGAAGAGCCGCTCAATTTGCCGGCCAAAAAGTCGGTCCAGAGAAACTTCTTGATTGGTGGCTGACTCGCCCTTGTCACACCCCACACCATCTTCCGAAGCGACCAAGAGTCCACTCACTACCTTTTCAACGTCGCTCGATAGTATTGCTTCAGATGCAACATTCTAAGATTAAGATGGATCAAACACACATTGTGGTGCTCGGAGCAGGAGGTACGTTCCACGATCAAGGTGCTTCTCTCCACCTCTGACCCATCTGATAGCTGACCGTTCTGCCCTCTCCTCGACCCCTTAGTGCTCGGCCTGACGGACGCATTCGAGCTGCGTGAACGAGGCTACCGCGTCACGATCCTCGCACGCGATCTTCCGCACGATACCTTCTCGCAAACTTTTGCGAGCCCATGGGCGGGTGCCAACTGGTGCTCCTTCGCCACGCTCACCGACATTCCCGCGCAGCGTCGGGACGAGATCACCTTTCGCAAGTGGCTCACTCTCCACACGCACCTTCCGCCGGAGGTGATGGCGATGGTGGGTTTCACGGATATCAGTCCGCAGCGGCGCGAGGCGAAGGATTTGTGGTTCAGCCGGCTCACGCCTGACTTTGCGGTGGTGGAAGGGGGTGACGGGACCGGGGCGCATGCGATTCGGTACAAGTCGTTTACGATCAGTGTACCGCTGTACACGCGATGGTTAGTATCAGAGCTCACTTCCCCAACGCCGACTCTCTTGGATGCAACACGGGCGGGACCACCGGTACAGATCCGACGCTGTTCCACCCTGACCTCGCTCAGCGCGGTCCGCTCGCTCGTGCCCACCGCTACGCTCATCGTCAACGCCACCGGTGTCGGCGCTGCCGACCTGAGCGATGTCCGCGACCCCAACGTCTACCCCATTCGCGGTCAAACCGTGCTCGTCAACGTCCCCGCCTTTAAGGCTCCCAGTCCCGCCGCTAGGTGCGTGATGAAGCTCGGCAGCCCAGCCAACTACGTCATCCCCCGAGCACGCTCCGGACAGGTCATCCTCGGCGGCTCGTTCGACATCCGACAATCCAACACCACCCCGGACAAGGTGCTCGCGGAGACGATCCTGAAGGAGTGCGCAAAGCTCGTTCCGGAAATCGTGCCCGAGGGGAAGACGTGGCGGGAGATCGACGTTGTCTCGCACAACGTCGGGTTGCGACCGGCGAGGGAAGGTGGAGCAAGGGTCGAGGTGGAGGAGAAGGGTGGAGTGACGGTGGTCCATTCGTATGGGATCGGACCGGCGGGTTACCAGGCGAGCTTTGGGATTGCTAAGGAGGTGGCGGATCTGGTGGATGGTGTGGTGGCGAGAAAGGGTGGTGTTCAGTCGCGGTTGTAGGAACAGCAGCAAGACTCATGCGAGATCAGACATTCAGAGTCACGCTATCAGGCTATAAGAGTGACGAAAGGGTGAGGACCGCTCTGCGGCCCTGAACACCGTAATGAACATTGAGAAGAAAAGGTGAAAGCGGCCAATGCGATGCCAGATCGCGGCGCTAGAGAAGACAAAACCCAATCAGGGTGCGGACGACGAAGCACGACTTCTAAGGCGGCGACTCATAGAGCACTCGGCCATGCAAGAGGGCTCTAAAGGCCCGCGTACGTGCGGAAGAGCGAGGTGGGGTTGTTGCCGTTCGACAGGCGCTGGGTCTCAGAGACGCCCTGGAGGTTCTGGATGACAGCAAAAGGTGCGAAGCCCTTGATCCAGTCCTGCTGGTTCATGAAGCTGGTCATCTCGTTGGCAAAGGCGTTGGTGTCGTCCTTGTTGCACTGGGCACCGCCCGAGAAGTTCTGGCACGCAAACTCGGTGACCCAAATATCCTTCCCAAAGGTGGTGTGCCAGTCCTGAAGGTACTTCTTGAAGTCATCCGTGGAAGTACCGTAGTAGTGGATGGCGATGGAGTCGAGCTTATTGAACGCGTCGGGGCAGGTCTTTTGGAAGTCTTGGTACCAGGTCTTTCCATCGGGAGCATTGGTCGTCGAAGGACCCATGAGGTACCATCCCTTCTCCTTGAGGGGCATGAGGTACTGCTCGACGAGCTTGCACCCGTCGGAGGCGCTCATGTCCGACTGACCCTGCTGGTTGACCTCGTTCATGCCCATGGCGCACTTGTGCTGGTTGAACTTGGAGTCGAGGTTGTCGAGCACGTTTTTCTGGAACGAGTCGGTGTTCTTCCAACCCCAGAGCATGGGACAGTACATGAGCTTGTCCACAGGCGCAGCGTCCCAACCAGGCGTGGCATCCCACGAGTAGAACCACGAGGTGGAACCAAGGTCAAAGTTGTTGATCGGCATACCGTTTGCGTTGGCCCAGCACAGACCGAGCTTGCCGCCAGAGGTGTCGCCATGGGCCGAACTGCTGCTCGATGATGATGAAGAAGAAGAAGAAGACGACGGGGAGGAGGAGGAGTTGGCCTCGGATTGAGACTGCGAGCTGGAATCGGAGCTGGAATCAGAGCTGGAGGCGCTAGGCTTCTTGACGTTGGCCGCGGCCTTCTTGGTGGACGAGCAGGTGCTGCGAGCGTGGTGCCTGTGGTTGTGACGACGGACGACCCTGGCAACGTCCGACTGTCCGAGGTTGGAGGCCGAGACCATGGTGGTGCTGGCGATGAGCGCGGCAAGCGCGAGCGAGGTAGCGAAGGACTTCATTGTGCTATTGAGAGGGTGACTGAGGATGAGGTACGGATCGGTGAGGATGGCGAGACGACTGCGAGGAATGATCGTACGAAGCTAGAAAGACAGGCACGAGTCGGATCTGAATGGAGGTGGGGAGACGACGATGTTCACGAGACCAGCTTGTGAAGACGACTTTGGACGGATCTACCGGTAGATGGGTTGAGGAGAGGCGAACGGAAGGTCAGAGATGAAGGTGAGGATGGGGATGAGGTTGAGGACGAAGACGAGAGGAGGGCAGACAAAGGGAGGGTTAATAAGACTGGAAGCCTACCTCATAACGAGCCGGCGGGAAGTGCAAGGAGGCGCAGCTCAGGAAGCGACGATCAGTCGAGATCTCGGAACGGTCGCCCTCGCCTACTCAGGGCAATTTCGAGGGTGCCCGTAGGCATGGACCACACGCATGTCGAACGGCGCTGTGCATGGAGGACGCCGAGATGCCAGGGCGGTTGCGCAGAGGCAGTACGCCGCGCGAAGGGCGGGCATGACAATGGGCGATCGACAGGCTTGCCAGCGGAGCTGGCGGCCGCTGCTGCGCAGCACTGTACGCCGCCGCTGCCGTGGGTAAGTTGCGAGGCAGAGTGTGGCATTGTTTGCATGATGCACTTCGGCAAGAGCAAGAGAACAACACTTTTTGTTCGCCGCACTGTCGACACCAACACGCCCGCCTGTGGCAGCGCGCAGCCAGCCTTTGACAAGAACGCGTCGATCCGTTGAATTTCTTGGTCGCCAGCGAACACCTCCCAACCTCGCGCTGGGCTGGCTGCCTTCGCAAATCGCCTGACCGTTATTTCCATCCTCAGGCTGGGCAGAAGTGGTTGAGCCCTCAACGTATCACTGGGCAGTGCGGAGCATCGTCTTTAGCCTCAAGCTTTGTCCGCCGTGCCCCTTTGTCTTGCCCACCGTGAGAAATGGCCCACCTCAAGCCGCGTGCGTTTGTCACAAGCTCATCTCATGTGGGTTTTGGTTGAGAAAACGCAGGCCCCGTTAATGTCGAGGTGAGCTTGCTTGGTTTGCACAAAGCTTGGTACGAGCAGCACGTTGACACAAGCACTGACGATCGCAGACCCACGTCAACCACTCAGGGATCTCACCGGCGGCAGAGCATCCGCAGGGATCGTGTGGGAAACGCTTTTTCAGCAGCCCACCGTTGCCGTCTGTGACTGCCGCGACCTCGAAAAGAAAAAAGGAAGGACTCGTCCAAGCTGCTCGGGTAGGTTGAAAGCGAGGGTGGGAATCGAGGGTCCACTTCAACGCCATGAATGCATTCACTCGCATCGCCGTATCGTCCGAGTGAGAGATGGAAACATCGCCGATCAAGCGTTCGCAGCTGCCACCGATGTCGGCTCGGGAAGCGTCGTGAAACGGCTGTCGAGGCCGACCTCACCGGTCGTGCCGACGACAAGAAGGCAAAAGGCGGCCCGAGTTGTCTCGGACTATCTCTGCCTCGGATCAACCCTGCTCGGGCAGACTCAGACATGCTGCGTTGCGCAAGACGGGATACCAAATGTCTGGGACCTCGCTTCAAGGCGTACATGGCTGGGTTCTCAGGCTTCGCACGGCAGTACCATTCTCTGCTCAGGTTCTAGCGCTTGACGTCGATCATACGAGGGCTCGCTTAGGGCGCTGATCTGCAGGTGAGCATAACCTGAGTCAGTGCGGTCGGACGAAGTCGCACGATCGATCTCTAGGCGATACAACGGGAAAGCCACCTCCTCAGAGGACAAGAGGAGCATCTCGAGAGGGCGCAATCAACTTGGTTCATGCCTTTTAAAACTCCGCCGAGAAAAGGCGCCTAACGCAGTCATCGGCCATCAAAGACATTTCGAGACAGAGTCGCCCTGACTACGCCTGCTGTAGGACCGCAGCCTGAACCTGAAAGCTGGACCTGGCTCGCAAAGGACCCGTACCTGATCGACATGTGCGCGCGATCTTGGTCTCCGATTATCCCTTGCACACCGTGTGTAAGACAAGGGACTGAGCATGCTACACAGCAAACAGATGCCCTGCAGCAGTCAGCCGAATCGATCAGGCTGGGAGAGGGTACCGCCAGGCACGGTCGATGGTCGTCGTGACATGATCGATTCTGGCGTGATGTGATCCGCGTCCGGGGCGGCAAGGACAAATGTCGTTGCGCCAACGCCTTGGAACATCCTGCTTGCCGAATTGCTATCCATGCGCTGCTGCTGCACCTCAATTCCGCCCTGCAATTCCGGGCTGCAAGGAAGCGCCTTGTTCCACTTGCTCTGGCTGCACAATCGGCAAGCGAGTCAGCATGAGTGATGATCGCGGTTGCTCTACCGACGATCGATGATCAGCGAGCAACCATTCGTCGATTTTTCGGGAGAAGCAGGTACAATATCCCGACTCAATGCCTGCTCGGCGCCTACTGTTGGTGTTACATATCCGCTCGAATTTGAGAGACCACGAGATTGGGATCCCGCGTGTGAGATTTGGCTCCGCCCGTCTGGGTTCCCGTGAGCCGCCGAACAAGATCCTCCCTCTCCCGCGGCTGTCTATGGGAAAGAAAGACAGAAAAGCCTCGGCAGTCTCTCAGCGAAAAAAGGACTCGAATTTTGGATTGGCCAGACCCTTGCTCCTGGAGCTTAGGCCCAGGTTCCTGCAGAGTCCAGTACAAACCTTCAATCTGACTTCAAGTCGAAAAAGAATCGACTTCAAATTTGAATTCGAAAAAGCTTGTTCAGGAAGCGAAAGCAAGCGAAGGCGGCGGCTGGCGCTTTATTGAAATGACTCCTCAAGTGCTCCCAGTCCCTCAGGGGGCAGTGCTGGCTAGCAGAAGCGACGCTGAGACTCTGCGCCGCTGTGTTGCCGTGCCTCGCTTCAAGCAGATGCATGAACCTTTTGTTTGGTCTGGTAAAAGCGGGGACAAGCAGCACAGCGCGTGCCCACGCTAGTCAAGCTCAATTATCAGCCAATAGCAAAGAGGCTTCGCTTCGCTCCTCGGCTCGCCTCGCCTCGCCTCGTCGTGCATCGCATCTCATCGCACGGTAAGGCCTGCGACTGTACTCCCGTGTGACCGAACTGAGAGGCCGGCCGTACGACCTTGGCACTGCTCCCCGCAACCTAGCGCAATCCCGAGCAGCTTATTTCGAGCAGCTCTCGCGTGGCGTCCATGACCTCCTATTGAACCCCGTCGACTGGCTGTGTTTGTAAGTTCGTCATGGTCTGGTGCTGTCGAGAACCACAAACAACGTCAAGCCCAGCTGCGCATGGTTTGCTATCTGAGACTCATCGACCAAGGTCTCACAGGTAAGGCCCAGAGGAGCGGAGGCGAAAGGGCAGCACGGCGGCAGCTGATACGGTCAACCTCTTGAAAATGCGAGACAGCCAGGGGCTGAGAAACCCTTGGCTGCCCTTGAACCGCCCTCTCTCTCTCTCTCTCTCTCTCTCTCTCTCTCTCTCTCTCTCTCTC